GCTGGCACTTGCATAAGTACTCGCTGAAGACGTCGCCTCGGCGGGAGTGGCCCGTCACCTCACAGATGGCATCATTCTTGCATGGGTTGGGGTTGCAGGGTCCTTTTGAAGAAGAAGGACACACAAGAGGAAGGAGGTGAGAGACAAGTTAAACAGAGACTGAGCAGTACTGTGTATTGTAACCTGTAATAAATATTTATTTTTCAGGAATTTGTTTAGGGTGATGGAAAGGGTTGATCCACAGTAAATTTTAGTTTTACTAACCTGCTCTCATTTAAAATGAGTGACTATTTAACTTTAGAGCTGCACACGATTACACTAAGCACCAGTAAGTGATTCATTTGTCTATATCGTCATTGTCTAATCAGCAAACGGTAAAAAGGACTCAGATCTGAGACTCATGTTGACGTCAGAGGCAGGGCTTACCAGTCTCAGTCTCATTGCAGGTTTCTCCAGAGAAGCCATCAGGGCAGATGCAGATGAACGGAGCTCCTGCTCCAGTCACACAGGTTCCACCATTACTGCACACATTCACCTCACAGTAATCACCTGCAGACAGAGGAGAGAATGACAGGATGAGTAAAACTGTACAATTTTAAATCAACGACAAACTATTACAAGCAACTGAAATATGTCAGCAGACAGGATAAAAGAAACTAATTAAAAAAACAATGGTCTATGTCAGTTCGTAGAGCCTGATGAAAACATAAGTAACTAATTTACATACAATAAAAACTATTTTTACTTTCTTATATAACAACACTGTCCCAAACATGAAGGACTTTGGATGTTTGACAATGTTAAGATATTGTTTAGGTTTTAAGAGTCAGAAAACAGCTGTGGGTGTTGAAATAAAACTGAACAAAAGAAAAAGAAGGATCAAGTAGAACAACCTTTTATGACAAGAATTCAGACCAGTCAAAAACATGTTGATATGCTTAACATTTTTCTTACTCTGACAAATCAGCTTTGGTCTCTGGCTCTTATATGGGATTATTTAAAGAACTCCTGAGACAGTGTCAACTGAGTTTGTTTTTTGACTGAGTTTTAATCTGATTTCATTGAAATGTGTAGTGTGGCAAATGAAAAATAGCAGTAAAGACAAATACTGTAAAAGTGTAAAAGAAAAGCATACAATAAAACTGGACATAAATCCTTTTTGATCCAACTGTGGTTTGTCATCTTCATTTCACATTCATAAATGTCTGACAGCTCAGCACTTCCTGTCAACAAACATCTGATATTCCCTGACCCATATTTCAGGACAGGAAGAGGACAATCAGATATTGCAGCGGTTTTGACTTTTAAGTGGTTTTAGCAGAGTCCCACAGTAGTTTTTTAGTATTAAAACCAGTTATCTAAAAGTTTTCAATAAGAAAGAGTGGGACATGTTTTTAGAGAGTATCAGCTAAAATCATGTTTTCTTCCATTACTATATCTGCCATTGCATTCCCTTGTTGTGCTGCCAAATAAAGAGTAAACAGCCTGCTGCAGGTTGGATGTGAGGGTTTGAACAGCTGAGTAAGCCATCACTACACTGCAAACACAACACAAACACTGGATGCTTCCACCAGCTTCACTGCCGCCCGGCCTGAACCTGACAATCTGGCAGCTCTCTGAGCACCAGGGAAATCATGTCAGCAAGCAATGGGTGGAGAAAAAAAAAAATCAAGAGGCGTGTGGTGGTTTTCCTTTTCAATTTGGAAACTATGGCAATATCTCTAACAAAATAATAAATATCACAAATTGAAAAGTAAGTATGATCATTGCAATTAGGTTCCATAGATGCTAACAAAGACTGAATGCTTTATATATGGTTTAAACAATACACAATTACCAAATGAAATTATATATTTTCTGCACATAGATATATAGCACTGTGGAAATTTACTTTTAAATTATACCCTATATACTCATTTTGACACTTAAAATATGGAGGAAGTAAATAATTGGGAGCCTTTTCACACCCTAGAAGACAGGGATGGCATTTTCAAGTTAACACTTATCATTTGGATAATTGAGGTTGGACCCTAAGTGTGAAATTGGTGGTTTAAGAGCCACAGTGTCTGCCATACAGGCTAAAAATGAGCTCTGACCCCATTTTTTCACTGTTTCAGGGAGGTACCTCTTCCCACCTCAAACAAAGCAGACTCATGGGAGTAGATAAATGCTTTTTTTTTAAGACTTCGACAGTAAAAAAAGTGCAGTTTTAGTCCTGCTGATGGTATTACTCCCAGAGGCCACAAAGCCACAGCTGAAAATGGCATTTCAGAGAGACTTATAGCTTCCTTTGCATCACTGTGTAACCTCACATCATAGACACATACTCACTCACATCTTTTCTGTTGTTATCTTCTCTTGTTCTTCAAAACAATCAAGGAATAGAGCACTCTGAGCGGTTTATTCAGTGTGAACTCTGCTCATCTGTGTAACATTGCGGAAAAACGAACTAACTGGTCTTCAGAGAGATGAAAAATGTAAAAAATGATATCAAAAATAAATATATTACAATTTGTAGACTGCTACACTATTTTTAACCACTAATGTACACAAATCTGGACCCCATTAATTATCCACTGTGGGAGGAGGGAGAAAGAGAAAGAAATAGATCCTCTTTGCCAACATCCTGTTTGGATTGTTTATCTACTGAACTGCACTTCCCATGGATGTCCAGTGTTATCAGTGCTGTATCCAGTGTCACAGCCCTCAAATGCTTTAACATCTCATGGGCCTGTTAGGCAATAGGCCTGGCTGGCACCGCCAACACATCCTTATCCAAATGTTGCTGCCTGTTTACCTTAAGGGAAGGAACACAACCTCCTTCCCTCCACTAGCAGACCGCCGCTTTCAGGAAACCCTCTTAGTACAGAGAAATAACAACGTTGAACAAATGACCTTCTGTGAAATCATCTGATTGATGAACTTACAACATTTAAGATACAAATAAAAAGAAGAAAAGGAGAAACTCCCCACTTCATTTAACTGTCTCTGCACACACTGCTTGTGGTCTGCCCTGACTGAAGGGAAATTTAGTTGGCAGGCTGCCTGGGTTTACTAAGGAAATGAAATTATTAGTCAAGGTGGTCAGAGAAGAGACAGTGGTCAAACCACCAGCGCCTCCATGAAAATCCCCTGAGTGATGCCACTGTCAGTAAAAACCACATAAAATTACACAGTAATGAAGAAAACAGTCCTTATTTTTCCCTTATTCACACTTCCACAGTACATTTAAAATATGATGGATCTGAATAGGTTTTGCACTGCACAAGGATCACGAGGCACACACAAAAACTGACTTTGAATTCAACCAGTTAAAGAAGATCTGCACTTATTATGTGGTTTCCTCCCCCACATTAACTGTAAGCTCCACTGCTGTTTCAGAGGAAACAAAACACTTCTTCTTCTTTATTATTGACATGAACAGCACACAGGCAAATAGTGTTCCAGGTAAGAGTTTATATTTCAAGGGAAATCTGTGGCTGTTGTTTCAGTTTAGTTTATTCAGAAATCCAGCATGGAAAACAGGCAAACATGATATATGTATAATATATTGCATTTCCTAACAAACCCCTAGTGATATCCAGCCTAGAGATATGATATCTATGATATAAAACAATTCTAGTGAATGACATTTCTTTTGTGGTGTTTACAACATTAAAAAAAATTCATTTTCATTGGAACTACTTTGTACTCAAGACATAGTCCCTATGAAAACTGTTGACAGAAACAGAAAGATTGCTGTTGAATTTTTCAAATGCCACTTTTACATGCTGTGAGAACCACAAACAAAAACCCATTCATCTCCATTGTGTTTTGGAGGCACCAGAAATCTAAGGGATGTATATCTAATAACCTGGACAACAAAAACTAACTTCGTTATCCAGAAATACATCAAGCGTGGATGTAAAACTTGAAGTGCTGTTTGTCCAGAGGTGTCACTGCCCTCTATATTAACCCTGTTTATGCTGCATTTGCCTGAAAAAAGTTGTTGCTGAAGTAGTGATTCCTAAACCCATTAATTAGAAACAAGCCTTGGTATGTTGCCTTGATATTGTAGCACGCTGATATCCTCGCTCATAAATCACAATAACTACTAAAGCCATAAGTCATCTGAGGATAGTCACAATTAGAGCTATACTGCAGCATTTAATGATGTAGTATAAAAATACATTTGCCCAAATTACACCAGTGCCTGAACTACCCAAGAAAGTGCCCCACTTTGACTCAACCACAGTGACAGATTAGGAAGGTATGTGGAGTTATGTTTGGCCAAACAAGCCATTTCCACAGGGCATTGTGCTTTTCTCGCTCCTTATGAGTCATGGTCTGTGCCTTTCCCATGATGCCTCAGCCCAAGAATGAGGTTCAAATACCAGACCGAAAAACACAGAGCAGTTAATGCCAGCAACACATAATGACTCCGTCCCCAGTGAGACCCACCAACAAGAGGGTGTATGTGATTTTGCAAAAAGCTTGAGCTTCAGATATGAGGACACAACTGGGGCTGGCAATCATATCAGTTCAGTTATTAATATCTTAATGCAAACATATTAAAAATATTGAATATCCTATATCACTGAAGTTAGGTATTTTTGTATGTCATTATCTCGTAGCATGGTCAGATGACAGCAGCTACTTGATGTGCACACATCTCTACCAATTAAGAAAGCCTGTACTGAAAAGTGTGTACAGGGGCTTGGTTTGGCATAAGTGACCGCGACAAGTGTTGTGTTTACTTCTTGGAAACAAATGAGCGGCAGTACAACACACGGTGCACATGTTCCCCTTAGTAGCTTCAGAGAAAAATTACAAGTTAACCTGCGGGTGTTGGAAGGATCTGAGTGAACACGCTCGCCCTCTGACCATATTAGATCCCAGGTAAACGGTTAAAGAGGAAATATTTTACAAAACCTCTAGAAAGTAATTTAAGGGCTCTGCACCATTGTTATGAGGACAGGAGAGCCATTTGAGGACACAAGTGGCGGAAGTGGACTCTCTGAGGACACTCACTGCAGCCCATATTAGAGAGACAGTTACTGGTTATGGAGATAAAGAAGCACTTTGGAGAAAAATCGCCTTGACATAAGTGAGCAGTTTCAATCAGTTTGATGTGAAACAAAATCATTTCTGAGGGCTGCTGTGTTTTAGATAGGATTCACTGACAAAGCATGGGAAATACACACAGTGCATGGCCATGGGCAAAAATCCCTTTAATCTGAATTCCTCTTATCAAAGATGACATGGAGATCAGTGGCACACTAAGACAGTTTAAGAGGGATTTGAAGAAATTAGGAACTATGAGGCAGGTTTGTTTGAAATTATCTTATAAAGTCAAAGCTGTATTGAGCCCATACATCCACTCCGTCTAGGGGCTGAATAAGTGTGTGTGTGTGTGTGTGTGTGTGGTTACGTCAGTGCTCTGCATCCTGAGGCCTGAAAACAGCAAACACACACAGCTCTCTGCTCTGTCACGCACACACTGGAGCATATAGGCTGGCAGGCGAGGGTGGTAACTGCATTAGTCTCACACACACACACACACACACACACACACACACACACACAGCACACCACACACACACACACACACACACACACACACACACACACACACACACACACACACACACACACACACACACACACACACCTTGTTACAACCGTTAAGGATGTGCTGAAGCATAATAAAAAGGCTTGAGACCTGTAGAGTGTTCATCAAGTCTGATAACCTGCTAGTGCCAAACTGCACTACTGGAGATGTGAGGAGAAGGGAGCCTGAACACATGTAACAGGAAGTGGGTTTATCAAGGTCGGGCCTACTCGAGTCCTTAAATAACCCAAACCTTTCCAGTATGAAAATCAGCAGGACTCCAGCTGCAGGTGAGCTTTCTGTAATCTGCAAGTGCTACTCCAGAGCAGCACAGCCATCTGCTCCAAAAAAAAAAAAAACAAACAATTGCCAGCCGCTAAAAATACACTCAAGCGTCACGCACCTTCAACACAACAACAAGCTTTTCTCTGTAGAACTGTAACTGCAATAGAGCCTGGTATAATATCACAATAACAGTGTAAACTGAATACAGTTGTGCCTACATGTCAACAATGTCACCAAGTTGTCTCTGTTTATATGAACACAAAGATCTTGTGTAAACACTTCTTGTTCTTGGATTCAAGTAGTGACGATTTTGTCCTTGGCTCAATGTTTAAGCTCCCATGACAGCGTGTAAAATATTCAACGTGGCAGATTGGAAAGTGGGGCGAGAGACACTAATAAAGTGGCCCAAATTAGAAGATACTCCATATTGCAATGAAACATTGATTAAGGAAGCTATTCAAAATTCAGATGGAAGAAAAGAGCGTGTCCTGTCCTGAGGGATTTGCTTGGAGAAGTAATAATAAAGTCATCACTGCTGAGGAAGACAGATGCCTGAAGGGAGGACCGAGGCAGACTGAGAGCTTGATTTGACAATGAAACACACACACATTCAATTTTCTCTCACACACATTCACAAAGTTTCTGACACAAGAACTCTGGGTGATTATAAAAACATTCAAGGCTGCAACAGTCTTTTCATTATTGATTTTCATTTCATTATATATTAATCTACCTTAATCTTTCTTGGTTCATTGACATTCAACGACAATATTTGCGTTTTTTGCTTGAAGTCGACTTATCGATTAACCAACTGATCGTTTCAGCTCTAACCCACTATTTAGTTTGGGTGTTAAAGCCTGATACTGATTCTGATATGTTTTAAGTACATTATCTGATACCAAATTATATTGTGGCAATATTCAATATCTATTCTAATTTGATCTCAGATTTTAGTGTATTCACTGTTTCCCTGAATCTTGCTCTTTTCAGGGTTAATATAAAACTCTGTACAGAAACCCACAATAATGAATTTTGTAAGGCAGAGCGAACCAAAGCACCTGTTCAGTAATAAGGGAAAACTCATTAGTCCAAAGAAATATCGCAAGTATAAAAAGGGCAAGAAGAATTTACCAAAAAGTATAATTCATCCATCAAAAGACCCTCAATTAACCGCCAATTAAAACATGCAAAACAGTCACACTGCATCATTTGACATTGCAGTGTAACTGTGGAGGATGCACATCAATCACATTAGCAGGAAATTAAATTCCTGCTTAAGTAAGTCTAATATCTGCCTGATATATTGGCAATTAAACCCTATCTTACTCCCACAAGTAAATTTGCACTAATCCTAACTGCAAAGTGTTCCTATGCACCTGCCTACATTCACAAATTATACACATACACACACACTCCTGCCACGCCATTGGCCCAGCATCTGGCTATATTTAGCCCTGGTTCACTCAGCTGCCCTAAGTGGTCTTGTGAGTTAAGACAGCCTTAGCCCTGACACAGAACACCACTTTCTACTTCTCTCCTCTCCGCAGCTAACGGATAGGACAAGTAAACTACAACCTGCTGAATTGAGCCGAATCAGAAAACACAGGGAAAAAAAATCCTCCCCTCAGCTTTAATTCTGCCCTGTAAACATATTGCATGACACAGCAGCAACAAGTCCCCCCCCCAAAGAAAAACAAAATCCCTGACCGTGTTGAAAGGTCTCAGTGAGCTCTGTTGTGGGTGGAAGTTCACTGGCATGCCTGTGTTGGCGGGTGCATCCGGAAAACTGACTTAACGTTGTGGTCAGGGCAACCACACCTATTCTCCATGGCTGTCCCGTCCCAGAGCCTCAAGGAATAAACATCCTGGGATGTATGCTTGTCCACAGACTGCAAATGTTTTCAGTTTCAATTCAAACACAAAGATATTAAAAGAAGTGTATCAAACATTTATGTAAGTGATGCACCAGGGAAGATGCAGCATTCTGTTTGTCACGCAAGTTTACATGAGGATGTTACCAGACAAGGAATTTAAGTTGAGCAGTATAGTTTTTAAGCAGTTGTCATCAATTTTGGCTGCCAAACAATTCAAACATTTTCTGATTAATCAATTAGTTTATTGCCTAAATATTGACTTGCAACTATTTTGATCAAATAATAGTTTGTCATGTCTCTTACCTGGAACAGAAAATACTAAACATTGCTTTCTTTAAGCTTCTCAGTTGTGAGGATTTTTTGCTTTTCTTTGTCTTATGATAATTAACTGAATGTCTTTATTTTTGTTGTTGATTTTTGGGACAGTTGGTCAGACAAAACAAGTTATTTAAAGACATCAAGAATATGTATTTGGCTTTGGAAAATTTAACAGACATTTTTTACTATTTCCCGGCATTCTATACACCAAATGATTAATTAGGCAATCTGCAGGTTAATCAATAATGAAAATAGTCTGTAGTTGCAGCCCTTGTCACATGCATGCATCTGCAGCCTTTAATGCATTTGTCAACATAGTGGATCTATACAAGCACAGAAAGCAGCATTGAGCAGATGTAATGCTGAATTCAGATTCAATAAAGTGATTCATAAGCAAAGGGGACTTTAATCACATGTTTAATTTTATACTATTTACAATGTGCTTTAATGAGACTAAAAATTCAATGCATTGATCTCTGAGGCAGGGAGGAAATGTCAAAGGTTGACTGTTTGTAAAATGGAAAGAGTCAAAAGTCCAAATGTTTCATCTGATGTGAAATACACATCTGTCTTTCACATAGCAGCAACTGAAGTTATGAATTCTCCTCTTTGTTAATGTGCAAGGAGTGGAACAGGGACATTTTCACATTTGGAAAATACATCATCATACCAAGGAAAACATTTGTGTGACATGTGATGCCTTCCCCTAGGTCTGAGAGCAGAAATGAAGGCAGGGAAATCAGGCCATTTTACCCTTTGTGCATAGACCTAAATGTGTTCAATGCATGGAGATGCAAACAAAGCCAATCGCCAATGGCATGAGGTTAACACTGGAGAAGTATAATAACCACCCTGTATGTGTCCTGCTTCTTAAAAGGGTCACTCTGCACAAAATTGCCTTGAGGTAACCATATTCTGACATAACAAGAGGCCAAGAAACTCGCCAATTCAAAAACACGCACATATCCTCACCTAAAAATATTATTTTTTTAAATATCCTAAATTATGTGATGTCTCTTGACATAACATTAGTCTCATCTTATAGTTTCAGAGCCAAGCAATGGCCCAGGCCCAGTCCCATTCCCACACGTCCTGTCCACTCATTCAAGGATCGCTTGAACTTGTGCACCTACGAACCTACCCACTGCTCGGTTACTCTGGTGATAATTTAACTGTACCACTGACGTGCCAGGCTGAGATTAAATCATCACAAACCGAACACTCTTCTAGAAAAAAAACAACACGGGAAACTGCAGCGAATAAACAACGACATTTCAAGTTAATTAATTTTTAAAAAAGAATGAGAGAGCGAGATGAAGACACGGAGAGGGAGACACTTCACAGCAAAAACAGCAACTGAAACACCAACGGTCCGGGGACGTTAACGGCGGCGGTTTAAACTGTAAACAAACACAAAAAGGCAACTTACCGTTCACCGCAAACACCAGACAAGCTGTGAAAAGTTGCAGCCAGAGGAAAAAACGCGTGTGCTCCTTCATAGCTGCTGTTTCTGTCGGTGGTTCAGTAGCTGTACTTGGTTGAGTTAAAAGGACGACCTCACGGTTGGGAGACAGCGGCGCTCTGGACTCTGTTGCTACCGAGGTTCTGGCTTGTTGTGCGGCTCTAAACTCCCAGGCAGCAGGCGTAGAGCAGGAGCACGTGCAACTCTGCTCTCAGCCAATTGCATCCGGGCTTTTAATTGTAGCCCCGCCCCCTCCTTCCCGCTGTTGATGAAGGAAAAACAACACCAAGGGCAATATATTACCATGGAAACAAAAGGAGCTATTATAGTAAATGTGTTGCATTAAATTAAATGTCTTCATTAGGACCCTTTAATGTAAAACTCCTGAGAGGTAAATAATTGCTTCTCAATTGTGGCAATTGCAGTCACATATAACTGTGACCTAATTTTGTGTTTCCATGGATGAATTATGGCATAATGGGCCCCTTTTGTGTAAAAGGCCTGCCACTCTTCCTGCATCAGAACCCCCAGACTGGAGAAGACACAAAACAACCATAAATCACACAGTCATATCAGCTGTGGTGAGTTTGTGTCTTTTAATTTAGCATCTCTTTTTGGTCATTTTATGTATTTTGAGGTCATTTTGTGTCTCTTTGTGGTTGTTTTGTGTCTCCTTCTGTTTTTTTCAGGTCTTATGTTTTGGTTTTTTTTTTTGGGTGGGGGGGGGGGGGGGGGGGGTTGCACATCTCGGAATAATTTGGTCTCCTTATGGCCTTTTTGCATCTCTTTGTATTTGTCTCATTTCAGTAGTTTTGTGTTTTTTTCCAGCCCATTTTCCAGGGGAAGATCAGAGGCCCCCTGACCCCCTGGGTGACAGACAAAACAAAACAGAAAGCAGCATGTTGACACAATTCTGTCAACACGACTTGCTACCAGTGTTTCAAAGTATTGTAAAGGAGCTATTTGTAAGTTTTGTTATTGTTACATAATCAACATTAGCATTAATAGCTGTTTACTTACCAGTTTTACAAAGAACTTCAGCCATTGTTGTATTTACAATACAAAAGGTTATATAACATGCTATTTGAGCATCATTACTTCTTCAGGGCAGCTTGGATGTTACAGTGACTCAGTATTGGAAAGTGATGAGACCATCCAGCCGGATGTAGGCCAGCTGGTTAGCATGTTAACTTTACTAGAAGAGATGGTTGCTTTCCACTGCTGGAGACAGCTGTTGGTGAGTAAAGGAATGAAAGTCTGATGCTGAACTCGCAACATTTCTTCTAGACTGGTAAATAAACAGCGTTTAATGCTAATGCTGGCTATGTAGCAATAGCAAAACTTACATATAGCTTAATAGCAGTGTGTAACATATTTAATGAATATATATAATAAAATAATAATAATAATAATAATAATAATAATAATAATAATAATAATAATATAAATTATGTTCCGATTAAATGTAAAATCAATCACGTTGGGCCCTACATTATAATCTTGTGGACCTGTCTTTTAGAGGGGCCCTGGGTCAAAATTTTGTTTTGAGACTCTTTTTTTGTTTATATTGAGCTCACATGGAGCATATTCCTAAATTAAGTTGCATTAGATCAATTTGCCTCAAAATAACTGAAAATTTCAACAAACAGAAAACTAAGAGCCAGATATGGCTGATTCGTTTATGGTCTCTGTTTGCACTGTACACTGTGGGTCGGGATGTAGAGGGGTTCAACAAAAAAATCTGATCATGGTTATAAACATGGCAAGAGTAAGAGTTAAATTACACACATTATATACATTAATATATACATTAGATAATCACTTTTGTTACATTCAAAATGCTGTACACTACACCATTTGAAAAATGCTCCCAAGGTGTGTGAATTTATGAACACCAAATACACCCTCTAATTTTTTCTAGACTTTTTTCTTTACAGCAGCCAATTGAATTTGTATGTGTTTACTATGTTTCATTTAATCAAACAAGTTTCATCAATGCATCTTCAATCCATAATGTCATTTCTTGACTGAGCCTGTATGGTGGATGTTGTTGGCTTATTCTTACTTTTCTGGGAAAATTCCCATGATGGCACCATGCATGAAATCCTCCTCTGAAATGCAGATTAAGACCCAGTGTTTTATTGAGGAAAGCTGAAAGGTTTGTCTGTGGGCGTTTCTGCAGCCAACATTCAGCAGTGGGTCAGAGTTGATTTTTGTGCTGTCAGAAGGAGTGGGTGTGAAGTGAAGAATTGTTTTTAATGGGTGTGACTCTGAGCAATGTCCGAGAGTGTCAGACTCTTTCAGCCTCTGCATCTTTCACTTCATTCCTCTTGCATGGATGGATATGATTTTGTTACAATTTTGCTCCAAATTTAGGACACAAACACAGGCTAAATATAATTTGAATCACATGACTGTCAACCTTAGAGGATGATAGCTGCATTATGGGCTGGGAAGTATCTTTTTGGCCCTTCTTTCCCTGTGGTTTAAGATGTGGCACATTCTACAATAGCAGTATTCTCAGAAGAAGTCTATCCACTTTGATTGGCAGGGTAAAATTTACCCTTCTGTAGCCTAGTAACAGCTGATTTAAATGCAGCTTAAAATGATGTCATGCTTGGCGATTAGCTCAAATACAGAAGAGAAAGGCTGCTGTGCTTTGATGGTCTGCTCTAATCGCATCTCCATGCTTGGTTTATCACTCTCTTCTCATGCACTTTTAAATCAAATACAGTTGAAAATGAGGAGATTGTTCAGTCTTGAACGTGTTCTGTGTCAAACCTATAGCTCTTCTTCTCAAAGAAAAAAAAATCCTTCCCCCGGATGACCCTTTAACATCAAAGCTAAATTTCAGGCTATATGGAGCGAGTTCCCCTTATATTCCTACTCATTAGTTTGATGAGCAGTATGGGTCAAACACAGGGTGAATATGTACTGTACTGTGGGAACTGAGGGACTAACTGACTTCACCTCCTGCATGTTAAGATGAGGAACATACAAATTAATAAGAAGTGAAAGTGCATCTTTCTCTGTAGGGTGTAAAATATACCTGGGAAACCCTGTTCCTCCTCTCCTTGTTTCTATCCTAAGGTTAGTTGAAGTATTTTCTATCAAACCAATAGTATACTGGGAAATTTAAAGCAGCAGTATCATAACAGTACTAGCGTCATCTGTTCATGCACAAATGTAATTGAGAGGTGGTTAAAATTAGAATGAATTGAATGTATTACCAACGATATAAAACAGGCAATTGAACCAGGGCCCAAACCTTCATGCATGAGGGCCCCAGGTTCACTGTGTGACACACAATGGAGTAATTTAATAAATACACCACTAATATGAAATGAAATGATGAGGACCATAGAGTGACGCTTGCATTATTATCTAATTAAGTTAAACTAACTTAATTAACTACAGTGGCCCCCATTATGTAGAGGGGCCCATGTTATAACCTAGTTTAAAGGCTTTTAATAATGCAATTTATAATGTGCTTAAATGGAACAGATTGCTAAATGAAATTACCAAATAATCAAATATTCATACTGATACTAGCTAATAATTACTAGACAATACATGCAAAACCCATGGAGAGGGAGTGGGAGAAACAACAGAGACAGTAGGGGTCCACAGCTTCTTTTCACCCTGGGGCCCCACAGCACATTAATCTGGACCCGTCTCTCCCCTCATTTCCTGTCATGTCTCTATTGTCAGCTATCCAATAAAAACATAAATTTAAAGGAAAGAGCTGCATTATAGGCAGTGTGCAGTATTTTACTTTATTCTTTGTGTAATCAATTTTGTGTTAAAATCATACTGGTGTGTGTCTTTACATATGTTCCAGCATCCCAGTCTAACACACATTCTGTCCATAAGACATTCAGAACTAACAAACTCAGGCTTGAGAGCATCATAAAAAAATTTACACACAAAATCAGTTAATATCAACTATGTGACAAGCAAATTCTTGAAAATCTTGATGTGGACACTAGGAAGATGAAGGGACCAGAGAGATCTTTCTATCCTGTAGTGAAAGGGTCACTGTTTTTATGCCTATAAACCCAAATGCTCCCATGATGTTGAAGAATGTGTCAGAGAGACAGTTAATCCCCTCTTGGTTTCTTTCTCTTTTTTTTGCTTCAGAAAGCGTTTCATGAAAATTCCGAAACTCAATGAGCAGGAAAAAAAAAACTGCGGCATACAGTGATGAATCTATAAGTACAGATCAGGCAGTCATGTGTGCTGTGGGCTGGTTGACGTGAAACGGCGGTCAAATGTGGTGAGACTCCACAATGGCAGCGTCCTCTGATGTTCCTCCTTCTATCAAACAAAGCTTCTTCTCGTGACTGACTTTCTCTGAGTCTGAGCCATAAGAGGAGGTTAATTATCACAAAATGATGGTTAGATGGAACTTCAATGAGACAGAAGCTTGTTTGATCCTAATCCTCAATATAGAGTGTAACATAATCCTGTAAATTTAAACCTTGTGAACATGTGGTGCGCTTAAATGGGATGATATTTGTCATACAAGTCATGAATTACTTGTGTGTACTGGTGAATTTTGACTTCCCACACTAAAACAAGATGAATCGACTCAGCCCTCTTTCACTTCTGTCTCCCATCTGGAAACGAAAGTGAGGAGTTACACTTATGAACAACATCAGTGGTATGAAAGTGAAAATGACTGAGGATGGGGTTGGACACTGTGGTTTTATTTCTTTGGAAGGAAACAATCATAGTTTAGCTGAAACCCTCCTTTGACATTCATAGCTCATACAGCCATTGCTCAGATATAATCCCTGGACTGATTCGATGCCAAAAAACCTAATAAAATCAAATAATAAATCAAATGTTTGTCAGTAAACAGTCTTCATTAAACATCATCTTGTTGTGGGTAATTGTAGGTAGATAGATAGATAGATAGATAGATAGATAGATAGATAGATAGATAGATAGATAGATAGATAGATAGATAGATAGATAGATAGATAGATTATTTATCCCCTAGGGGCAATTCGTGAAATGAAATTCATTGTGATCGGTTTGCATGTTACCAGTCTGTAGAAATATTGACTCGTAAATACAGTGCGACATATGTCATAAACAAATTATAATGGGCCTATAATCAAATATACAACGATAATAAAACAGAATTCACAAAATATACATTACAAGTGTGGTTCAGTCACCATGAATGTAAATTTAGTACCTGTTTAGTTCCTGTTAGTGGATGGCGCCCTCCAGTGGTTAAAATATTCAATGAACAAGGGTTTTACTGATCACTGGAAAATAATGTGACATAAATTACTGCTCTAATTTCTGTTTATAAGAATGAAACCAGCTTTAAACATAAATTGTCAGGAATCTGTTGCTGTTCTGTTTTTATTTATAGTCTCGTCATGGTGATTTTTCATCCGTTTGTGTCATTTTGCATCTCTCTGTGGTTATTTTGCATCTTTTTGTGGTTGTCTTGGGTCTCTTTGTGGTCATTTTGTGTCTTTTTGTGGTCGTGTTGTGTCTCTGTAGTTGCTTTGTGACTCTTTTTGGTAGTTTTGGGTCCATTTGTGGTCGTTTTCTGTTTCTATCTGCGACATTTTCCCGGTGAAACCCAGGAGCCCTCACACTCCCTGGGCCTGACCCTGCTCACTAATCCACCCATGTTTACTACCCACCTCTGTATCTGATCTAATGTGTTTGGCATGTTGTGTGTACAGTATGTATTGACTTTCTTTCTCTCTGTTTTCTCTTCCTTCTGAAGGTTAAGCTAATGTAAGTAGTGTGGGCTGGGCACCTTTAGGTGCACTTGGCACTTGGATAAAAATGAAGAGGCTATTTGTGTAAGAACTGAGTGTCTGGTAGCTTATTATAGGTTTGTGTGGTTAATCAGCTATAAAGTTCAAGTGGTGGTTTGTAGTTGAGGAGATTCTACCAATATTCTCTGGTTATAAGTCTACATAACAGATTTTTGGGTGTTGTTATTAAATATATGCCTACAGCGGTCTTCACTAGACACGGAGATGTACAGAAACTACAGCTGGTTCTGTTAATTAGGCTTCTGCTGTCTCTAATGTTATTACTGTCATACTGTTAGTTTCTCATAAGTAGGAAGTACGCGACACCGCTATTTATTGTGCTGCCTTCCCGTGCTGTCGGATATTACGACTTTCCATACTCTCGACGAAGACTAAAAAAGTGGGACTTTGATTTATACAGTAACTATTGTAACTCTTATACGTGTGAAAATTAAAGAGCTAAATTCGCGAACCGAACAGGCAAACGGGTGTTATTTTTATTGTTGGCTGTTTTAATGACTTTTATTTCCATAAATCGGAGCTTTCTCAGAGCACTTGAATGCGCCTTGAATTCCCTGCTGGTCAGTCAGCTCCTGTGTTGTAAACAGACGGTGTTCAGACACGGAGCTCAACTCTGGGTGGATCCGACCAGAACTGGGACTGACCCCGAAAAAAACACGATGGTAGCACCGGAAATGCTCTACTTATACTTTAAAAAAAATGTTTTGTACTTTTGTGAGGTCCGTGTTTAGTTTAAGGGTTTTCTGAAGTCCTAAGATTCACTTCGGCTTCATACAGGAACAGTTTTACCTGAGTGACGAAAGAAAAGGGAACAAGAAACTAAGACCAGTACTCATATTTAAGCTAGCCAAACACAGCAGGCTGTTTGCACTCTTCGGTTGTATCGGTCTAGTTTTTGTCGTTATCGTTTTGTAGTTCGTGTATTATAAACACATGTCAATATGATATAACAGCCAATTACATTATTTGTATTTTTTTTAAGTAGCCTTTGGTTTGTTAATTTTTTCATTAACATTAATTAACATTACGTTCATGAGTTCATTAAGTTACAAGTTGTTTGACTGTGTTTTCCAGCACTGAGTAAACATCATTCAATAAGGAAGGACTCAAACCACTTCACCCTCTTCAAAGTCAAACGGAAAGGTGGGTAGAACAGTTTATATCAATAGAGGGCATCTATGCTGGTTTACTCTGTCATGCAAAGTCTGTAGAGGAAGTTGTTCAATATGACTTTCTGGTGGCCATTATCATCAACTGTATTTTTGGACTGAAACATCTGTTACCTGATGTTTTGTACAAAGAGGCAATATTTCTCAATTTTGTGCCATAAATTGCTTCAAGAGGTCTGTTTGCAAGATGACAGATTGTGACACAGTCTTTTGACCCATAGGAGAAACCAAAACTTTCCACTGACACGAGGCCACAGACAGCATTCTCAGGGCTAGCAGCTCTCCAACAGAAGCACACACGCTGAGAAAGACAAAATCATAAATGTGTTGAAGTGGATTGTTGTTACTTATTTAATAGAAAAGAGAAATTTGTGAATTGGTGGTTCCAAGGACTTCAAGAGATTTAGCATGATGGTATAAAGTCCTTCCTTTATTTTGCACATGTTACAACTAACAACAACAGTTTACTCAGAGACAGAAATAGATTAGATAGAGAAATTAATTAAATAAATCAAAAGCAGCACAGATGATTTTTTTCACAAGCTGTTGTCAGGTAGAAACCTCTGACTGATATCTCATGAAAGGCCAGATTGGCAAACTGATATCAGTCTAATTCTGTTTTTACTGCAAATTTTTAAGCCCCACAAATTAAATATTTATAAGAGAGTCATAGTGTTGTCGAAATAATATTTCTACATCTGTAAGCTCCTCACTTGTGTAAATTGAATGATTTCCTTACTTACTGTGCACACAGTGGGTCCTGTCCCATATCTACAATGACAGCCCTCGAGGACAGTGACATGCACACCCTAGGCTCGGAGCTGCCTGCCATGTTTGATGGCGTGAAGCTGGCAGCAGTGGCAACGGTCCTGTACATCATTGTCCGCTGTCTGAACCTGAAGAGTCCCACAGCTCCACCAGAGATCACCTACCAGGACACAGCGCTCAGCCACTACCTACTCAAATCCTGCCCACTGCTGACCAAAGAGTGAGTGTTTCTCTGCGTCTGGTTTAAAGTTTCAAACTTAAAGTTTCACTTATGATACAATTTGGACTGAAACACTGATGACTTTGAGGAGCTCTGGAGTGAAATAGTCAAAATTGAAGAGGTACTGTGAGGCTGACATGACTTGATTGGATTTTCATTGACTGTCATAAAAAAAGGGAAAAGAATTGAGAAAAACTGCACTCTAAACTGAACTTGAACTGTTTTTTATATGTAGACTTGATGACTGTGGACTTTAATGACTCACACTTGACCTGGTGATTCAGACATAACCTCAGAGGGTTGGACTCGACTTGGATTTGTTTTATGGCAGGAAAAATAGCAAAGAAATGAAGAAAATCACCAGGCTGTTGGGCCTGGCTCAGTTAAAAACATTTTTTCAGCAGGTTTCCTGTTGACCCACATAGAACTGTCAATTGGTTCAATAACAATTTTGATAATCAATTGATCATTTTGGTAATTTTTCAAGCATGAATTCCAAACATTTGCTGGTGAAAGCTTCTTAATGTGATGATTTGCTCCTTTTCCTTGTCATAAACTGATTGTAACCTTTTCTGGGTGCTTGGACTGTTGCTCACAATTAAAACTAGCATTTTGAACACATCAACAAATTATAGTGGGCACTTTTCACTATTTTCTGACATTTTATAGCAAAAGGATTAATCAATCGTTAGTTGAAGCCCAAGACGAACAGTGACAGATTTGGCAAAAATATTCTTCCTATAAAAGGGCTAATCAACAAATCAATATTTTAAAACATATATATATATATATATATGTGTGTGTGTGTGTGTGTATATGAATATATATATATATATATATATATATATAAATACATATTGAATATATATATCAAGTAACATCACTTGAGATCAGACTTCACCCAATGGCTTTATACAACTTTTTCACATATTATGTATTAGTAATCCCCAAGACCTGTAAACAGACTTTGATGTGTAAAATCAGCGGAGTTCCACTTTACGTTTCTGTTGTGCACTTAAAAATCACTTCTTTTTAAACTGTGAACTTAAAGTTCTGCTAAATCTTCTTGGCTTGAGATCCGCTTATTTCTACCACATTTAAAAGGTGATGGGAGTAAGCTGTCTGGAGTTGCATAATTTGGTGATATGAAAATGTCAACTACAAAGAAGCAGTCCTCTCTAGCTCAGAGTTCAGATTCAGTTGGCAGGGCTGGTCAGTTACATGGCTGACAGTGCCTGTGGATTCGTCTGCCACCTTTAATTGTTGGAGTGGCACATGTGTGGCTGTCTGTGGGCTGATAATCTTTGCTAAGACTGTGCTGAAACATCTTCAGAGTGGATTTTACAGCCACGTTATATAATATGGAGCTCGTCCTTCTCTTCAGATACATTCCTCCCTTGCTGTGGGGGAAGAGTGGTCATCTCCAGACAGCCCTTTATGGCAAGATGGGACGTGTCAACACTCCAACACCCTGCGGGGTCCGCAAGTTTCTCCCTATGCAGGACGGAGCCACAGCGACCTTTGACCTCTTTGAAGCACTTGGAGACCACAGCACAGGAGGTCAGAGGCAAACACTGGTCTGTCTGGTCAAGCACCAAAGCAGCTGGCTGCATGTTAAGGATTCTAGTCACACAGCTACTGATCTTTTAAAGCTAATTTTCACTGATCATTATGTTATTGATCTGTTTTCAGCTTGTTTGGATTGTGAGTACATTAGTCTCAAGTAACAAGCAGCTCAGACTACAGTATGCATGAGCAGAGAGACCACTAATGAACTACCTTGTGGGAAAATGCCATCCATTTCAGACCAATTAAATCAACACACAAACACACACGCACACACGCACACACACACACACACACACACACACACACACACACACACACACACACACACACACACACACACACACACACACACAACATCCTCTTTTACACCCACACATGACCCCACTTTGTATGTTTGTGCACATGCTCCCTCTTGTGTCTCTGTCAGATGACATTACCATGGTAATCTGCCCCGGGATCGGTAACCATAGCGAGAAGAACTACATTCGTACCTTTGTGGATCACTCCCAGCGGCAGGGTTACCGCTGCGCCGTCCTCAACCACCTGGGGGCTCTGCCCAACATGGAGCTCACCTCGCCGCGCATGTTCACCTACGGTAAAGAGGGAACACAACACAATGGTCAATGACTCAGAAATAAGATAAAGTGTTTGTAAACCACAGTTTCCTTCATTGTACCTTCATTGTAAATTTGGTTATTTATATTGATGCTGCCCAATTACACATGAATGAAGGGCCTGTAAAGAGCTTTGATAACAATAATGATAATAATATAATAATAATAATAACTTAATTTATATAGTATTTTTCTTAACCCAGTCACAAAGTGCTTTCACAAAGATATGACAGACAGTATTAAAATTATACATTTTAAGTAAAAACAAATAAACATCATAAAACAATAAATAAAATGATATAAAATTCATTAGGGAAATAAAATGGTACAGATCAGTTAAAAGAGGTGTGTTTGTAGCTGATGTTGAAAAGAAAATAAAGAAACAGCTGTGTGGATTGTGAACATTAAGTCTCTCCACAATTTAGGTGCATGGTCACCTTTGGTTGCAAGATTAGACTTCAGAACTGCGAGAAGAGCTTTTTTTTTTCCTGTTGACCCAAGTGTGGACCCTGAGGTGTAGCTTAGAGCTGATCCAGTTAAACCTTTGAATGTGATTAATAGAATTTTGCAGCAGTATTTTGGACTGATTGCGGACAATTTAGTGCTTTTAAAGTTTACAGTAGTGCAGACAGGATGAAATAATGAATGAATAACCACCTCCAGGTCAATAACAGACAGAAAGGGTTTGATTTACAAAGCACGACTGAGTAAGAGCTTGTATTTGTTTTTCAAAGGTCAGATTTGAATCAGAGTAGCCTACTCCCGAATTTTTGTGAGATGACTTGGAGCTTGTTAGTATGAAGTCAAGCTTATGATTAATTTTGACTGTCAGGCTGGGTGGGGCAAATATAATGATCTCAGTCTTATCCTCATTAAGCTGGAGAAAGTTAGAAGCCATTCAACACTTTATATATTCAGTGCAGTCTTTCAGGGCACCTAAACTACAAGAATCAGTAGGATTTACAGGAAAATATAATTGTGTGTCATCCGAGCTCAGCTGATTAAACATATGAACAAATTTACTGGGCGTGGCTGAGTTAATAAAACATGATAGATAAGACCTAGAGGCGCAGCTTAAACTGAATAAGAGGTGTTAAATGCAAGAATGTTGTGGTGTTAGAATGGACAGATGAGTTGTCTGTTGGAAGTCCTGAAGTCAACACACTCGGTTTTAAAGGGTTATTAAAGGATCGAGGTCAACATGTTGAATAAAATTAAAAGTACCAATCTGTTCTAAAAACTCCTGGGCCAAAGTGAATATTAAAATCTCCAGAGATAATACAAAGATAAAATTGTATCATCTCTGTAATGTGTCATCCTGTGCAGTTGGAACATTTGGCAACTCAAATGTCATTCCTGAGAAACAAAATGAGGGGAAGCAAAACAAAGCAACAACATGAAACAAAACAGAAACAGTCAAAGCTGCAACACGTTAAATGACTTGTGTAGAGAAAATAATGGCAAAAACATAATGTTAATGATAAAATTACTTGGCCTTATTATTTAATGTCATATGTTATGTTATGTATTTTACTACCCCAAAGTTGTGTCTTTCATTCAGGATGTACTTGGGAGTTTGCGGCTATGGTGGGCTACATCAAACGGGCCTTCCCTGAGACACTGCTGGTGGTTGTGGGCTTCAGCCTTGGGGGAAACCTTGTTTGTAAGTTCCTGGGTGAGAACCAGTCAAACCAGGACCGAGTGCTATGCTGTGTCAGCGTTTGTCAAGGGTACAGCGCCCTCAGGTTGGTACACTGGAGGAAAAACAAATGAACAGAAACAGGACTGGACATGAATAAAAATGTATAGACAGGGACACGAGTTTCACTTCAGTCTAACCCCAGTTTTAAAACAACATCAAGTGACTATGTGTTATATGTCATCTTGAAGCTTTTATTTTTTAAGCTACAGTATCTTAAAAGTGTTTTTCTTCCATAGTATATTTCAGTGTGTGCGTTTGTGTGCATTTGTGTGTTCAGGGCTCAGGAAACATTCCTTCAGTGGGACCAGTGCCGGAGGCTGTACAACTTTGTGTTGGCTGACAACTTGAAGAAGCTCATCCTGTCACACAGGTGGAGAAACACAACAACAGTTTCTGCAGGAACAGATTAACAGTTAAAGCTGCTACAGAAACGTCTTCTTTATTTAAATTCAGTGTTTGAATCAGTTGTAAACAAATTCTAAACAATATTAAGTGCAGTACTGCATTGATTTCCAGTGTGTGTGTGTGTGTGTGTGTGTGTGTGTGTGTGTGTGTGTGTGTGTGTGTGTGTGTGTGTGTGTGTGTGTGTGTGTGTGTGTGTGTGTGTTGTTGTGTGTGTGTGTGTTTGTGTGGGTGTGTCAGAAAGCAACCAAATGCGTCCCTTTAGATGTATTGAGTTGTTACTCTACATTAATTTTTGCAATGGGTTTCTGCAGCAAGAAAGTTGGTTAACAACACACCAAGATTAACATCCATAGGAGGCATTGTTTTCTTGACACTGTACTATCTGTCTATATGAATGAGTGTTGAAGTGCTGAAAAATTAGGGTGAAGGCATTAAGTCTGAATTCCAGTAGCTTTAATTAGGAGTGTGTGCTCCAGTATAAAAAGGGTCAGGCGGGTGTTAGGGACCAGCCAAACAAAGATTTAGCTTCCCGCCCTGATTTGTCTAAATACCCTTTTTGTTCTGTTTGACAGGAACAGTTTGCTGAGCTTGAGCTCCAGCAACATTGGTGATGCAGACCTGAGCAGACTGTATGCAGCCACCTCTCTGATGCAGATCGATGACAGCATTATGAGGTGAATTTTGATAGTGGATTTTGATTTTCATTGGGCTGCTAATGGCTGCACCAAACTCTACTCATCTCTGTCACTGACGTAATCCCACGATCTGTCCTGCAGAAAATTCCATGGCTACAGCTCCTTGAAGGAGTACTATGAGAAGGAGAGCTGTGTGCACTACATCCACAAAGTAAGTGACAAGTGTGTAGATGTTCAGCCCAAACCTTAATTCAATTTGATATACTAATGATTTTACTTCTGCTACTGTTCTGTTGTTGCTTACACTACTAAAGTACATCTTTCACTAAGATTTGTACTAATCTGTTTCTGTCCTATTATTAGACCTACTTTTCTACTGCTAGAACTACTAATGTAACTACTGCAGTTGCTGCAGCTGCTTCTACTATTATTGCCATCTGCTGCATCTACTTCAGTTATTGTTCTGTTCAGTTTTGTTAATGTCTTAATTCAGTAGGATGTTAACTCTTAACCAGGTCAGCTTATTGAGAGATACATGAGAAGATGATTACCGCTGTCTTTGCATTAACTATAGAGCTAGCACTTGCAGGTGGTTAGCTTAGCTTAGCATAAAGACTGCAACAGGGGGAAAAGTGAGCCTGGCTCTGTCCAAAGCTAAAAAAAAATACATAGCAGAACCTCTGCTGGTCATTAGTAACAAGTTGTATCTTGTGCTTTTAGAGGAAGTTATGTCATGTAACCATGTATTGATGGTGTTTTCCATCACCACAGTGCTGTTTTCGCTGGTTGCCTGGCAGTGTTACTATTTCTATTACTACCTCTGAAACCACAAATTGACATTTTTATATTCCTGTTACTGAGAAGTGTTATTAGTGCGCTTCAGTGGCATTGGTAAACATATATTTTTAACTTTGGACAGAGCCAGGCTAACTGTTTCCAGTCTTCATCCTCAGCTAAGATAATAACTTTAGCTCCACACTCCACGAGAGTGCCAGAACTGTCAGAAATAAGGTGAATAAGTATATTTCCCAAACTGTCAAACTATTGAATTGAATGAGTGAATTAAATATAATACTGTTTTTACTACTGCTACCACTAAAGGTACCTAGCCTACTACTACTACTACTACTGCTGCTTCTAATACTTTTACTGCTGCCACTCCTACTAAAAGTTCTACTATTGTAGAACTTTTGCTTCTACAACTTCTTCACTGACTAACCCACTACTAAAACATCTGCTTCTACTAATACTCCTTCTACTTATATGGCACTAAACAAACTGTTGTTTCCTGTCCAGGTCACTGTGCCTCTCCTCCTGGTAAACTCCTCAGACGACCCGCTAGTCCATCAGTCACTCCTGGCTATTCCACGCACACTCACAGGTTTGTGGTTTTTGCCATGATTCGTTCATTAGTGGCCATTAATGGTGTTTAATTAGAAGGAAATTCGGTGTTAAGTGATGGTCACTATAGCTGTGTAGCATATTGCATTGATCATAACGTAAAGTGTGTCATCAAATATAGTATTTTCAAATGTGGTTTTAAATGTGTCATGTGGTTTTAAACTGGATTCAAAGTAGGCTTTTCATATCTACACAACAGGAAATATTTCATGTATGTAGCATGTAATAAAACAATAATGTAAATCCATTAATGATAAATTGTAGCCATTGGGTCATCATAAAAACATTCATATGACAGTATTATCATATCTAATTATGCAACAGCATGTTAGGAGTTAAATGAACTGTTGCTGTGAGGTTATGTTCTGTTTTTTTTTTGTGTATTATGGGTGTTTCCTAGAGAGCGATGACTAAAGCAGTAAAACATTTCCCTCACAGTGATATAAACTCAGACTAGTGTGGAGTGAATGAACTCTTTGTCTTTCCTCTGGAGCTGGATTCTGGAGCCAGAGTCTTAAGTGTTGATAAAGTCTTGTCCCAGCTACCTACTCAACACCGCCCAGCCCAGACAGTCTTGTTGAATTTTTCAGGGCCATGTGATCTGCCTGGGCTCTTGGATTATATATATAGAGCAGGGTGTGTTTGTGTGTGTGTGTGTGTGTGCGCGTGCATGCGTGTGTGTGTGCATGCATGTGTGTGTGCATGTGCATGTGTGTGTGTGTGTGTGTGTGTGTGTGTGTGTGTGTGTGGGGCCGCAGCTTGCTGCCCTGTCTTTCCTCAGTAGGTCACGTGTGTAAATTAGTATGTGTAACAACTTAGACCTTGACAAATGAAATCCTAAACTTGTCCTCTACTTCAAGGAAACATGGATACCTAGGATTTTAATGTTTCCTTTAAATGTTTGCTGTCTTGTTCATTGCTATTTAATCTTTTTTGTGTAAAAGGTCCAACCTTTCCAAGTAATGACTTGTTGATTAAGTTTATTTTAAGGGTTTTTCTCAGATCATGATCATCTCTTGTTTTGATGATGATTTGGTGGCACTTTCTGAAAGAAAAAAGGTTCACTAATGCCTTATCAGTGAAAAAAGTGATCAGTGAAATTGCATTAGTAAGAACAACCTTTGAGTTGCCAGGTTGTAGGAAATCCTTCTCTCTTTAATTAAGACCTCTCAGACCAATGGTTTACTCAACCACATACGTTTTGGACCAAAACCATTTAAGAACTGTTCATTAACATTTACAACTGCATTATGGTGTAACCATATATTTAAGTATAGAGGTTGTGTACATGGTATGATGCATGCTGTTAAAAAGACCCCAGTCTCATGAACGACTGTATTAACGTTGCCTGTTAAAATCAAATGCGGTAATAACATGGATGTGTTTTTCTATTCAGTAATAAAGCCGTTATAAATGTTAGTAAACTGCCTAAAAGTTAATCAACTGCAGTTAGAAATGTTGATAAATCAGCAGCTGTAAATAGTAAAAGTCCAGTTCACCACTGCTATCAGACTAAACTCACTATCTGATGTACTGAATTCAAACTAACATCTGTCTACATAGATTTACACAACTGAAGACCAGAAGTAATTGACCAGGGATCTTTAATGTCACATACTGGGGACTGAACACCAGCCACCAAAAGAAAAAGAAACCTGGGTAAAACCCAGAACTCCACAGAACTAGACCATAAGGAGCATTAAGACAGGTGTAGGGATGGTTACCACACAATCATTAGGTCATAATCCAAACATAATTGTTAGTAATCTTTATGTATCAGATATTGTTTCAGCTTCTTAAACCTAGTCCCATATGAGAAACCTTAAAGACAGGTCTCATGTCCCATATGGTCTAGCGGTCAGGATTCCTGGTTTTCACCCAGGTGGCCCGGGTTCAACTCCCGGTATGGGAAAGGATCTTTACAATAATGGAATTACCTCTTGTAGCTGGATCTTTGAAACCAGAGACAGGAACTGAGACAAGCTCAAACCACACACAGCTTAGAGTGAGAGCAGTGGTGAACTGGACTTTTAACAGCTGCAACCTCAAGATAACACTATCTAAGTTGATCCATCGTTTTCGGATTCCTGGTTTTCACCCAGGCGGCCCCGGTTTAACTCCCGGTATGGGAATGATGAAGTTTTCAGATAAATTATTTGTAACAACCAGTGTTTGACTTTGTCAGACACACTATCCAAGTGTGAGGTGTTGGTATGGACTACAAGAGCTCTTTATATTTGTCACAGGTACACCCAAGATGAGAGTTGACTGCCTCTGAAAACCTGCACTGGTGTTAGTAATTACAAAGGTAGTTGTTCCCATACCGGGAGTTGAACCCAGCCCGCCCGGGTGGAAACCATGAATCCTGACCATTAGATGTGGGAACAATGAAGTCTTCAGATAAATTATTTATAACATTCGGATGTTTGAATAACTATTGTCAGACAGACTATCCAGGTATGGGATGTTGGAATTGACTGCGAAAGGTCTTCATATTGATACCTCAGCTGTGACCACTGCCCACTTACATGTCCCATATGGTCTAGGCGGGATAAGGATTCCTGGTTTTCACCCAGGTAGCAAACATTGGAAAAGTGAAAATAGCCCCTGAAAACTAAACATGCGTAAAACGATAGATCAACTTTATAGTCGTAGCTAAAAGTTGTAGGTCTTTCTTGTTCACTTCAATACAGACAGTTTTCTAGTGGCCATCAGTGAAATTGCAGCTTGATGGGCTTCAGCACATGAATCCAAGATGACCCATATAGTAACTTTATATTTGAGGAGAGAATTTGGGGTTTTTATGTTCATCAGACAGAGCTTTCTCCAAGCAGCCTTAGTGTACACTGCAGTTTCACACAGCACTAAATTCTAGATTAGTTAAATTTTAAAACAGCTGGTCTACATAGATTCCCAAACCGGGAGTTGAACCCAGGCCACCTCGGTGAAAACCAGGAATCCTGACCACTAGACCATATGGGACATGTCAAAGTTAAGAGTGGCTGCCACAAGATTATAGAGAAATGATACAAAGATAGTGTTATCATGAGGAAGCAGCTCTTAAAAGTCCAGTTCACCACTGCTCTCACACTAAGCTCTGTGTGGTTTGAGTTTGTCTCAGTTCCAGCTACAAGAGGTAATTCTATTATAGCAAACATCCATTCCCATACCGGGAGTTGAACCCGGGCCGCCTGGGTGAAAACCAGGTATCCTGACCGCTAGACCATATGGGACATGACAACAAATGTAGAACAACTATCTTGGCTTTCAAATAACTCCTCCTCAAAAACAGACCTGTTATATCCAGATATCAAGTTGTCCTCTTGTAAACATCATATGAACACTTCAATTATCATCTGGCAGCTGTGACCACTGCCCACTCACATGTCCCATATGGTCTACAGAGATTAGGATTCCTGGTTTTCACCCAGGTGGCACAGGTTCAGCTCCCAGTATGGGAACTATGAAGTCTTTAAAAAATTACTAATGACATTCAGATGTTCTAATATCTATTGACAAGCCTTAATTAAAGCTCAATACATCAGACACACTATATAGATCGGGGATGTTTGAATGGAACAGGTCTGCATATTTGTCATAGGAACACTAAAGATCAGTGTTGACTGTTTCTGAAACCCTGCTTTTCACCCAGGTGATCCCGGTTGAAATCCCAGTATGGGAACAATCATGTTTACAGGTTTACACTGCAGCAGGATTTCAATAGTTGGATACAGTCCAAGGCTACACTCATTATCTGATGTACTGAATTCAAACTTGTCTCTACATATATTTACACAACTGAAGACCAGAAGTAATTGACCAGGGATCTTTAATGTCACATACTGGGGACTGAACACCAGCCACCAAAAGAAAAAGAAACCTGGGTAAAACCCAGAACTACACAGTATTAGACCATATGGAGCATTAAGACAGGTGTAGGGATGGTTACTACACAATCACAAGTCATAATCCCAACATAATTGTTAGTAATCTTTATTTATCAGATATTGTTTCAGCTTCTGAAACCTAGTCCCATATGAGAAACCTTAAAAACAGGTCTCATGTCCCATATGGTCTAGCGGTCAGGATTTATGGTTTTCACCCAGGTGACCCAGGTTCAACTCCCGGTATGGGAATGGATCTTTACAATAATAGAATTACCTCTTGTAGCTGGATCTTTGAAACCAGTGACAGGCTCAAACCATACACAGCTTAGTGTGAGAGCAGTGGTGAATTGGACTTTTAACAGCTGCAACCTCAAGATAACACTATCTAATTTGATCCATCGTTTTACACATGTTTAGTTTTCAGGGACTATTTTCACTTTTCTGTTTGTATCGATGCACACTTTGAATATTACTGCTTTTTAGAGAAGCCCTTCTACTGAAGGTTCACAGTTGACTGTTTGTCAAATCCTGCCCTAATTTAATAATTACAAAGGTTGGAGTTCCCATACCGGGAACCCAGGCTGCCTCCTTACGATAACACTAGCTTTGCATCATTTTTCTATAATCTTGTGGCAGCCACTCTTAACTTTGACATGTCCCATATGGTCTAGCGGTCAGGATTCCTGGTTTTCACCCAGGCGGCCCGGGTTCAACTCCCGGTATGGGAATCTATGTAGACCAGTTGTTTTAAAATGAAACTAATCTAGAATTTAGTGCTGTGTGAAACTGCAGTTCCTCTAATGTACACTAGAGGCTGCTCTAAGAAAACTGTGTCTGTTGAACATAAAAACCCCAAATTCTCTCTGCAAATACAAAGTTACTATATGGGTCATCTTAGATTTACGTGCTGAAGCCCATCAATCTGCAATTTCACTAATGGCCACTAGAAAACTGTCTGCATTGAAGTGAACAGGAAAGACCTCCAACTTCTATCTACGAATATAAAGTTGATCCGCCGTTATACACATTTAGTTTTCAGGGGCTATTTTCTGTTTTCTATTTGTATCGATACAAACCTATAATATTACTGCTTTGTAAAGAAGCCCATCTACTGAAGGTTTAAGGGTGTAAGCTACAAAGAGAGCAGCTGATAGGATGATCTGGCAAATATGCAGCAGGGTTTTTCCCTTTGTGTTGAGAAACCTTGAAGGTTGAACTCATGTCCCATATGGTCTAGCGGTCAGGATTCCTGGTTTTCACCCAGGCGGCCCGGGTTCAACTCCCGGTATGGGAACTCCAGCCTTTGTAATTATTAAATTAGGGCAGGATTTTACAGTTAATCTGATGACCAAAATGATCTTTGGTGTTCCCTTGACGAATATGAAGACCTTTGGCAGTCCATTCCAACATCCCAAACCTGGATAGTGTGTCTGACAATAGTCATTGAAACATCTGAATGTCATAAATAATTTATCCAAAGACTTTATCATTCCCACACCGGGAGTTGAACATGGGCCACCTGGGTGAAAACCAGGAATCATGGCCGCTAGACCATATAGGACATGAGACCTGTCTTTAAGGTTTCTCATATGGGATTAGGTTTCAGAAGCTGAAACACTATCTGATACATAAAGATTACTAACAACTATGTTTGGATTATGACCTAGTTATTGTGTAGTAACCATCCCTACACCTGTCTTAACGCTCCATATGGTCTAGTACCGTAGAGTTCTGGGTTTTACCCAGGTTTCTTTTTTTTTGGTGGCTGGTGTTCAGTCCCCAGTATGTGACATTAAAGATCCCTGGTCAATTACTTCTGGTCTTCAGTTATGTAAATCTATGTAGACAGATGTTAGTTTGAATTCAGTACATGAGATAGTGAGTTTAGTCTGATAGCAGTGGTAAACTGGACTTTTAAGAGCTGCCTCCTCACGATAACACTATCTTTGTATCATTTCTCTATAATCTTGTGGCAGCCACTCTTAACTTTGACGTGTCCCATATGGTCTAGCGGTCAGGATTCCTGGTTTTCACCCAGGCAGCCCGGGTTCAACTCCTGGTATGGGAATCTACGTAGACCAGCTGTTTTAAAATTAAACTAATCTAGAATTTAGTGCTGTGTGAAACTGCAGTTCCTCTAATGTACACTAGAGGCTGCTCTAAGAAAACTGTGTCTGTTGAACATAAAAACCCCAAATTCTCTCTGCAAATACAAAGTTACTATATGGGTCATCTTAGATTTACGTGCTGAAGCCCATCAATCTGCAATTTCACTAATGGCCACTAGAAAAATGTCTGCATTGAAGTGAACAGGAAAGACCTCCAACTTCTATCTACGAATATAAAGTTGATCCATGGTTATACACATTTAGCTTTAAGGGGCTATTTTCTGTTTTCTGTTTGTATCGATGCAAACCTATAATATTACTGCTTTGTAAAGAAGCCCATCTACTGAAGGTTTAAGGGTGTAAGCTACAAAGAGAGCAGCTGATAGGATGATCTGGCAAATATGCAGCAGGGTTTTTCCCTTTGTGTTGAGAAACCTTGAAGTTTGAACTCATGTCCCATATGGTCTAGCGGTCAGGATTCCTGGTTTTCACCCAGGCGGCCCGGGTTCAACTCCCGGTATGGGAACTCCAACCTTTGTAATTATTAAATTAGGGCAGGATTTCACAAACAGTCAACTGTGATCTTTGGTGTTCCCTTGACAAATATGAAGACCTTTGGCAGTCCATTCCAACATCCCAAACCTGGATAGTGTGTCTGACAATAGTCATTGAAACATCTGAATGTCATAAATAATTTATCCAAAGACTTTATCATTCCCACACCGGGAGTTGAACCCGGGCCGCCTGGGTGAAAACCAGGAATCCTGACCGCTAGACCATATGGGACATGAATTCAGCTTTCAAGGTTTCTCAACACAAAGGAAAAAACCCTGCTGCGTATTTTCCAGATCATCCCATCAGCTGCCCTCTTTGTAGCTTACACCCTTAAACCTTCAGTAGAAGGGCTTCTCTACAAAGCAGTAATATTCAAAGTTTGCATCGATACAAACATTAGAAAAGCGAAAGTAACCCTTTAGAATGTTGTGGAAAACCATTTAGTAACTTCGTATTTGCAGAGAGAATTTGGGGTTTTTCACTGTTCACATGTTCACTTCAACAGACACAGTTTTCTTAGAGCTGCCTCTAGTGTACGTTACAGGAACTTCAGTTTCACACAGCACTAAATTCTAGATTAGTTTAATTTTGTATCAGCTGGTCTACATAGATTCCCATACCAGGAGTTGAACCCAGGCGAAAACCAGGAATCCTGACCGCTAGACCATATGGGAAATGTCAAAGTTAAGAGTGGCTGCCACAAGATTATAGAGAAATGAACAAAGACAGTGTTATCATGAGGAGACAGGTCTTAAAAGTCCAGTTCACCACTGCTCTGGTCACTGGGGACACCTCACACTAAGCTCTGTGTGGTTTGAGCCTTTTTCAGGTGTCAAAAATCCAGCTACAAGAGGTAGTTCGCCTGTTGTAAACATACTGAGAGTTGACTGCTTCTGAATTCCTGCTCTGGTTTAATAACAACAAAGGTACTTGTTCCCATACCAGGAGATGAACCCAGGCCACCTGGATGAAAACCATAAATCCTGACCGCTAGACCATTTGGACATGAGACCTAGCTTTAAGGTTTCTCATATGGGACTAGGTTTCAGAAGCTGAAACAATATCTGATACATAAAGATTACTAACAATTATGTTTGGAGTTTGACCTAGTGCTTGTGTGGCAATCATCCCTACACCTGTCTTAATGCTCCTTATGGTCTAGTTCTGTGGAGTTCTGGGTTTTACCCAGGTTTCTTTTTCTTTTGGTGGCTGGTGTTCAGTCCCCAGTATGTGACATTAAAGATCCCTGGTCAATTACTTCTGGTCTTCAGTTGTGTAAATCTATGTAGACAGATGTTAGTTTGAATTCAGTACATCAGATAGTGAGTTTAGTCTGATAGCAGTGGTGAACTGGACTTTTAAGAGCTGCCTCCTCACGATAACACTAGCTTTGCATCATTTCTCTATAATCTTGTGGCAGCCACTCTTAACTTTGACGTGTCCCATATGGTCTAGCGGTCAGGATTCCTGGTTTTTACTCAGGCGGCCCGGTTTCAACTCCTGGTATGGGAATCTACGTAGACCAGCTGTTTTAAAATTAAACCAATCTAGAATTTAGTGCTGTGTGAAACTGCATTTCCTCTAATGTACACTAGAGGCTGCTCTAAGAAAACTGTGTCTGTTGAACATAAAAACCCCAAATTCTCTCTGCAAATACAAAGTTACTATATGGGTCATCTTAGATTTACGTGCTGAAGCCCATCAATCTGCAATTTCACTAATGGCCACTAGAAAACTGTCTGCATTGAAGTGAACAGGAAAGACCTCCAACTTCTATCTACGAATATAAAGTTGATCCATGGTTATACACATTTAGCTTTAAGGGGCTATTTTCTGTTTTCTGTTTGTATCGATGCAAACCTATAATATTACTGCTTTGTAAAGAAGCCCATCTACTGAAGGTTTAAGGGTGTAAGCTACAAAGAGGGCAGCTGATAGGATGATCTGGAAAATATGCAGCAGGTTTTTTCCCATTGTGTTGAGAAACCTTGAAGGTTGAACTCATGTCCCATATGGTCTAGCGGTCAGGATTCCTGGTTTTCACCCAGGCGGCCCGGGTTCAACTCCCGGTATGGGAACTCCAGCCTTTGTAATTATTAAATTAGGGCAGGATTTCACAGTTAATCTGATGACCAAAATGATCTTTGGTGTTCCCTTGACGAATATGAAGACCTTTGGCAGTCCATTCCAACATCCCAAACCTGGATAGTGTGTCTGACAATAGTCATTGAAACATCTGAATGTCATAAATAATTTATCCAAAGACTTTATCATTCCCACACCGGGAGTTGAACATGGGCCACCTGGGTGAAAACCAGGAATCCTGACCGCTAGACCATATGGGACATGTCAAAGTTAAGAGTGGCTGCCACAAGATTATAGAGAAATGATACACAATTAGTGTTATCATGAGGAGGCAGCTCCTAAAAATCCAGTTCACCACTGCTCTCAAAAACATTGGTGATTAAATTTCTTTCAGTCAGCTAATTAATTGATCAACTATTTGTTTCAGAAGTTTGTGGTTACAGGGGGAGCTATATTTTCATGCATCAATCTATTTATTCCAGGTGATTGTGTCTCTGCTAGTCTATGTTCATACACCCTGATCTGACGCAGAGTGAGATTCATGTGTTTGAGAAACATGAAGATGATAAAAATCTGAAGAGGTCAAAACTCCAGCAACGCGCGAGTTTCTAAAAACTGAGTATATTGTCAAATTCTTTTAATGTAAAAAAAAGTTTGATTCACATTTTGAAAGACACACATTAATAATTAAGTTATGGTTAAGTAATTACCAGTGAATAATGATAATATCAAAAGGTGTTAATTATAGATACTAAAATGAACAACAAACTTTAATGTAGAGACCTGCAACCTATACAAAGCCCAAAAGAGTATTGCCAGAGGGTGTCTTAGTTCTTAAAGATTTGCCATTTCAGACAATAGACTTTGGTGCTGCCACCATGTGGCCAAAAAAATTGTTATTGTCCTTTAAATAAACCCCTTAAGAAACAAAACACTGTAAATAAGTTAGAGTAGACCTTTTCTTATTTATAAGCTGATGTTGAACCCAGTGCTTCTGTCAGGAGCTGTACAGTTAGGTGAAAATTATTTTTATTTCCAGACACTGATGGATCTAGTTGGTGAACTGAAACATTACACATACGAACTAATGTCTTGTTTAGCTCTGATGAGTGGTTCTTGACATCAGTAGTTAATACAGCTGCTACACAGGAAACCCAAACATCCCCACCTTTGTTTCCTGTTACAGACACTGTACTTTTACTATGTGTCAGATGTTCCCAAAAAGTAATGAGTTGGCACTAAATTAGGTGTCACCATACTTCAATAGAAAATACTGCTGAGTAAAAAAAAGGGTCATTTACCTTACCTCTCCTTCTATTTGTCCTCCTCTTCAGAGAAGATGCCCAATGTGATATTTGCCCTGACCCAACACGGAGGCCACCTGGGCTTCTTTGAGGGAGCTGTGTTGTTCCCTCAACCCCTCACCTGGATGGACAAGGTCATTGTCGAGTACACCGACGCCATCTGCCACTGGGAGAAGAACAGGCCAGTCTGTCAGAGGAGCAGCCATCAGGACATGAACTCCTGCCTGCAGAGCACAAGGGTCACACTCAGTGGGTAACACTTACTGTACATAGAGTCTGAAGACCAAACTATAGACCAAAATGATAAAAGATGCACAGGCAAACACTCAGCCCTCTATATTTTCTCTACTTTGGCACTAATGGTCTTAAAGTTAAATGAGTAATTCTGGGAAATGTAGGAAACCATTAGATGGATTTGACAAGGCAGGCAGCAAATTGGAAGTTAAAACTCACAGACATAATAAAAGCTGAGTGTAATTTGAGCCTGTGCTGAATTGTTCCTTCCTCATTTGTTCTCAGTTAATCTCCAGTGCAACAATAGTTTGCCCTCTGCTGGTTTTTGGCAGGTGTTGCCTCTTGATTCTGGACAGCAGGGTGATGTAGTTGGCAGGAAGGTGACGCATGAATGTAAACCTGTGAGTACAAAGAAGAAAATTGAGATTTTCCTACATTAATTACTATTGAAAATGTTCCCAGATATTCATACGAAAACTTGAATGTCATCTTACACACAAATTGGACCTGTAGTCCTACTTAAGTGAGAGGGACCTTCAACCCTTTCTGAAGTCTTAAAATCTTAACAATAATATATGTTCAAATATATCTGATGCCCCACATCAGTCACATTTTCAAGTATATTGTGGTTACCTGTTTAAAAAAATCTTTTAGAATTTAACTTGAAAAGTTCTCGACCAGATTTAAGTGCCTTGATATAAATGTGAGTCTGCAGCAGATTTGAGTTTCGGCTTCTCGTGAATCATTGAGCCGCCTCTGATGAGCAGCAGTTATGACATGATTTATGGTTTACAGTGGTGATTTTCAGCCGTTGTTAAGGCTCAAAATAACATCTGTTGCGTTCAGATTGTGATTTTAAATTCCTTAATCGTATTTTAAATGTTCTTGATCTTGTTTGTTTCCTTTGAGAGAACTATGCTGTTTTATTGTATATTCTGTTAAATGGTTGGTTTATTTATTTGTTTTATTGCATCATTTTGCTCATTTTGACACCACTCTCCAGTTTTTCACTTTGTGTTTCCATTGTTTGTGGTGGACCATCAAACTGCATCCTTGCTCCTTCAAAATAAAAGAATCATGCCCCTGCAGGTTTTTAAAGAGGTTTAGGAGTTACAAAAATTCAGACAGACAGAAATTGTAGTTTTTCTACTTAATAACACTTTTCTAACAGTCAGTGTTGTTGAATGGAAATATGGGCTCTTCATACAAACTAGCTTTAACATTGTACTTCTGTAGGTCAGCCTGTCCCATGAATTATCCCACAGAACCCAAAAACCCAACACTATGATGCCTCCTGATGCAGGGTGATTGAAAGAAATTTCAATCACTGTTTCCATGGATTACCACAGAAAATGTTCTTTGATGCATCTATAAATCAGGGCAGGAGGTAATCGGAAAAAAACACTGTACTTACGCTCAGGACAGAGCTGCATGATGCTTACAGATGTTACAGCAGGCAGGAGAGAAGAGAGTGCAACTGGGACATAAACAGTAAGTCTATAAAATGAGAAATCCAATGTTGGACTCTCAATTTATGCACTTACCAAACAAATAGACTAAAGGACTTTCCACTTTTCAATAAAATACAGCTTGACTTTGCCACAAACCTGTTAAAGGCAAAGTGGAGGTCTCATATTAGATAACACTTTAGACGAGGGCTAATCGCTGAGTGACCACAGTTTTTTGAGGGTTTGCTTTAAGCTGCTTATTACAACATACCAGATGGGTGGTGTGCGCCATGTTTTTTTCTTCATGAAAACAGAAAAATACCGGACAAAACTTACCTCTGTGTCTCATGATACATTTTATTTCCTTGAGGTAAAGGTATGATAAAGGTATTAAACACTGACACAATAGGTTTTTGTGTGAGTTTTATGTGCAGGAATTCTCTTTGTTTTTCTGTGGTGTATTGTAGCCTTTTTCATTATCATTTTAAGAAGTGCCTGTTTGATATGAATCAGTTTCCTGTGAGTAACATCCTGTCACACATAGTGGAAATGTGGACTCCACCCAAGTTCATGCATGTCTTATTAATACCATTTTCAGCCATCATACACCACTTCAATTCTCTCTCTGCCCTTTGAAGCTGAAGCCAACCTGTCAGCAAGCAGCACAACTCCATCTGTATGTGCATTATGTCCTGACTGTTATAGATATGGACTGTTTTGCTTGGACTTTACGGTTCCTATTGCACTGTATGACAATATAGTATGTATCAACATATGGATGTAACATTTATAATTTAATCATGTGTTTTGTGCTGATGTGGTACACAGCCTTCACTGATATTTGATCTCACCCATTAATAAGTATTTTTCACAAACATTTACGTCTGTTTATTTGAACCTAATCTAGATTTTATGTTTTCTTAATTTGTAGATTAAAACAAAGACTATAACTTATATTTATATACAGTTTATTGTACATTTATTGACATTCTTGTTGGTGCAACAGGTAGCACAGTGGGTAAAACTTTATAATATTCATATTGAAGAACAATCTAAAAAACATGAGACAGGCACTTGTTGGAATATCAGCCTTGTACTCCACAGAGAGACGGGGGGATCAGAGAGTGGATACAGAAATCTGGGGCCTGCCAGTGTTACAACAAGCTATGTGGCTGAACTACAGTCCACACAGAGCACAACTTCACAGAAGAGACGCAGATAATCTCTATCTGTTGTTCACAAAATGATATTTAAAATACTTGATTGAATCTGAATGGTCAAAGAGTCATGGTGCTTATGCATTTTTAGCACATTAACTTCAAGTCATGTGTAGGTTACAGTAACACTGATTTCCCAAACCATGCCTCCCAGACAGCCATTAGCTTCCATTCATGTCTCATTGGTATGAAAATCAACTTGCAAAGATTTTGAACATGCGTACGACAATACGGTAGTTCATCAAAGTGGACACTTGGCCATCTTTATTTTTTGTTCAAACTTACAGTAATGCAGTTGTGAGCCTGTTTTGAAAATTCTTCCTTGTTGGTGACTGTCAGGAAGCTCTCAGATCTCATGTTTGTGAGTCAGTTATTGTGTGTGTGTGTGTGTGTTGTGGTGTGTGTGTGTGTGTGTGTGTGTATGTAATAAGGATTACTGTTTCCCTGCAAACTCTGGACACACCAAGAAGGAAGCATCAAAGTAGCTCCTGCACAAAATTGCATAACTGTGTGAAAACAACAAATTTGACCTTAAAAAAAAGTAAAGGTAACTAAATGGCCATCGTGATGAACGACCTACTTCACGCTAGTTTTAAAACTAAGATGTTTGATTGATTTTCAAACTATCTTGGTATGAAATGAAAACAATGGTTGATTAGAAGGTAGGAAATTATTCTCAAAATCTTATGATGCTTTGGAAACCAATCTGTACCCTGTAATTAATGGTCAAATCTAATAATCCAGTGTCTTATTACAGAATACTTTAGAGTGTAAGTGAGAACACTTCATTCCTGTTTGTGCTTTGTGTGGACCTCACATCATTTTAACTTCTCCCACACTCGTGACTTTCATTCATAACTTTTTTTTCCTACAACCACACAGCTAGATTGGGCTTTGAGTCTCCACAGTCTATGGGGCTTTGTAATATATAACGGCTCTTTGCATGTTTGACAAATGGATGGAGGATGTTTAGTCGAACAGCTTGGCTGCTGTGGCCTTGCCATCGTACTTGGCACCTTTTCCATCAAACTCAGATGGAAGGATGTCGGCGTCAAACTCCTTGTAGTAGTTTTCCAGCTCATCTCCATGGACGAACACCTGGAGCAAGGACAGCAGCTATTAGAGTCGTTTGCGACTGTGTATTTCCTGTACCCACTAACTCAATTTGTAAATGAGTGCAAATTAAATTTGAGATGGTACCTATTGTACCCTGAGGTGGGAGTGCTCCATAAACACAGACAATTTCAAAGTGGCATCAGCAGCCTGCTGTCTGCTTTGCTAATCATAACCAAATTCAACACTAATATCAAGCATGTGAAAATCCAGCAATAAAAAACAATGTCACATGAAAGATTTTAACAGTAAACAGTAAAATCTTTGTATTAAATATCTATTGTGTACTTTAACTGTTGTTACCTTTATATTTCACATGTTGCTCTGACAAAACTTGTTTTTAAATATATGATACCTGATATGAGTGTAGTTATAACACTAAGGAGCCTCTGCATTTTATATGTTTCAGTCTTGATTCAGTTTTGACTGTTTCCTCTATCCCGAATTCATCTTATAGACTGAAAGAGAGTAGGAAGGAGCAGCAGTCGTTGCAGTTACAGTGTCACCATTATTATTGAATCAGCTTTGTAAAACTCACTCTCTCTAGCAGTTTGCTCTTCATTAGTGGTTTGACCACGTTGTAGGTGGTGGTGAAGTACCAGGGCTGGTGGATGAAGTGCACAGCTTTGAAACGGGCAGGGAATGAGTCCTGGTGGAAGAGAAAAAGTAAGAGAGTTTGGTGATATAACCCTCAATAAAACCATCAGTGAAGAGGACTCCTGCAGGAAGTGTGAGGTATTAGACTGTCTGTGAATATTTCTTTCCAACAGCAGCTCTTGTGGAACAGTTCAAGTTTAAGGTGCCACTGAGGCTGTTGAGAGAGGAGAGAGTGTTTTAATCGCTTTTTCTTAAAAATCTGACTCCTTAACCAGCAAACTGCAACCAGACAAACATACATATTCCATATTCCACTTATCTCTAGTATTCAGCCACACAGATTTTAACTTTAACCATTAGGCTATGAAGAGTTTCTTTGAAAACCTAATGCAGTTTTCATCTCTGCCATATTCATGCATCCTACCCTCTAACGTCTGCAGTAACCAACTAGAGTCCAGGGCAAGAATTTGCTTTCCCACCTGCAACATGTCCACCATCTTCTTGAGCTCGGTGGGTTTGATCCCGGACGCCTGCTGCATGGTGAAGCCCTTGAAGTTCTCAATGATGCAGAACCCATTGATCTGAGTCTCTTCATTCTCCAGCAGCTTCTCCAGGATCACACAGTAGGCACGCAGGATCTGAACACACACACAGACAGAGATATACCATGTTTATTAGCTAGGTTCATTTAACATGTCACCAGACAACTCCACTTGGCACAACCCTGGAAATAATGTACCCAAAATAGCAAGGCTACTGTTCCTTAACCCTTTTGATTAGATATATATCCCTGGTCTCATTTGAAACATAACTTAAGATTTTACAACCAAAAAGTTGAAATGAGTATAAGAGATACTGAACCAAAGTTACACAAGCACAAATGGAAATGTACTTGTTTCTGTCACCTTTTTTTATATTCATTTTGTTTTTGACAGAAAGTATGGAATATAAGGCCTGTAGTAGTTTCTTTTTTGTGAAAAACACTTTGGAGCCTTAGCCTGAAGTCAGAACCAGTTCTGTATCCTGAACTGCTTTGCACAGACAGACTCAGGAGGCCTAGAGCTCTCAAACAGCTTGTAATTTGTCTAGGTTATGTGAAGATTTAGTCCAGTACAGACCAAAACACCTAGGCCAAAACCTCCCTTGGGTAGGACAGGTTAGGTCTACTACTAGGTCTGCTATTAGTACCCATTTTAATGAGCGGTGAGTTTGGAAATATCCTTTTCCTTGTGCATTGTGGATATGTGGTCACCCAGCAGTTCTCACCTCATCGAAAGTGATCTCCTCATAGTCCCAGTTCTCGATGTTGAAGAGCAGAACCACACGGCCATATTTGTCTCTGTTCTGCAGGATGCCGGGGTAGCCGGCCTCAATGGTGCTGCGTACGGCCTCTGGGGTCAGATTCTCAAACAGCTCGGGGTAATCCTTCCTGAAGCGCACGTAGCCTGGACAGAGACACAGGAGAGTCCAGGAATTCTGGATTTGTTCTAGTATCAAGCACTGTTTGGTCCTGTCATCCATTGCCAATGTGATAGAAATCCTTCTGGCAGCTATGAAGGAATTGTTTTATTTTAATCCAATGACACATTTATATATTAATTCATAATTCAAAAGCCAAAATTTAGTGTTTATCATATCAGTTAAAAGATAGGTTGGATCACTCTGTCTACAGGGACTGATAAATCTGTTGAATCAGGCAGATTTTCAGTGTCTCATGATTATCTAAATACTGTCTCAAACACTTTTTTCATGCTGGAAACACCAGTCTTTGCCATGAAAACTATCAATTAAATATTTATATAATGTTATAAGCCTTCAAAATCCTGAATAATTTGAAGCCTGTTCATTTCTTTTCTTTGCAAATAAGTTTTTGTTGCAAAGCTATGACACACGTCTCTTTGTTTGCATGGCTGTCAAACCTCAGACACCACAGTTTGACAGTTTCTGACAACAACAAAATAACATCATTATCATCCGCTGCTTTTTTATAAACTAGATTGGATACTGGAGGTTCAGATTTTCTCACTACTGGCATCATAACTACGGCTTTTACGGACAGAGGAGGAAAACCTTTGTCAGTAACTTTAAGCGTTCATCTTCCTGACGTACCCTTCATAAGGTCAAAGGCTCTAGGCACGTCGTACTTCCTGGCGCGGATGAAGCGGACCAGCAAACTGTCCGGTTTCTCTCCGAAGGTGTCCTGCACCCCCTTGGCCAGATCATCTCCTGCATCTGCCTTCTCCTTGATCATTCCTCGCAGCTCCTTCACCGCAGACACCCGCTTCTCATCTGTCTCGTTCAGCTCGTCCTTGGCCTGCAGGGGGAGCCAGACCACACAGTTAGCTCACATTTGACATTTGGGTTGTTTTATTTGTCACGATATTCTGAATGATTATCTGACCTTCTTGTTACCCATTGTGCTGTTGTGTTTAACTTTGCCATGGCTAAGTTTGTCTTGTCGATCTAGCTAATGTATTCATTTAGCTGACAGATAGCAATAAGTTGGCTTGGCTAGCTGGCTAGTGTTATGTGCTAGCTAACCAAGTTACTAACTTATTAGCCCCTTCTCCCCAGCTGAGGTGGCTTTTTTTCTCATGTTTATTGAGTTTTCTTACATGGACATGAATTAAACTAAACATAGGTTGATAATAAGGAAAGTACAACTATAGTGGAAGCTAACATGTTACAAATGTTCACTAGCAAGGGACTGGTTACCCCGCGTTTGCTAACATTAAATGATTAACTCACATCTCTTATAAGATAATAATATTGTGAACATATTTACAATTTGCAATGACATTGTGAACATGTTTATTCTTTAGTGTCATAATTTATATCATCCATTAGTAACAGTGATTAAACTGTTAAAAGACACTGCAAACCCACACAGGTGTTTTCAGTTATTCTGGCTAATTAGACGTCTAAGAGAGTCAGACATACCCACACAGTCCTAGGAAGAGGTCTAATCAGTCACAATATGTGAGAACACCTGCGCTGGTGCACTATGGGGCCTTAACTGTTTAATATCCTGATGCGGCCTGGTGATATCTCTAAATGTTTGTTTGTCTTGGTACCTTCTGCCTGGTGTGGTCTGGCAGGCTGGCGCAGGGTCCAAACACTTGCCCGTGGTCCTTGACGGTGAGACGTTCCAACTTAGCTCTGAGAGCCTGCTCCTCCTCCGACACCATACGGTAAGTTCCAGTCTGAAGAGACAGGAGACAGCTTTAATGCAACAAACAATGTCCCATAAACTGCAGACTCAAACATACAGCACGTCTTTGTGTGTTTTTCTTAGACATCCAATTTAGTTTTGGTACACTTTTTATATTGGTTGCCTATTTCATAGTGCAAATTTTGACTTTCTTTTAAAATTTGTCAAAAGCAGGAAAGGCACTGGTGTAACTAATAACATTAACTTCACTAGGTAACATAAAATACAAAATTCTTCAATGCATGTGTCAATTCCATGCCTGAGTTTTGGCACCAATAGTAAAATGATATTTTATTTTGAGGAATGTAACACATCATGGTGCAAAAGTCAGGTCAAATCTAATTTATATGCCCCAGTATCACAACCTACCTCAAGGGCCTTAACAATCTGTGCAGCATACAACACCTCTGTACCTCTGTCCTTAGACCCTCAAATTGGTTAAGGAAAAACTCTCCTAAAAATACCCTTTAAACCCTCTTTCATTTAACATAAGAACTTATCAAATGATACAGGTGTCTAAAGCCAAGCAGTCATACAAGAATTTTTAGTCAATAAAATACAGTCTAAAATAGGCAAACATGTTATTAGTAAATATCTGACTGAATAACAAGAGAACAAGTCTACACACCAGTTTTCAGTACTTTGAACTATAAACACATTTCAGTCATCACCAAAAAACTCTTAATCACCACAACCAAGTGTGTCCTGGTGGTTAAAACTCAGATTACTGCTGTTTTTTTGTACTGACAGGGAACTGAAGTTAAAGCTAAGCAGCAAGGAATGACATAGTGCAGAAATCTGTCTTTGCACTTTTTACAGTAGCCATTTCATCATAGCAGGAAAAGCACAGGTGTAATTAATATCATTAATAATAGATGTTCAGCTGTGCCAGCTCAAGGGCTTTTATACATGACAGAGCTGACTGACAATGGCCTGGTAGAACATAAAAATAAAAGCAGATCCATCATTAATGTTCTTATTTACATCTGTGTTTTTCCTGCTGAGACAGAGCAAAATATGTGTTGCAAAAAAGACAAATTAAAGATGTTACAGCAGGTGTTTTGACGGCTTCCCACCAAATCATTGTGACCAAAGAACAATCCACACTTATTAGTTATCTGCTGATCAACACTTAGGTGATGTACCTTGTCCTACTTCCTGCTAACTGTTTGGAAGTGTTTCCACGTTTAAAAGCTAAATGCCTCACTGTGTAAGTGTAATTCTCTCACAAGACTTGGTTGTGCTGTGTGAAATTCTAAACATGTCTAATCCACGTGAAACAATACGCCCATCCACCAGTGTTGCAGGACCAGAATGAATAGGCCTCAGTGTTTGGTTAATCTCCCTCACATGAGTCCAGTAAAGCCTGTAAATACATGGTAAGGACTGCTAGCTGCCCCGAAGCAGGGATCAGAGATTAGCAGCTAAGGCTACTGTAGGTGTTGACGGCATCTGTAACTATGAGCTTTGGTCTTGAGAAATGTTGAGGTGCAGCTGAGTCCATGTTATAGGAAGATGAATAGGTGTTTGTGCTGGATGACACTAGTTTGTGAGGATTACTGAACCCGAGCCCTTTCACCCCTCAACACCACTATTAAAGCTGAGTTTGAAAACACTTACGTATCATTGATTAGTAAAATCTGATCAAAACTATTTTAGATAAGTAGAAGTGCAGGTACTTACAACCACGGCCATGTCTTCTGCTCTTTAAATCACCTTCGTACTGTGTGGAAGAAAATAGTTTGTGATCCACATGAACAAAACAAACAATTGACACACTGTACTCCACATTAATCCCCCTTCATCCCACCCTCTCTGCAGTGACAGGGTACCTTCATTGTTCTATATTTAGCGTTTGCCCATTCCTAGATGATTTATCAGGAGATTTAAGGTCAACACTCCCTTGTTTCATAATCAACAGACTCACACTCACTGTCCAGGTTAAACTCTTGAGTATCACGTTGATTAAGTCTGTATCCGATAAATTCTGTAGATTCTGTATGACCACATGTTGTTACAGAATTAGTAAAATATAAAACCACTTGCATTTTTTTTGTTTCTTTAAATCTTTTATTAATTAGATCTTTTCTTCAGACTGTTCTCGTTCCAATACTTAATCTAAAGCTGCAATAATAAAATAAAAATATAATAATCAACCAATTAATCGATTTGTCAGGGAAATTCATGCAACTATTTTGATAGTCAAATAATCATTTCTCAACCATTACCTAATCCAGCTTCTCATCTGTCTGTATGTCTGTAAACTGAAATTAAAATAATAGCCGGATTTAAAATATATCACTATTAAAGTTTGAAATTTTTTGCCTGCGACATTACCTAAAAGGAAATTCTCAAATGTCGTAATCATGTCTGTGTCCTATTTCAAACATTTCTTTGGTTATATTTGTTACTGTGATTTTGATGTGCAGACAAACTGGTACATTTTGTCATCTTGATTATAAATTCATCTGTCTCCCACATATGGAAATTTGCAGCCTCACTACTCCTGAGATGCCATCAGTTCAGAGAGACGTTAACATGCTCCACCTGTTATATTGTACCTGTATAGCAGACTGGTAAAGACCTCTGCCTTCAGATTTACAGGGATCTGGTTTATAACACAGTGAATGCCACTTCGTAAACACTTAAATGCAGAGAGAAGTCGCATGAGCGCTTGCATTTTTCCATTTTCTGACCGCAGTGGAAATTCATGATGCATGATGCACCTACTGAGCGAGACTTTACCAACAATAGTCTTCACATATTTAGATTTGGCACTCAAATGCCACAATATACAGGAGGAAAGTAGCCGCCAAATATCTACACATGTTGGTTTCATGCCTCTGTAAATAACAGCATAAGTGTCTTTGGTCAAAACTTCTACTCAGCAACTACAGTATTACCAAGAGGAGGTGTACAACACTGGACGCAGAGAGGAGGCTGAAGTAGCACCTCAGCACTGGAGGCCGAGTCTTACCTGAGGCAGATGTGAAGTTGCTGGCGGGGAGTCGCAGGGGTCTGTGTGGAGCAGGGTGGACGGGACCTATGATTTGTAGCGTTGGGATTAGTGGCGTCACACCAGATTACACCTGACAGATTTACTTTTTCTTTTCAATCAGCATAAAAGTGGCAGAGGGTGTGAAGAAGGGGGAGGACGCGGGGACGGGGGAGTGATGATGACGGTTTTTTGGCCAACGGTGGAGGTGTTCCCATGATGAGAGGAAGGGTCAGGGCACATTTTGGATGATGTAATGATGGGTGTACACTTTAGGTAAGAGGTGCTTTAAGGGGGTGGAGGGATTTGATTGAATTCCAAGGAGACTTGGAAGGAGTGAAAAGTGACCATTGTGACCGTTTGATTTGTGCCATGTGAACACACTGGGGTCAGGAGAGAGAAGAGATGGAATCTGTATTCAGATGTGTTTCACATGTTTAGAGGCATGATGGGAGAAAAATCTAGCTCTGATGTTGTTATGCTACTAAGTCAACCACCAGCAATATTTTCTCCAAGGCAACAAGTGTTATGGCTGTAGAAATTACTTTATTCAAAGATATTTTTAATATCACAATATTTTTTTATTATTTCTGTACTTTGCAAGCTTATGGCAAAGATTTGTAATCAAGTGTCTTTCCCTATATTTGACTAAAAGTTAATATTCATCCCTTGAAAGCAACTTAGACCTCTCAGAATAATTATATTGTGCTGAAAGAATAAATATAATGAAGACATAGGCTAACGACAACGTATTTTAGACCATTTATAATAAACTTTGTTGAACTCTTTCAGCTCTTTGCAGTTAAAAGGAGTAAGTGTAGTTAAGCTCTGCATAATTCAGTCTGAAGCTGCCGCATTTGGTCTCCAATTGCTCTCATTTTGGCAACATTAAATTCAAGTTTACACTTTAAACTAGAAATCCTTCATTGTGACTGAGGCAGAAAGCTTTCATGAATCAGAAATATCTGCACGCGCACACACACACGCACACACAAGCCCACAACCACCACCTTCACTACAAGGATTTGGATTTAGACTTAGTTGCATTCATATCAGTAAACATGGGCCCTTAACTACCCACAATTCCTTGTGATCAGATTAGTTCTCACATACACATAGTACATAATGACAGTGTGCACGTGCCAGTTGCTTGATAGTTATGCTGTGGAGTGTATACCTGTGTGTGTGTGTGTGTGTGTGCTGCTGCGAGCAGTGTGTGTGTGAAGTAATGTAAAGGTTTATATAATGTGATCAGCCCTTCATCACATCACACACATGTACTCAGTCGTCAAGTCTAATCACAACAGAGTGAGGCTGAGTAAAAAAATCTCTAGATTAATCTCAATGGGAAACAGAGAGGTGTGTATGAAAACAAATTAACAAAGAGCCACTGGACAGTAATTACAGCAGGATGCTGTGATCGTACTGTCTGCTGTGGTCATTGGGTGACATATTATTTTTATGATTTTCTCTGTTTGATCAGCCTTTGTCTTACTGTTGTAAAACAGTGGAATAAACTCAAAGTTATAAGGCCATCAACAGGGGTGTAGAGAAGAATTATGAGGCCCCTGCTATTTCCTTCTGCTCCATATATGACAAACATCTGTGTCTTACCCTCCACTCATGTATTTACCCATCATCTGTACACATCTCTACCGAAAGCAGCCCCGTGTTAACAAAAACACAGGGGCCTTCTAATGAATAAGAAGACGGTGGTTTTTCGCGTCAGTCTGAACGGAACCTTAAATTAAATTAGTTTTTGAAATCTCCGACCATCTCAGCTCATTTCTCAGATTTTTCTTTTTGTCTTAGAGATGACAATTTATCTTTAAGTTGGAATAATGCTTCAGTGAAGATGCATGTAAATCTTTTGCAAACCTACGAAACAAAAGGTAACTGTACAGTTCAGCCACCTGATAGGTCGATCTAAGGCCTAATGGGAGGTGGGTTTGAAATGGAGACAAAAGAAAATGTTACGAAACATTATGCAAATTGTATGTACAAGTATGAAAAATAGCATGTCTGAGCCTTTAGTCTGCACAGGAAAAACCAAGAAGATTTTTAGTGCTAAAAATAATAGTCAATTCATTGATCAGCACCATGGATAATTTCTTTACTTTTTTTTAAATTATATAGACTAATAGATTTGTCTTTTATTGTAGTATTATTGACATGATTATAGTCCGTGAATCCCTGTTAGTGAAATATTTTTCTTTGAACACGAGAATCCCCACGGCCCACCTGCAGGACATCAGCCCAAAATGAATGCTAGTGAAATGAGACAGTCTTCACTCAGTGATAGTGCACCTTTGTGATTTGTGATGTGGTGCTGTGGATGTTTTCCTATTTAGGTTTCTGTACATCTAACAGGGCATGGACTCGTTGCCCCAGCAGCTGGTTGTTCTTTTGTGTTGGTTCATGTTTGGAGGTTGTCCATTTCCCTCACTCTGACCCTGGCAGCACTAACGTCACCGACACACGTTTTCCTCCTGATGCAACGATGAAGGAGCAGGCGGCCGACCTGTAATCTGCTAAATCTGCTCAAGAAAGCTATTTGAGAAACAAAATTAGATGGATTGGGCAAACAATGCTCCTCTGTGTTCTCTCCCTTCAGCCTGAGCTGGAGGGCCAAGTTCAGGCTTTAGATGTGTGTGTGTGTGTGTGTGTGAAAAAGTGTTTGAGGCACAAGGACAACGCCATTTACGGAGCCATGGAGGATAACAAAATGTACAGCTACACCTGCAGCTCACTGTACTGCATGTTTAATCCAAGTGAAATTATTTACTCCAGTGGATCAAAATCAACCACATAACAACTGCATAAAGCTGTGCAGCATTGCAGCGAAATGACTCACTTGGATGCAAATATTTCAGTCACTGGGATTTAACTAGAAATGCTGGAAAAGACAGAACAATAAACAGATAAACAACCACAAGCTTTTGTGTAAGTAAATATCCCGTCACTTTAGTGACACATTAAACTCTCTTTTTGCCCAATCACGAGTAAAACCACATCAGCTCAACTCTACTGAGGTGGATTTTGTTACCTATTTGGAAATGGTGCCATTTGATGATTTCACCTTCTGATCCAGTGTTTGTGACAGAGTCTGACCAAAACATTTCCCAACACCAACAGAGCCAGGGTTTCATCCATTAATGCTATTCCTGCTAACGATGCCTCTGTTAATGCTGATCTGGCAGAGAATCAAGTGGGACGACTATGATGCAACGGTTGGAGATTTTCCTCTGCAAATACCATGGACTACATTACATTAACAGGTGTTTCTAATATGCATTGATTGCACTGCAGCTTCTTATTCATAATGTCTGATGTAGCATGTCTACAGTATTTGTTTAGTTGTTTGTTTTTTTGTGTGACACATTTTTTGGGCCTTGTGACGCAAGACAAATTTCAGAATAATATTCTGATAAAGTGAAATCAAATAAACGGCTCTTATTTTAAAAGACACATTAAGATACAATTTGTGCTTTCTGTTTAAAAGGGTGGCTGAAAACTAAGAGTTTAATTAATTAAACACATCCACAAGATCTGGATCTTTTGTTAGACCCTCTTGGACTGGTAAATGTCAATTACTTTCGAACTCTGCAGTCCCAGTTTTTCTATTGAAAATATTTTTAGCATCCAAGCACAGGTCAAGATAACCCTGATGATTTTTTTTTTCAGTTGACAAAGCTCTTCCAGAACCACAGCAGACACTATACAACTGTTTTCACAAGCTCTATAGTTCTCCTCATAACTTCACTGATCCTTCACTTTTCCTGGTGCTGTCACATTCACACTCAGTGAAACCAAAGTGTGTTTTATTTTGACATGATGCCATTTTATTAGAACATTTTAGGAGCAGCTTGCAATGTGAGGTAATGAAATACCAGTTACAATTGTTTATAAAATACTGAAGGCCACATATACATGGAGGTTTTTCAACTGAAAAATACAGTTGTTTTCCAAAACAGCTGTATCTGTGACCTAGGATTAGTCTTATGTCCTATTAACAGTTACATTTAAACATTCAAGTAAGAGCACAGACTGTTAGAAAACTCCACACTCTGCGCACAAGTTAGAACCTATTAGAGACCCAACACTTTTCATGCTATAAACATAATCAAATCTGTGACAACTGACTTGATTACCATCAACTCAGCAAGCAAATATCTGGAACCACAGCAAAAATATGCCGTTAGGAACATCAATCATGTTTAACATGTTTAAAAGTAATAAGTTAACAAGTGTTTTCATTCAAGCAGTAAATTCACTTTCCCTAAGGTGATACAGTACATCTTCTCATATGAGACAATGAAGAGTTTTAGTTTAGTTTTGGTTCCTCACGCTTAAATGCTATTATCTTTCATTCACATTATTTATAGTTATCTGAATCTGCTCTGATGACTAAGAACATCACCATCCAACAGGGACTTTTTGAGGCGTTTCCCACTAAATGTCTCATGAATACTCTCCTCTCATTGGCTGTCAGCTGTAACATCATCGGGCCAGTACTCGTCCTGCATGTAGTGGTTTGAGGAGGCGAAGCTGGGCTTGTGTGGAGCGTTGTCATCCCTCAGCTTGTTCTGCAGCTCCTGTTCCCACTCACCCTCCACCAGCTTGTAGAGGTCGAGGGCAGCCTGAGCGTCCTCCACCGAACAGTGACCTCTCTTCCCGACCTGGCCAGAGAAACAGACAGGGTCAGTATAGTTCACAAAAAGTCAGAATACCATCAGGTATAACAAAAACACTGGGCAGACTTCAATGATATCATTAAAGAGCAGTTACCTGTGCATGTACTGAAGGAGGGCTTTTTACAGTTAAAAATAACTCATCAGTGCCCCCTGGTGGACAAACCTCATGATGACACTTCATAACTTGCATCACACATTATCTTTGACAATTATGTGCTGCTCTGTCTTATTATTTATCAGTTAAAGAATCTGTGTTTGGATAATGTCAAGCAATAATAGTGACTTTGACTTTGTATCAATTAGATTCAAAGGTCCACTTTATCTTAAGTGAACAAATTCACTCATCTGGCAGAATGGCAGCAAAAGTTCTCTCTGGTTTAAAGATTTTTGTACACTAAACTATTTGGTTAGATTAAGGGACACCACATCCTTACATCTGTTGTGTTACAGATCTCTTGATAATATATTTACGTCATTAAGCTCCTTGACACTCTGCACATATACAGTTTGGTCCATTTAAGTGATTTAATTTCAGTGTTCAACATATTCTTCACAATTTGGATCAAGAGCACTTACACTGTAAGCAAGTAAGGGAAAAACGTTTGTGATTAAAAAATGACTTAAACATTTTGTAGATGCCTTTCAGCAGTTTAGTAGTTTCAATGAAAAGCCTTAGTTATCATTAGGGATTTAATACAATCAATACAAAAAACAAAATTCTAGTATAAATTAAGTCCATATACATGATGTATGAAGACTGACGATGCCCATGACACTCATTACGTCTCACCTGTATCCTCCTGTTCAGCAGCTTACTGGCCAAGATTTTGAGGGAAAGGCAGCGCTCACGAGGGAAGCCGGCCAAACGGCTGAGGAGACGCGCTGTGCAAGTGTCTCTGACCATGTGACATGGATGGAGTATGTCCAGTACCTCAAAGTCGTTGTAGACAGAGTGGCCCACGACCACTTTGCCCTCAAGTATACTGAGGATCTACAGGAGAGAAGCCACGCAAGTGCAGAGGACAAACATTATATTTACCTGTAAATACTGAATATTAACAATTTGGGGCATCAGCTGAGTCGGCAGAAGACTGGGTTTAGTCAGTGTTGACATTTCTGACTGGGTTGACAGTTCAAACCACTCTGACCTGTATATCAAGAAGCCTCATGTCTTTTGTAAAATGTTTCAATTTAACCAATGCTTCAGCTTCAGGTTTTCTCAACAACACTTTACATTTCTATGTCTTTGTTTCGCCTGAGGGAACACTAGCTGTGGCAACTCCTGCTTAGGAAAGTCAAATACCTATAGAGCTTGCATGTCAACCAGTGGTTCTCTTCCTATATTTCCAGTCATTTGCCCTCCTTCTACTCAAATGCAAAACATGTCCAAAATAATAAGAATACAATAGCTATTTATTTTTTCAAGTATTGCATATGTTTTTAGTAGGAAAAAGGAAGACAGCTCAGAAGTGTTGCAAAGAATACAACAGTTACCATCACGAGCGGACAACTAGATCGATTTCACTTCAGTTCAAAGCACTGCAGCTTAATGTAAAAAGGTGTTAATAAAGAGCCCTGTGAACGTATTTATACTCACTGCCTCCACCGATTCTTTCATTGTATACTAAGTGTGACAGAATAAAACAGCATATGTAGATGCTTCAGTGAAGCTGGTCTCACCTCCTCCCTGGCCTGAGCGAAGGGTTGGGCATTGTGCAGATGATAACTCCGGATGCCACTCCAGCGGGTCCTGTAGTCTGTGACAGGCTGACACGGTTGGACATATTTATCATACAGGACATTGCCATGATAGTCCAGGATGCTGCAGCGGGCCAACTCACTGCAGCGCCCGCCAGGCCCAGTCCCCACCATCTCACAATCTAAAGCCACCACCATGGTCGAGCACAAGCTGAGGCACGGTGAGCTCCGACCACTGGCTGGAGGACTGGCCTCAGAGGAGAAGCCGCTGTCCACCTCCCAACTGTCTCTTAGGGCTGTGACTAGACTGTGGTGGTCACAGGCTTTAGGCACAAACACAGAGTCTCCAGGTTTAGATGCATCTGTGCACTTGTCCTCAGAGCTCAAACTGTTTTGACTTTCCTGCAGTGTATTGCTCGATTTAGTTTTTTTGACCAGTTTACTTGTATCCAGTGGTTTGTAGTGGTTGTCTGTTCGTTTCCTCTTCATGCTGGCAATTATTATCTTCTGATGACATTTCTTCTTTGCTCTTGTGTTCTCCATGGCGTTAAGCATCGTGGCTTTTTTGCACAAATATTGGTAGTTGTTGAGAAGCCCCCATGAGGAGGCTTTATTCTTTTTTGATTCCTCTGCCATCATCAATCAATGAAACTGGCCTTGAAGTCATTTCTAAAACAACACAAAACAACCAGATTATTATTAGAATATAAATTATGTAGGTGATCACTAATATTTAAATCTACAGATTCACTTGGACCTTTTGTCCATGGGGCTGTTGCATAATTGGCAAATAAAACAGACCGACTCTGGCATTAGGGACAAGCTACAAAACACGTTTATATAATGCCTTCATGCTACACACCATGCAGGAATAGCACTGACTTTGAGGGACAGATGATAGACAGGAACACATTACATCACACTGTAGTAACTGTGTACTACAGGCTGTGAATATAATTAACTAACCTATAATGTAAGTTAGCTAATTCATAGTTTTAAAAAGGATAAATTATTAAACATTTGGAAATGTCATAAGGGTTTTCTTCTGAGCTAGCGAACGACAAAAGCAACAAATCTCAGTTCAAAAATTTAAGTTTCATAACTTCTCGCCAAACATTTTATTAACTTCACGCTTTGTCTGACTAATGTTTTTTTCTTTTTCTTTTTTTTTACATCGCTGTTAAATCCAACATACACTGAGCTGTATGCACACTCACAAAGCAACTTTAGCTGAGGTCGAAGTAGCGGTGAGTGACTGCTCCAGCTGTCGTTATAAAAGCTTACAATTATTTAAAAATACATGCTTGCTTGGTGAGTTGTTCTTAAGCCGTGTTGAAGACTGGCTCCCAATGACCGCGAAAACGTGGGGAATCATGTTTATGAAGTGTTTAACTTTATCGGTCGTCAAAGCTAACTTTAACTTGTCAGATATTTCAATGGAGACTGGCGTCCCATCATAGAAAACCGACCGATTTAGCTAGCTGAAGATAGCCACGTCAAACAGGGCACGAGACATCATTAGATATCACACAAGGTTATTGCCGAGAGATAAAGGTGTCATCTATTAATGTTAACAAAAGACACAAAGAAAGGGATATTAAAAAATGACACATTAGAATAAAAATACTTGAATAATTTGTACATTACCCTCTGGAGCTGCACGTGTACTGCCTGAACAAGTCTGGGCAAGTCTGCTCTACTCTTCATCTGATTGGCTCCTTCTCTTCTTCGTCTCACAGGAGAAGTTCAGCTGCCGGATACATCACAGAGTCGCCACCTACAGGCCCAACACAACATTGCCACAAGAATTCTGATACATAATGACACAACACTTCAGATGAGATACACAATAAAAAGTTAAAGGAGCATTTAAGTCACTTTAACGAACAATTAGTGATCAAACCTAAACCACTGAATCAGGACATGTGGGATAATTTACAAAACAATTTCATTTGCTGCGTCTTGTACCTGTTGAGTCACCAAATACCAACTAATCAGGAAAACAACCGATGTTACTAATTGCGTGTCATCCAATGCCAATTAAAGCAGGTTTCTTAAAGGGAATACAACACACAAAATAAGTCTGACAAATGTGAAAATGTATTTAAAAACATGTGTCTGCCCCAAACGACAATGTGAGGAAACATGATAACTACAAACTAGACAATAAATTTCATACTGAAAATCAGTTATGTTGTAATATTTACTGTTCCATTATGATTGACAGGATATGACTAATTGCCTTTTGTTGTTTTTGTCTTCTTTCATGCTTTTTTACATCAAGCTAAATTCAGCTCGAAATTATTCAAATTGATTTGCTGACAAAATTGTCACTAATTTTGAATAGCTGAATGAATTTACTCAGGAAAAAAAACCCAAATATATCAAGCTCCTAATTTGTAAGTTTCTACTTTTTCTCCTGTTTTATTGAATATTGTTTAGGTTTTGGACTGTTGGTTGAACAAAAGATATTTGAAGATGTCATCTTGGACTCTGGGAATTTATGAACATTTACGATTTTGTCATTGTATAGACCAAAAAATTAATCATATCTTTAAAAAGACATAATTGATTATAACTAATTATTAGTTGAAGCCCTGTCTCTCAATCACTTAATGCAATATAGAAATACAAATGCAAATAAGGACCAAATGTCAGTTAACTTTATAAATATTATAATTACCAAAGTTGTGAAGTACAGGACAGTGTTTAACTGGAGCTTAGAAAGCAGCTGCCATGACAGTATGATGAAACATTTAAATTCATGAAAGAGATCATAGTTCTTTTTGGTTTTGTGGGCCTTTTTATTTCATAATCCTTCCAAATGTACAAAAACAAAGACATGTTACAAAACAAAACAAAAAAAAGAAAAAAGAAAAAAAAAGAAAAAAAGAATTCACCATTACCATTATCCCCTGTGACGACGACAACAAAACCAAAGCGACAGATGACAGGAAACCGGTGTCAAACCAAAGTGCATCAGCCTGAGGTGTAGTATTCAGACCAGGGGGAAATAAAAATCTCAATTTTTCAAAAGCTGTCCCCTCTCCCCTAAAAATTTGTTTTTGTTTTTAAACATCGGGCAGGCCCTGGCCACCACCTCTCCACCTTCCTCGGTTTTCCCAGAGCAGCGGAGGACCTAAAGGGAGGGCCGTGTCTTTTCGACTTGGCTTCAGAGCATTCGGTAGTTCACTAAGAGTAGAATATAATTTAGTTCTTTCTCTGCAAGGATTTCTCCAATCCTCCTCCTCCTGTCATGGTGGGGGGGGGTGTGTGTGTGTGTGGGTGCTGAGTTCTCGTTTGGAGCTTTTTATAGCTCTATCTTGTCGTCGTCCTTCTTCTTCTTCTTCTTCTTGGGCTCATCCTGCATCACCAAGGGGTTGGAGGCCTCCCTCTTCAGGTAGGAGAGGAAGTCGCTCACCTCACGACCTCCCTGGAACGAGAGCGGTGAGACAGAATGATTAGTGGAGCGAGTACAGACATAAATTCACTCCTTTTAATGATCATTCAAGGTGACACTCACCTCATATTTCTTTGGGTTCATCTTACGTCCAGCTGGGGAAAAGTAGATTGTGGGGAATCTGAAAAAGCAAAAGTTGAGATTTATAAGAATTTAGTCTTATTCTTTCTAAACCCACAAAAACATTAAAAAAAGGACAGGTTCACAATTCTTACAATTCAAAAATCAGATGTCCATATATCCATATGTACATTGAAGGGTCTTTCTTACTGTAATTATTCTTCCTGGTCATACTGGCTGTGAGGGATCCTTTCTTTCATTGTCAGTGATGGGACAAACCCTACAGTCCCATTCCATGTAAAAATATATTCAAAAATTTATCTGAAATTAATTTTATGCTTCAGCAGTCTGAGTTGGTCAAATCAAGTGGTTATCTTCTACTGTTACAGTCTTTAGTACAAAATTCCCTCTTTTTGTTACCATCCGCCCTCTGCAGCTCAGAACAGACACTGTCAGGGAAACATTCAGAGGGACCTTTGTACACTAACTATGGAAGCTACTCGTGTGATCTGTTGAACCCAGACTGATTAAGTTTCATACCAGCCTCAGATAAACGTTTGATTTTTGCACAAAACCTGGACTGTGGATTTTGTCCCATCACTTACATTAGAACAGTTTTAAGAAGGGATCTTCATGGCCAGTAGGATAAATGATTAGAGCAAGAAAAAATTATTTTAATGTACATTTTGACACCTCAGTATTGTTTTAGGAAAAATGTGAAAATATATGAACCTATCCTTTAAACACCATGAACAAAGAATTCTTGATAAATATGTCATGGATTTGTTTTTGTTTTTTTTGAGTAAATACAGAATGGGACATTTTATTGTTGGAAAAACAACTTGGTCAGTGCTCTCTGATGGACAATTTAAGCAACAGTGTCAGTTTCTTAATTACTTCAAACCTAGTTTGGCATTTCTGAACTTGTTACTCATCAACCGATACATACACCAATACGATATATCTGCAATAAGCCAATCATCGACCCTGACCGTTTAATCTGTCAAGCACTGATCATCCTCCAAAACTCTGTCAGACTTGTGTTTGGTGAACTAAATGAAAATGTAAAGGACAACGATATATGACAAGATATCTTGCTAAGACTTGTCAGTCATTAGTGGGATGTATAACTATTTTCCCCCAAAGTATCAAAGAAAATCTCCATCATGCATGTTCTAAGGGATGTGGTGATAGTGGTGAATTTACAATTTGAGGTTGTGGGGAAGCTTGAATATTACTTTAAATAACCCATGACTCACCCGCTGACTTCATATGGAGATGGCACATCGTTGGCTGTGGCGTCCATCTTTGCAATGACAACGTTGGGGTCATCGGCCAACTTTAGGAGCAGAGGAGAGAAACTGTTAAGTGTCTGTTTTGTCTGGGCTACAGCTGAAATGACTGAAAAATCGATTAATCATTCCAATCATTTGCCGGTTACAGCTTCTCCAATGTGAGGATTTGCTGCTTTTCTTCACTATAAATCGAATCTTTGGGTTTTTGACTGTTGGTCGGACAAAACCCTTTAAGATGCCGCCTTGGGCTCTAGAAACCTGTGGTGGACATTTTTCTGACACTGCTGGATAAGACGACTATAATTGATAAAAGTAAAAAAAAAAAAAAGAAAAGGTGTCTATGGGTTGTAGAACTATTTTTTATGTTCTGTTGACTGTTTGACTTTAAATGTTTCCGTCAAGTTGTTGAACCTGGTCTCCTGGGAACCTGAAACCTGGGAATTCTGAAGTAATCCTTCATTTTAATCTGTTCTTTGGTTAAGGTCATAAAATACTGCTTTTATGCACATAATTACTTTACTCTGATTAGTATTGGAGTAGCAGTAGGTCAGCAGTTCACTCCCTCACCTTCTCTCCCAGCTCTTTGTATTTGGGCTCCAGGTTCTTGCAGTGTCCACACCACGGAGCATAAAACTCGATCAGCACGTCTTTGCTATCGTCGTTGACGATGGAGTCGAAGTTCTCAGCCACAATAACCTGAAGACAAATAGTAGATGTCACTAGATTACTCGCTTGTAGTTGTGAGTATTTTTTAAGATGGTACTTTGAATGCTGCGATTGTAGCATTGCACTTTACTGAATGTTCATTCATATCTATTGCAATGCACAATTTTTGCAGGCCCTCAAGAAGCATCACATCTGATCCTGGTCAAAAATCAACTGTACAAAAATGTGGAGGAAGAATTACACAATTAAAATGTTAAAATCATGTTTGAATATATACATGAAAGTCGCTGAGCTAACATATAACCACTTACAAGCGCATGTTTTACTTTCACAAGTCATTTTCTAACCTATAAATAATCATTTCAGTTAAGTTGAATATTTTAGTAGAGAGACAGACAGATGGGAATATATGGGTATAAAGGTCTTGGTGAGAGCACGTAATCATTCAAATTACAAAACAAATTTACAAAATTTACACACGTACACCTGAGGGTGAGAAGTGAGTAAAACTGTACTGCGGGACCATGAATTCATGTATATTTTCCCATGTCTTGTGCCTGTTAATACTCATCAATCTTTACGCAGCAGGTGTGCAAGTGTTACACAATAAGTAGGAAAATGTGGGAGAAACATGCTACAACATTTTCTAGGAAAACCAAACAATACAAGACCTCATTACACAGCACACATAAAGTAGAGATGGACATCCTTCTGGATGTGTCATCTCACCTTGACAGGACCATCGTTGTTCTCTGGGATGGGCTCTGATTTAAGGTAGCGCTTCAAACTGCCATCAAAGTAGCTCTGCAGGAAACGCTCCAGAGCTTTTCCATCACGACTGTTGGGAGAACAGAGAAAAAAGCAATGAGACCCTGAGTATTTGGAGGAAGAATATGGAATCAACAGATGTGGTGGAAGCCATTAATCAGACTATAAAGGAGAAATTCATCACACAAAATTAAAAAAAGTTCCTTAGACATCTGTTTATCTAGTGGTAACCTTGTCCACTGACCTGGTTCTCTATAACCAGTGAAAACTTCAGTAAAACAACTTCAGTAAAACAACAGATCACTTGATTTCAGTACAAACTCAAAATGTTGCCACTGTAGCTCGTCGTGGTACATGTCAGCATTTACCTGGATGGCAGGTTCTGGGTGCTCATTGTGATGTTGACCCTAACATTGTTATTCAGTCACACTCATATGTCAATATGACCTAGCCAATATTATAATGCCTTCCCAAACTCCGACCAGCACATCCTCATTATATTAAACGGGCTACACAGTGACACTTCATGTAGAAGCATAATTAGTTCAACTTTTAAAGTGACCTAGCCAGTTAGTTAAATTGAATTATTAGTGTGTGTACTGTGTATGGTATGTGTGGTAAAATCGCACCTGTGTCAAACAATTAAAATGACGGTTGACAGTTGACTTACGAGAACTCCTCACTCATGACATATTTGTCTCCCTTGGCAGTGCGGATGGCCACCAGAGGCAACTCTCCTGAGCCTCCATCCAGGCCGAACTCAGACACGTCGTGGCTGAACATGTTCTTGTTGGCCACAGCAAAGTTCAGCTTCTTGCCCTGATCCAGGAAGCCCTTTGCCACCTTCATCACCCTGTAAAATGTTAATATGGTCTGTATTAAAAGCCATGCTTTGGAAGGTGGAAGTAGTAAAGGCAGTATTTAGGGATTACAACCACAACTGCAAGAGTCAACAGCCACCACAAGTAGCTGAGGAAAGAAGAACTCTGGTACACGTTTAGAGACACCTACCTGTTCCTCCAGTAGTTGGAGCCCTTGGGGTTTTTGTCATAATCAACATCATAATAAGCCACCATCAGGTCCTTCCCCCTCAGCTGGTCTTTGTTGTCGTCTGTCATGTGGGGGCAGATGCCAAAGCTGGGTTGAAAAGAAAAAGAATGGATCGGTTTAGAAAGAAAGTTAAACCAACAGGCTATACTTTTAGCTGGTTACTGACAACCACATAAATCAACCGATACAGATGATTTACAGCAGGTTAATCTATTTACTTCAGTTTGGGACTATTCCTTCTTTTTTTCCCTACCATTTAATCTGTTTTATCCTATTTTAACTTTAATCTGTTTTTTTAACATTTTAACCCTTTTAATTCCTATACGTGTGCTTCTGCCTTGTGTTTCTTTTACATGTTGTCTTATGTAAAACTGTAATACATCTACATACAAAAACAGACTGGTTGAAATACACTGAACATACTGATATTTTGCCAACTTCAATGGCATGCAGGTAGGCCGGTGCAACGACGCTGGTGCAAAGTGAAAGCGAAACAAATAAATAAGGGCGTCATAGAGACAAGTATTTACTTTAAAAAAAGAAAAGATAGATTAATCTGCCTCTGCTTTGCTCTGTCAGGAATGTTAGCAGGAACACCAGCAGACACACATGTAGAGACATTCATACAACTACTGTAATGTCTTTTGTTTCGGTTTTATCGGTAGGCACGTTTGTTGTATCTGCTTGTAAATGAACAGAATAGATATATAACTACACGTTAACTCCTAAGCACAACATACTCAAAACATTGCAAAGTGTATGATGTATGACATCAACTCAACCAACATTTAAAATGTAGGACCATAAGCAATTCAAGGTGAAATCACATTTTGAGTGTTGTCTACTGGGGTACATAAAAAAAAAAAAAAAATCCAATGAGCAAAACAATAACACAGGGGGAAAAGCATGTCAATGACTTTTTTTTTCTTTTTTTTTTTTTAATAAACGCAGTGCTGACCAGATCAACTTTTTAGATACTAAAATTATCAGTTATAAGTGGAAAAGGCTAATTGTGGTCACAAGTTCTATTTGTGTCAAGTCATTCATTTCTGATTATACAGCATTACACAGGAATCACCCAGATTCTCTATGGTCTCATTTGCACTGTATCCGTCTGTATTGTTTACTGATGTCATAGACAGAGCAGTGTCTCTGTGCAAAGTGTCTTGAAGGGATCATCAGCTATGGCAGATGGCATGTTACATCTAATTTGTGATTTTCCAGTTCAAAAAAAGGAAACCCAAATATCACACTGGGATCCATAATTTAAAGACAAAATATAAAGTCCAGTATTGGCTCATCATAAGTATTGAATATCTCTTCCTCAGGCCCAAATGCATTTTTCTGATTTATTTAGCCATACTGCCAGAACATAGTGAGAGCGGATCTGTTTGCAGAGGACAACTCACCAAAGAACCAATGTCCTGTTGGCACTTAGCCATATGTGCAAATATGTACTGTTACCACTATGCAACATGGTAGCATGTTTTACCACTACCAACAATTTCAACTACTGTAAATACAAAGTGGTTTGCAAATAAAATGAACCATCATCTCTGCTGCCTAACTGGAGCACAAGTTTCTGGATGTGAAAGGAGAGGATGTGGAACTCAAGAAAACCAACACTCACATGTTGTCCTGGATGAACCTCTTGATTTTGCTGCTGGTGAATTTGTCCTCTGTGAATTTGACGGAGCCATCTTCAAATTTGTTGTTAAGGCGTGGTGGGCGGAACAAGACGACTCCCCTGTAAGCCAACAAAGGAAAGGTCAGTTTAGTCCAGATCCGTGTAACAAACCTTCTGCACCAACAGCTGCTGCACTACTGATGTGACTGTCACATCACATGTGTAAGAAAGTCATTGTCAGTTGAGGACTAGGCCAATGCAGAAAGAGCTACTCACTCTCCATCAATGCCGTGGCTCTGGAGGAGAGCCTCAGAGTTTGTGTGGGCGAAGCGATAGTTGTCCCTCAAGGCGCTGGCTGCCTTCAGAAACTCTGCCTGTGATGTGCTCTTGTCATCAGCAAAGAACCCTGGGAACAAAAGAATCTTGTTCATACCTTCAATTTTACCAGCTGCAGTCAAAATTTACCCAAACTGGGTTCAAGTTGACGCGTCATGCTTAATCATGTTACTGCTAAGCACACGGAAACTGCCTGCTATAGGTGTAAGTGGTTAAAATGCAAACATTAACTCACCAACAACACTTGCGTCTTGGTCTGAAATAAACTTCTGCAATTCTGCATCAGCCTTGAGCTCCACAGAAGCTGGACCAGCCTGCTTCTTGAGGAAGCTGACAATCCCATCTACAGAGAGAAAAAAGAATGATGCAGACTTAAGAAAAGACAAAGAGGCAGAAAAAAAATGAATATGCAGATATACGGAGTATTTGTACAAATGTGAGGTATACAAATATACATAAAAAATTCACATCAGAGTCAGATACCTGCAGTCCTGGGACCATCATAGGGACCGGTTTCCTCTCCATCCCTGAAGATCTTCAGGGTTGGGTAACCACTGACACCATATTTGCTGCATGTGTTGCCATTGGCTGTGCAGTCAACCTAAGGGAAAAGAAAATCATTCACTTTCTGAAGCAGTACAGATTGCACTGGAGTACAGAGTGCAGAAAGCCACACTAAAGTGGACAAAGTTAAATGAACTGCATTATGCAATACCTTGGCCAGAGAGACGATGCCTTTCAGACGTGTGGCAGCTGCCTCGTACTCAGGTGCTAGCCGCTTACAATGGCCACACCTAATAGACAGAGAATATGGATCAGTCAAACAAGTTACACTTCAGCTGTACTCAGGTTTCAGCTGAGGAAAGAGCCTGGGGGTGACAGTGATTTTAGTGTGGACATTCAGTTTATCATCATTTATTGCTAAAAAGCAACAAACCCTATCAAAGTGAAGCTTAAAATAGCAAAAGTTTGTCTTTTTTGCCTTAAATGATTATTTGATTATAAAAATGATAACTAATGAAATTAAATTTATGTCAATCGACTAATTGTTGCAGCTCTAGTTAATATTGCTTGTTTTGTCTCTTTGATAGTTCAAAACCAAAAATACTTGAAATAAACCCAGAGACAACTAAGAAACCACATTTCAGAGGGTGGAACCAAATAAGTTTGTCGTATTTGATTGAAAAATGTGCCTATTTGCCTAGTGATGGGATAAAAGGGGCTGTATAAAGTGTTTTAAGTGAAAGATTTTAATAAATGCGATTCTATCTATCTATATATGTCTGTTTTAAGTTTGGGACAGTGGGAACACGTCACAGTTCCTCTGGACCAATCGAAGGTGGACACCAAAACTTCCCTGGCCAATCAGAATGTTACAACGACGAAATGACACGCCCCCAACTTCCTCATAGCCTTAATTCGCACGTAGTTTTCATTGAAAAGGCTTCAGAACAGCTAAAAACAAACAATATGCCATATCTTACCCGTGTCGTGTTTTTATAGTTTAATGAATGGTCAACGTGTTACAGTCTTTGGATTCTTACTCCACTAAAAAACCTACCAATACAGCTAATTAGCTTACATCTTTCCGCTTGTTGCTAACATGCTACGCTGGTCGCTAGCCAATAAACCACAGACTATTTGAAAATAACGACTATTTTACTGTTTGAAGCTGTCAGAGATGCGAGTTAAATTCTTACAACGGATAAAATACTTTGAAAGAAAACCGAAGAAACATTTACAGTCTTATAAGTTCTGCAAGTGAACGTCAGTTAGCTTAAGTGTTAACCACAAAGCAAGTTAGCCCGTTAAACGTTTGCAAATGCTTCGGTTGTCTTGCACAAAACGTGAAAAAACTCACCAAGGAGCGAAAAATTCCACAAGAATGAGTTCATGGTTTCCAATCTTGCTTTCGAAATCATCATCCGTGTAGTCCAGCACATCACTGGCCCGGGTGAACCCAGCGAGGGCGGCCAAGAAGATCAGCCTCAACATTGCGCACGGCGCTAACTAAAAAACACCTTCACTTACTGGTAAACAAAACAAAAAGAAAAAATTAGCAAACTGTGTCCGTGGCAGCCCCCCCTTCTTCGGCTCGCTTCGGCGACGTGAAAGCCAAGGCTGCAGCAGGCTCCTCAGGCAGGGCCAAGAGTAGACTAGTCGGTAAGAGAAAGAGAAAGAGAAGGAGGAGGCAGAGACGTTCAGGCAGCGGGACCGCTCCTAACCACAGTGTGGCAGCCTGTCATTGGTCCATCCGCTGCGTCATTCTACCCCGGTCAGCCAATGAGAAGCAGGAAAATGAGACCTCATAGCCTCAGAAACCAATCGCGACTCGACCAAATCAAACCTCCTCTCTCACAAGCTAAAATGATTATGTTAAAACTTTACTGATTGATAAAATGGCTTTTTAATGATCTGCTAACGACTAAAATGTGTAAATTACTATTATTTACTATTTCATTCAAGCACAATTGCTCTGCACATACCGTTGCGTTGCAGCGCTGAAACGTGTAAGACAAGAACAAACTTCTCACATATAACATAAAAGTAGAGCAGTGGTGTAATACACTCAGGTGTATCTAATAAACTGACAACTAAGTATATAACTAAGTGCGTTTACTCAAGTATTGTGATTAAGTACAGCTTCGAGGTACTTGTACTTTAATGGAGTATTTTCCGACTTATGCAACTTTATTCTTCTACTTCACTACATTTCAGAAAGAAATTTACTTTTTACTTAATTACATTTAATTGACAGGTGTAATTACGTATATAAGTATAGGTTACTTTCTTTTTACATACAAAATTAACTTTGCAAATGAATTTGGATACTTAAGAAATGTATTATTATAGATTAAATGCCACACAGGTGTATTTAAGTTGAGTTGTGCAAAGCTATGTGGGATGTACATGGGGTAACCATGGTATGAACTAATAAGAAGGATAAAGTTGTAACTTCTCACAGCATAACTAACTTGTGCACAAAAATTTAAGACATATCCGTTTGGACCGAGGGGGTTCCATGATTTAACACTTTGACACAGGCTATTCTGCATAATGAGTTCTTTACTTTTGATACTTTGAGTACATTTTGGAAGTAATACTTTTACTCAAGTAGAATTTGTGAAACCACTTTTACTTGTAGAAGTACTTGTAGAATATTTTTTAAACATTATATTTAAATATCTTATACTTAAGTGAAGGATCTGAGTACTTCCTCCACTATTGCAGTAAAATTTTAATGTCTCAGGGCAATTAGGCTTTCAGTCATCACTCAGTAACGATAGTACAGAAAGGTACAGCAATATAAATAGATAATTAAATACAAAGACTTGCTTCCAGTTTGATGCTTGATATATAAAGAGAGTAACGATGCAGGAGTTCAAGCAATATAATACTACCAACAAACCAACACTATACTCACTGTGCACTAAGCACTTGTGAAAAATGCTGTAAAGTGAGGAACCTGCTGTGATTGTTTTTTAATGTATCGGTTAATTTCATACAAAGTGCAGTAAAGAAAAAATTCTAAATGAAATCAATATTTGGTGTGACCAACCTTTGTCTTTAAAACAGCACCAGTTCTCCTCTGTACACTTGCACAGTGTTTCAGAGCACTTGTTAGGCAGGTTCCAAACATGTTGGAGAACTTGCCACAGTTCCTCTGTGGATTCAGGCTGTCACAGTGTCTTCTGACTGTTCATGTGATCCCAGACTTCCTCTGTGATGTTGAGATCAGGGCTCTGTGCATGGGGGCCAGACCATCTGTAGCAGGACTCCTTGTTCATGTCTTTAGATAGTTCTTTAAGACTCTGGTTGTATGTTTGGGCTCATTGTTGTGCTGCAGAATAAATTTAGGACCAGATGCCTTGTGAGATGGATAAGAATCTCTACATCTAAAGTGCCTAAAAAGTTTGCATCCTTCTGTATTTCATCATCAAAATCATTCCAAGTCGAGTGATGGTGGAAGGATTAAGAACTTTTACTTTCATAAAAGTACTAATACCACATTGTATAAATACTCCATTACAGGTAGAAGCCCTGAATTTAAAATGATACATTTGTAAGTATGTAAGTATAAGGAAAATGTATAGTGCCAGAAAATGGTCCATGTAACTGTTATACAATTATTTATCATATCACTGGATTATTATTACTCATGCAATAATATGCAAATAACATTTTACTAGAGTGGTTGAGTCATTATAAGCATTATATCTGTTATATAGGACTTATTTTTCCTTTCCTTTCCTTTCTCAGTTAATCGCAATTAATCAAATAATGGTTTACTTTGCAAAATTCCACAATAGTCAGAATCTGATTCTTATCATTGTTTATTTATTTATTTTAAAAAGCAGCAAATCCCCACATTTAAGAAGCTGGAACCAGTAAATATATGTAATATTTTCATGAAAAATTATGTTTTCCATCAATTTATCGATTAATCATCTAATTGTTTCGGCTGAGATTGTATTCTGTTGTATATTTTTGGGTAGTTTAATTTATAACCAAGCATCATATTTTAGAAGCTTTTCACATGTTTTGTATGCAAAAATCTTAGGTTGTTAAAAAACTGGCAACTTAAGCTGTAGTGTAGCGTGAGAATAAAATGTACACAATTTCTCTGAAACGTAGTGCAGTACAGCTGTTACATGGCATGAAAAGAAATAGTCAAGTAAAGTACAAATACCTCAAATTTGTACTTAAGCACAGTACTTAAGTAAATGTACTTAGCTGCATTACACCGCTGTCCAATTTAAATGTCAAGAGAACAAATTATAAACAGCTACACACAGATTATTACTCGGATGATCTCCACAAGCACAAGTCAGCACCACTAGATCTAGTCTAGTGTTTGTGACTTCCCCAGCCCTGATCCTCAAAGCCTGTATTGGTCAAGTCTACCGTCGCTTTATTCACATTACATTCACATTAAACTGAGGTACAACCTTGGCTCAGATGTCAGAGGAAAGGTCAGACACTCTGATCGCCATGTTGATCTGCAGGTCTCTCTCGTCTCGGTGCCACTGTTGTGGAAAAACCAAAGCCCCCAGGATTTAGAGTACTGGAACCATTACTGAGATAACACAAGCTTCTCGGAAATTAATTATCATTACCTGAGTCTGTTTTCTATTGATTCTTCATCTGTCCATTTTATTTATGCGCTGACAGTCTGAGGAAGCCAAGAGATGAATGTGAAAGTCATACATTTCCTAAACAAGAGGGAAGCAAACCTACTGTCCTCATTACATCAACAGGAAATACTTTAACATAATGACAAATGATCTGTGTCCATTATGATGATTGATTGATTGATTGATTGATTGATTGATTGATTGATTGACACCTGTGTGAATGTGTTAATTTGATCAATTGTAAATTTGTTAGGAAAGTACAGCATCAACTAAGGCGAGTCCTGTATAGTTTTAACACCAGTATTATCTTAGTTCATATTGGTGCACATTCCTAAATACAGCCTCCAGGTAAATAATGAAGCTGCAGGGTGAGGACAGGTGTTACGTAATGGGAAACTGGAGGTATACGTATTTTACAGAGTGTAGGAGGGGAAATGTGAGATAACAGATAACAGGGGCCCAGCAGCAGATTTTTATTAACAGGTCAATCTGGCTGTGATTATGAGACAACTAGATGACCTTGCTTGCTTTCATTTCTTGTAAAAATGTTGTTAAAGTATACCTACCTTTGAAAAAAAATGAATTGATGTCCTAGTGCTGGTCATCAAAAAGCATCTGATGTTTTTTGACTCTTGTATATGTTTCTATTAATTATTTGACTCTGACTGTTTCTTATTCGCAAGTCTCTCTTGAAAAATCTGAACGTGATAACCTGATTAAATAAAAGTTCAAATCTGCTCAGGTGCATGAACATTTGTCTGACTTTCATCCCAAAGCCTATCAAGCATGTTTCTTTCTTATTGTATTTCTTCCTTATTGAAGTCTTTCAGACTAAAATAGTCTTCATATTCACTAACTCAATCACTTACTGCTTCTCCACTGTGTTGTCCCACCTTATAAAGCTGCAGTTACATTACCGTGCCAGCAGAGGGAGCTTTTTGACAGCAGGGAGCTCTCCTCAATCCCTGCTCTACAGTTCTCTGGGAACAGGGAAGTTAATTTAAAAATATGTATTTCATCACTTTTATATGAATGCACACACGAGTCATGCAATGCCTCAGCTGGTGTAGAGGCCCATTACGTTTGACTTTAAAGGCATTCCTCATAGACTTAGGTATTTCCATTAATTCTCTAATACTGGTATTTGTACTCAGGAATTATTATAATACATCTTTAAAGGACAAAATCAATTCCCATCCACAATGTAAACTTTTACATGCTGCTCTGGTGCCTATAGTGAGATGTCCCAAGTCAATATGTCCCTCTATGTGACCTGTCTTTAAACAATATTTCCTTTAAGCCCTCATCAGGTTTTGAAGTTGTTGTGCAAACTCTGTTGTGTACCCACATTACTGTGAGGGTGACAGGTGCTGACTAGTAGTTAAATTTTGAAAATCTAAAAGATAAAAGCAATGAAATTAGTGAGGTAAAATCAGGAAATCTTTCAGATTTGAATATAAATAACATATCTACCGAGACTCATTTTTTATAAAGATGAAGAAAACCTGCCACAATTTAAAGAGCTTAGAATATGACAAACAAAATGTCAGAACTCAACACTGTTCTTTACTCGTACCTTATTTGTACAGATTAGTTCTTATTTGGCTGTCTGATCATAGTATGGAGTCTATGTAACACATTGTAGATTACGTATGCATCATGACTTTAAATCCAAGCAAAGTTCCACTATATACATGTAAAAGATATATGTAAGTATAGAAGACATTCTTTTCCTCAGTTTTTCTTCTGTAAACTTTGCTTCCTAAATTTCATTCAGCAGCACCTCAGAAAGTCTCCTCATCTCTGTGGCTCCAACTTGCAGATCCACAGTCGAGTGGTCAGCTGTGCTAATCCTTTGAACCAGAGCTGCCTTCTTCCAGACCGGCTGGCGTTTACTGTAAACTTACAGCTCAGATGGAAATGACAGAATTAGACAGATATAATTTAGGGACCAAACAAGGTTAGAGAATCCACTCGAGTTTTTTTCTATTCAATTTCCTGTAAATAACAGGCTGACGGTCATTGTCAGTGGAGCTGTGATCAAAGTGTTTGTGTTTGTGTGTATAGGGAGTGGTGCACAGAAATAGTATTACAAAACACAGCACTTTATAAAACACCTGTACTGTGTCAAGGTCACTGATTGGACACCCACTAGCATCTCAGCATGAAAAACATGAAACACTGACTTTGACAACAAAGGATGTGTAACAGCTGTAAATCCTTCATTTTATGACTTTTATACTAATGTTGGTGCCGACTTTACATGAGACATTTGGATACATTAAATTCTTTATGTTTGGACAAATGGAAGACACAGTATTTACAAATAAAATGTGTTCTTCTTTGTAGATACGTCTCTTCTTAGATGCATTTTGTATATGTTATTCAAAAGTAGCTTAACCACATGAAATCATTTGAATTCCACCATAGAGAGCAGTTAGCATTTAGCATTCTAGTTCATCTGGTGTCCATTTTCTCTCCACTTTGATTTAATATATAGATATGGTTTTATTTATGTGGTAAGAAAAACTCAATTATTAAAATCTTGAAGCATCAAAATAGATTTTTCAATTCCAGGAAAATTAGGAAAATTAGCTTTAGCTAAGGCTAACTCACCTGCTAAAATTAAGTAGCCAGAGTAGTCACTGCAGTTTGGTTTTTAGCTCCCTGCTGTGTTTTGGTGGAATAATAATTTATATAGTAAAAAAAGGACAAAAAACAGATTCTGGCATTAACTCAGTTTTGACCAAATGTGTGTAGTTACTGTATTTTGCCTTTGCAGGGCAGTTGTCATCATCATCTGTCACCATTTTATCCCACTACACACAGAATGTTACAGCGCTGTCGTCATTATTCAAACACCATTTTATCGGAGGGACCTGCGTTCATTTTAGTGTGGCTGTGCAGCACTGTTCTGTGCTGCAGAGATGTTTTCGGTTACCCACAAAGCCCCTTCCTTCCCCCATCAGAGAGAGCCCCCACTGCTTCTGAGAAGTGGTTGCCATGGCAACCTCCTTGCTCCTCAGCCATATGTGGAACAGGAGGAGGAGAGGAGAGGTCTGCAGCATTATGCTAGTGACAGGCTCCAAGTACTGAGAGACCGAGAGGGAGGGTGTAAAAGGATGTGTGTGTGTGTGTGTGTGTGTGTGTGTGTGTGTGTGTGTGTGTGTGTGTGTGTTCAGGACATCAGACCATTCCTCCAAATCCTGAAGAGAGAGGAACAGATTCCTCATGCCTCACAACACCAACACTCGACGTCTCAGCTGCGTCTCCTCAGAACACTGAATGCCTTGTTGTCGTGTCAGCGTCCAGACCAAAACAGTGGAAAAATCCTGCTTGTTTCATCAGTGGAGAAAATAAATATCCATTCATTCACAACGGGACAAAGCACTTGTTACAGACTTCCTGCACTGCACAGAAAACATTGACGTCTTTGCACTCGCTTTTAAATGAAAGACAGACACAAATCCAGGTTCATATTCACTGTCAAATGCATATTCATGGAGCATATTTTTGTGAACTGGGCATTTGCACCATACTACATATGGTCAAAGTCAGATTTAACAGTAATTCATCACCAAGCTTAAAGAATAACACTGGTGATAGACTATATTTATGTTATTGTCAACAAAATGATGATTTTTGTTGGTCTTGTACCAAACGTCATGTTCCTTTACGTCTGGAGAATATGATTTGTAGGCTGAGCCGTCTCTGTAGCACCACAACACTTATGGTGCTCACAATAAACAACGTGACACATTTTACCTTTATCAAAAAAAATTGCAGCTCCTGCAATTTGGATATTGCACTTGGCCATATTGCGATTTCCATTTTATTTCGATGATTTCTGCAGCCTAAATAGATTGTATGAAGTATATAGATCCAGGAGAATGTCAAGCAACTTCCAGGTGCCAAAATATGGAATATCACCAGCTTTATCCATTAAGCGATGGTGACCATATTCAGACGGCTTGGGCAGTATAAGCATTGGACAGAAGATTTTTGATTAAGTCAAGAAATACAAACGTTTAAAAGGTTGGATTGGATTGAAAAGGTCTTGGCTCTGTGTGAAAACAACAAGCTTCTGTGCCAGCCTTTCAGCTGAATACAGTTTTGTTATGCCTCTGACTAAACATTGTCACATGACACCATGCAGCCACACTGATCGCAGTCCTGTTCCTCAGGCTTGATTACCATGGTTACTTTAAGCTTGTTCGGGCAAAATCCTCTTGGATACCAAAGAATTACGTGTAGCGAAAAAAAAAAGCAAGAAATGACAGGCAGACAGAGGAGGAGGAGGTACTGTTAAATAGATGATTTCTTTAATAAAAGACATTAACAGTGTGACATTCAGTGATGAGCTGGAATGATATTGCTTCAGTAGCTTACAGTACAGAACCCAGCCCGGCCGGTGTGCGTGTGTGTGTTATGACGTTACAATCTGACACCAGTGTGTCATTGAACATACACATCCACACGTCTCTTCAGTCTCGCACTGTTAATCAACATTCAAATTCACTTCAAATGGTTAAAAGAAACTATGTACACACAATCCACAATGGAGAGTATAGCACAAATGGATGGACTATACAAGCACCAGATAATAATAGGTATGACCGATCGACACACTGGAGTGAGGGGAAGAGACAGGCTGAGTACAGGACATGCGGCAGGGTGAAGCCAGGTTTGGTGGGCTGAGGAGTGGTGTGGGAGCAGAGCCGTAGATATACTGTTTGGCCATGCAGAGACGGGCAAACTGGCGGCCATCTTCGCCCTGTTACAGCCTACAGTTTGTGCATCCTTCATTAATCATTTTATAGCCAGGTTTGATTTTGAGTTTAAACTTAAAAACCCTTCAGATGCATCTTAAAACACATTTAAGCCCAATGCAGTATTCTGGGACTCTGGTTGGCTTTAGCCAGACAGCTGCGTATAATATATGTAGATTATATTATAGAGAAGTATATTGTGGGGAAGGGAGGGGTGATTAAATAAGTAGCAGTAATAAATGAGGCAATGACATAGATATTGATCATATCTATGGGCACAGCGCGGGGTGGTTGTGCATGTGTTTGTGCCCAGGGGGGTTGTGTGCGCAGGTCAGGGATCAGTGTCTACTTGAACTGCTTGAGGGGTGCGGGCACCTTGATGTCCTGGCCTTTCTCCAGTCTCTTCTCACACTCGATTAGGTAGTTGACGCCATCCACCACCGTCTGCACCAACTGGACCTGAGGGAGGGACAAATCACATTTTAATACTTTCTCCACAGAGAAGAAAATGAATCAATCGGATGTGAACAACGTATCATACAAACGCTAAGACACATGAGAATATTTCATGTTTCCATCACCATCCTCTAGCCCTAATTAAATGGAAACGCAATCGATTTTTAAAGGTCAGTTTAGTGGTCATGGGGAGTATTACTCAACCTGTGAAATTGTATAATGCTTTATAATGTCTTGTGTTTTGTCAAGCCTGAGAAAATAACCCTGGTTATGTCATTATCTCAACTTGGGCCTGAAGACCATTCATTTACAGAAAGCCTGTGTGTTTCCAACTGGAGTTGTGGAGTTTAAAAGACACAAGTGTTTATCAGGCAAGAAGGATCAAACTAAAATATTGGTTGAGTTATCGAAAATGTGGGATCTCGCATTTGAACAATAGTGGAGATTAAAAGCCACTATATCTCAGCCATTGCCACTTCAATTTTCTTTTACCTCTTTTAAAAAATAGTTTGAAATTTTGGGAAATGTATTTAATTACTTGCTTGTTTCTGTCTCAGAGTTAAGTTAGAAGATTGATATCGGTCTTAAATCTGTCCCTTAAATATGAAGCGCCAGTAGCCTGTCAGCTTGTCTTAACATAAAAAAATAAATAGTGAATTATTGTTTTTACACTTAACTGGTTTTTATACAGAGAGATATAACATATTAATTAATGACCTTTTGCTGTTAGGTGGATTTTGTTACTCTTGGACGGAGCCAGGACCTAGCCATTTCCCTCTTCTTGCAGTCTTTGTGCTAAGCTAAGCTAAGCTAACCAGCTGCTGCCTCTAGCTACATATTTATTGTACAGATATAAGAGTGGCAACAATCTTCTAGTCTAACTAGCAGCATGCATCCCTGACGTCTGAAAACACCTCACAACCAACCTACGGACATTACAGACACAACCAACAAGAAGTCTGCCTTCATAACAGAGCTGCGAGAGGAGCATCAAACTAGAGGCCTATAACCTTTTCAAGGAATGTCTCCTCTAAATAAAAAATACAGCACACTCTCCCGGCTCATTCACAACAATAACATCTGATGTTAGCTGCTACAGTAGCACAGTTTGAACACAGAAGCACAGTACAAGACTTTTTGTACAACCTCATAGTTGAAGATAATTTCTTCTTAACTAGCAAACTATTTACACACATAAACACTACTCTTATTACATGACAGGGACTTAGAGGTTAACAAGTTTCTACTTTTGAGATCCAGATTGACAAATGTATTTGTTTTAGATGAAGTTTAAAACTTCCTTTACTCAGGCTATTATTATGAAAAGTTTTGTGCTACAATATTATTGTCCTTCTGCACTTTTGTCCAACTGTCTGTTCCCTCATCCCTCCTCTTAACTCAGGGACCCCATCCTGAGAGTGCTCCTCTCCTGAGTGCTCATCAGACTGGATGATGGAGGCCCAAACAGCACTGTGCTGCCCACACTCTCAAGAAAAAAGACTTAGTGGAGGTTAAAGTCAGACAATGTGATATAACATTAAGAACATTAGAAGAGCGGTTCTCAATCTGCACCCTATTGAACGCTAATTAGTACTCTCCACCCAGAAACAGTGAAGAGCTATCTCCAGTCTCCATGTAATCAGAATAATATATGCAACCACACACTCACAACAAAAGAGAACAGCTTCATTGTACTGTACTGTATGACTCTGTCACACAGGCATGACAGCATGACCAAGGACATAACAAAGACAAAGTACATGAACATGTCTGCTCATCCTCTCCTCCCCTCTCCCCTCCTCTCCTCTCCTCTTCTCTCCTCTCCTCTCCCCTCCTCTCCTCTCCCCTCCTCTCCTCTTCTCTCCTCTTCTCTCCCCTCCTCTCCCCTCCTCTCCTCTTCTCTCCCCTCCTCTCCTCTCCTCTCCTCTCCTCTCTGATTAATTTGGTTAAGTGTTACTCATACTTCAAATGCTGCACTGATTACACTGTGACGCTACAAATATTCAGTCTGTTCAATATTTGTTTATTCAGGGAATATTTACTGAGAAAGTATCCAGTGTTTCGACAACGCCCTGTTTGTCACTGGTACCTCACACCTGATAGATGACCTGCAACAGGCATGAGGTTAATACACGTACGGCTAATAAACAACTCAGGTGAGCAGTTTGGAGGTGAGTGCTTTACTCTGTGGATGAATGGTAGACAGTTACTCACAACCTCCATTGTCACTCAGCTCCCCTCTCTGTACAGTCCTACCCAGATTGTCCTACCTCAGAGTGTCCCAGACGGTCCAGGTTGGAGATGTCGAACACACCACCCACAGCAGCGGTGTCTACACCACCTGTCCCTCGCTTCTGCAGACGCAGGTTGTCAAGGATCTTACTGAAGCGGGGATCCTGGGAGGAGGGGGAGAGGAGTTATTCAAGACAGTTTAAATGCAATTACATTTCCATATTACTAAACATCCATCCATCCATCACCACCAACATTTAATAAATAACATTCTTATTAGAAACATAGAAGGAGCTTATTTCCAGGTCAACGTGACCTATAAAAGTTCTGAAAATGTTATTTTCCAATACAAACTGTTGCACAACATCATTTACACCTACATTCAGTAAAACAGATAGAAAAAAACAAAACCCACTTGTCATTTTCTAACAGCCAAACATAGTTCAAATCTAGTGCTTCACATGCATTCTCACCTTTTTTGGAGAAAAGACTAAATAATACAAACTGAGCAGACAAGATAAACGTATGCTTTTAGAGGCTTTAATACTTTTATGTTTTTTAAGGCCATGCAGAACACTTGGTCTATTAATATGTGACATAAATAGAATAGTAACACAAAATATCCTACATTATCTACTCTAGTATAAGTATCAAATTATCTTCATTCTGTGACAACTACTGCGTTACCTTGGCCAGCAGGGGCAGTTTGACGTGGACCCCGGCCCTGAGGCCTGTGCCCAGGTTGGAGGGGCAGGTGAGGATGTAACCGAGCCTCTCGTTCCACATGAACTCCCAGCCTCTCTCCTTGATCAGACGCTCCACCTTCGAGGGAGAGAACCAGTCACAACACAATGAGCGTGCGTCTCATTCATACAGCAATCTTGGATGTTTGATACGTTTGATGGATGTGCACATACTGTTCAGCAAACAGTAAGTAGCAGCTGATTTTTCATTTATCAGAGCTGACAAGAAAAGAACTTAAGAGTAGTCCACTTGAGATAAACTTTGTTGGGAGTGGACTGTCACAAACACTGGCATAGAGTTGGAGTTAAATCGACGTTAACGTAGCACTGAGCAATGAGGTGTGCTGGTCAGATTTGTTACACCCTCGCTGTGGAACAGTGCAATACCAGATGTGGCATTGCTTGTCCTTTGCACTTTTCCTAATGGGGAACTGGGAGCGCTTGGATAAATAATTTATGTTTGCACGGCCATGTTTGGACAGAGTGTCTTTGTGCCTCTGTCTACAGGCTTTATTTTCGTGACAGGGCAAAGACCAGTGTAAGCAGGTTTTTAAAGCGCCGTATGCTTTTAGACTGTATTAATTCTCTCTCCTTTGGCTGATTAAATCCTTCAGACATCTGATGGCAGCAGAATGAATATGTCTGATACAGCTGAAACCTCCAACTTAAAAATACTGTGTCCAAGGGAAACAATGGTCCACTATGATCCAGTACCTTGGTTGCATCAGGCACAACTAACAACACACTACAACTACACAAGTGTATGTGTTTCTGTTGTAATTCAGATTACTCCTTGTTTACACTACTTGTTAATTTATGATATTCTGATGCATCATGTTTTTTAGACAATTAAAAGTTCAGTCTACTCTTCCTACATTCCCAACCGTCCTCCCTCTCTCATCTTCACATCTTAAAGGGGCTATTTGTGCGTTTTCTCTGCCGCCGAACTTGGTTTCTTGCCGGGAGCGGGTCGCGGTGATTGTCACTGTCTTGTATAATACAAGAGGTTATAATACGCCCTTTACATCTTCAGGGGAGATTGGAGGCTACAGTGAGTTGCCATTGGAAAGTGACGAGAAGAAAAGACGTGAGACAAGAGTTAACACTGGTGTTGCTTTCCACCTCTGGAGACAGCTGTTGGTGAGTAAAGGAATCAAGTTTGATGCTGAACTTGCAACGTTTCTTCTAGACTAGTAAGTAAACAGCTCCAAATGCTAACATTAGCTATGTAGCTATAGCAAAACTTACAAATAGCTCCTATAAACATCCACACACACATATACAAACACAGTCTTACCTCCTTCAGGCCTCTGCAGAATCTCTCAAAGACCCTCTTCATGTTGCCTCCCTTCTCCATGGAGATGACCCTGGTGTGATCCTCCTCATTGACCCAGATCAGGAATGTCTTCTCGTTGTTGTGCCTGCACACAGGGAAGTAATATTGAATTATACAATATTGATCCTTGTGGGTGAAAGTTGTTTGTCCTCTGCATTTGCCCCATCAAAGCTATCAAGGAGCAGTGCAGCACCCATGGTGGGGGTAATTTAATCTAATGCAGTGACCAGTAAAGTGGAGCAAAGAGCTGTTATTCCTGATTCCTTATTTACCTTGTGAATATTTTTTTAACCTCATCAGCAACTTCAATATATTTACTTATTCCAGAAATTAATTTTTGGTTTGTATTTGAATATTTATTCCAGACTGAATCAATACAGAAATGGTATTTTGGAAGTTTGTACGATAGTTAATAAGAAGAGATCCGTGATGGCCATTAACCATCAATCACTGAAGATGATGCTTGTTTCTGCCGCGGGTCATTGACTCTGGTGTTTGTCAGAGTAGTCAGCAAGGCTGCACTGTGCTTATATGGCCTTGTAATATGGTATTGATTTATGGCACATTGTAAGGACACTAGACACCTTAGCAGATGGACAGCAGATCTGCTGGATGGAAACCTCATAACTCGTGAAGTACAATTTGTCAACAATAGAGAAAACAAGCCTATAAAGTTCTTGGGATTTCTGGCAAGAAAGGGATGATTTTCTCTGACATTTATATTTGTAAATATAATTTAAACAAGTCAATATATAATGAAGTGTGGATCTATAGACGGTGATGTCAGCAGGTTTGTCTATTCATAGATCCTACATTATTATCCAGATTGAAAAATCTCTACTATTGGATGGATCAATTAGTACAGACATTCATGGTCTTCAGAGGATGAATCCTGATGACTAAATCCCTGATTTTTTATCTACTGCTCTTAGCAGGTAAAAATCCACTTGTCCAATGCTTACAGCCTTTTTTTGATCAGATAAGTCCCATTGAGATTAAGATCTCATTTCAAGGGAACCATGAGTACGTATTGTAGTTTGGTAAAATACAGATGACAAGATACTGTAAAACAAGTGAACAAATTCGCATGAATTTCACTGTAAATATTCATGGCATACGTTAATCATTAAGATTTTGGTCGCCCTGTGATCTTCCCACAAGGGCAGTCCGCAGTTTGACACAACAGGGCTAAAACTTCAAAGTAAAGTGACACTGCTGAACACATCCATGCTCCTCCTCAGAGTTTGATGACACTCTTTCACGTGATATTTAAGAATTCAAAGTGCACAAAACCTCTGTCAGCCACTACAAAAGCTTTTTGTCCACACTGACCTCCTTAACATTGTAAGAGATTTAATAAGGTAATGGATAGGTTATGGAGGCAGCAGGTTGGGGAGACATTTTGGACAAAGCGGAGAGAAAGGAAATGAAGTAAGAGGAAGAGATAAAGAGAAAAAGTAGAGCAGCCATGCAGGATATTTGAACCACAGGGAAAAAGAACATGAGGGAGGAGTGAAAAAAAAAAGTTATATTAGAAGGATGGGGGATGATAATCAAAAGTGAGAGAAAGTGGTGCATGACATATGGGTAGTGGAAAAAAAAAAGAAAGGAAAGAGGGTGAGAGAGGCAGAGAAAGAGAAAGCTGCCAGAGGACCTGAAAGAGGAGATGATGTACGGAAGACGTCAAGGTGAATTATTAAGGAGAGGAGAGGTTGGCTGATACGGCTGGCAGAGGGAGAGAGGAGGGAGGCTGGTGATTGATTTCGGCTGGCTGAAAGGCCGTGCTGAGGGAGCATTGTCCGCATTGCTAATACGCCTCCACCACAGCGCAGCAAAGGAGGACTGACGTTACTGCTGCAGCCACACCAGGGAGGAAGTTAAAAAAAAAAAACCTGTAAAATTAAATATTAGGGGGAATTTTATTTGCTGAACTGTTGAATATGAAAATGAAACAATCAAGCATAGAAAAAGACAGGCCTGATTTGGGACAGACTGCAGTTAACCTAACTGACCTGTAATTATAATGGAAGTAAAATCTTGTAGACGATCTAAATTTCTAGATAACTTCCTTTTATAAAACACAGTAGTTCTCATTATATAGTTCTCGTTATAAATAACAGAACTATTAACTTGAAAAATATACACAGGAATTTATACCTCAGAGTAATTCTGACAAACTAGTTCATGTACCCGTCCCAGGAATGTTAAACTCCTGTAATGCTCTTGCATTTATGCTGAACTACAAATAGAAACAATAGAAAGGCTCTATACACATGATGTTTTATTACTTTTTCTACACACAGGAATTACTGCTGTAAACCTAAAGCCTACTGTGCTCACTTGTCCTGAAATGCAGTGCTATATGCAGATAATATTACACCGCCTTTAAAAAAGCAGCCACCGAGTTATAAACTGGTACCATCCATCATGTCTTTTCACTTACCAAATACCACGGGCATCTGGCCAATCACGAGCCATGCCTGCACACGTCAGGAGTGGGGACACAGGCTTGTCAAACAGGAAGTGATCCTATTGTAAATACAGAGAACCAACGTTTTTTTTTTGTTTTTTTTTACATATAAAGTGCCAACAATGACTATGACTGAAGTGGTGAAAACTCAGATTGGTTAGTATTGTCACAGGGAGACAGAAATGAGGGTGTGCGAGACTTGAGAATTCAATAATCTGCTCAATCTCTCTCATTGTGGGCAGGAGAAAAATGCCATGGCAGGCACAGCCCACACCCGTCTCTGATTTCATGTGTTGATTTTTTTTGCTCCTGATTCCGCATTTTTCTTCTGCTCGGACACTAAGGAATGAAAATTGTAACCACATCCTCAGAGGGCTAAACAATTACCTAAAGTTGTCTACATTACCATGAGTGCATGTCTTTCTAAACTGGGAATGAACTCTGTACTTTAGGCATTACTATCACTTTGCAGGTTGTTGCTGTTTGTATTTACAGCTCCCAAACTGATCTAACAGGTCCACTGACAGGTCATGCACCACTGCTGCTGCTGTATCAATGAGGGTTGGATTGTTACTGTTATTGTATATGGCTCAGTGACATGGAATAGTGAACAGCACTCTTTCCTTTTTCAAAACTACAGGAAATTCTTCCTTGTGAAATTTGAAAAAATTTAAATTGTCAAATGACTGTTTACTAAAACATTACTAACCCTTCCCTCCCCAAAACAATTATGTTGTCTCGTGGGACCTCAGAAATGTACAACCTCTTCATCATATGCATACAGCAACATCCCTGCATCACTCACATCAATGAGCTGCTGCTGCTCCTTTTCTGTCATCTGGGTGAGACTGAAGTATCTCCCTGTGAGGTCACCCTTCAGGCCGGCGAGGGCGTCAACCACCACCCTCTCCACCTCCCTGCGCTCTGCCCGGGTGCAGGCGGGGGGCAGGCTCAGCCCCCGGATACTGCGGCCTGTCCTCACCCTGGAGGACAGCACGTAACGCTCGTCAAAGTGGCCTGACTGGAGCTGAAACAAAGACAGGTAGGGAAATATTTCAGTACATATATATATATATATATATATATATATATATATTTATATCATTTCAACACTGTGTATAATCCTGATTTGAGCTTTAGTTCTAAACATATGGGTGGAGGGGCTCTGGAGACAGAGTTAATCCCACTGGTTGATTTAAAAATCTGACCATATGAAGCTCAAGAAAAAACATAAGGGATAAATAAAAGATGAAGAAGCTGTGTTTTTTATTCTCACTGGGAAGTGAGAATTAGTCTCACTGGTCATATTACTAAACATACAGCTATCAAGGTAACTAGTTATCTGATCTTAAAACATACTAGAGTAAAACAAGAAGTTCTTTTTCTGTAGATGTATGTTATTTTCAGATCATCGCAGCTTGTCACCAGCCCACAGACTGAAACTGCTTCTGACAGGAAGCAGCTCTGTGTCGTCAGCGTCAGAGTGTTACCTTGCTGGACTCCAGGTCGGTGGGGTGTTTCATGGTGCGGGGGTCATAGCCGTTGTGCCTCTCTTTGATGATGGGGTCCAGCAGGTCTGCAAATACCTGAAACAGACGCAGATGTTAAGAGGACAAAGATTATATATATATACATTAATAATTTGTGTGCTACAATCTGGACAAAATATCTGACATTATCCACATCCAGACAGGTTGTTGTTTCTGGACCACAAGACTGTACCAAAGCGAAACTATTATTATATGTTACATTTTGTTATATATTACACCCTCAAACTGTAGACAACAATGACTTCTACCTCAGTTCAAAAAGATGCTTTACAGATGGTTTTATTTTGGGTGAAACGCTATTGATCAGATGGAGGCCTTCTCTCTTTACCTGGTTCAGTGTTTTCCTCAAGGGCATTTCAGCCAGGTATTTACAGGCACTATGCCTCTGACACTATGGCTTCATTATATAGAGGCTACATCTTACATACAGTATATCAGAGTTTACAAATCTCCTCATTTGCTTCTCTTAATCTGCATCTTTTTGATTGGCATAGTTTTAGCAGAACAGTTAAGCAGGTTGATTCACCTCATCAGTGTACGCCAAGGAAAGAGTAAGTGTCCCTAATATTTTGTAGCTTTGCTATTTGCCTTTCCCTCGACATTATCACAGAAGTATTTAGTGCCACTTCTTGTAGTATTGTCCTACTAATACTTCAGAGGGTGCAGTACCACAGCTTGTTCTAACACTGCCTTTGTACACACACAGGGTTTGTAAGTTACCAACAAAGGTTGTGGCACCTGTATGACTCATGTGCATCAACTTTCAAGGCTTCACTTTCTTCCATTCCTGCAGAAAAGCAGTAAGTTAACCCTTTACTTGATTTCTGAAAAGGGAGTTTTTATACGGAATCTACATGATTTTTCAGTTTGCCGTGACCTAAACTGCAATAGAAGCAGCAAGAAACTATATATATATATATATATTTATATATATATATATATATATATATAATAGCCCCTTAGAAAAGACAGTGACTTTCGTGTCCAACACACAGTCTGAAGCCTGATATTTTTTAGGTTGGTCTGCAGGCTTGGTGGTGGCCTATGTTACTGTACAGCCCAGTCTATGAATCTGTACATTTCCTAGATTGCATTATCACAGTGTGAGTTACCACTCCCCGTTCTCCTGTCATCTCACCAACACCACACCCTAAAACCACAAAGGGCAGAAACACCTACAAATGTAAACAGCAGGGAGTGAAGATGAATCATATACTCCATTACATTTTAGAGACACAGGAAAAAAAGGAGATATCAGCCAAATTACAACAACTAAAAAAAGGAAACTGTCACGATATCTTCACAGGGTCTCAGACTTTTACTACTTTTACTAAAAATGTCTTATAATGTACTGGGATGCATTTAGGAGTCTTTGAAAATGAAATACCCTTTACTGAGCCTTCACCTGCATCTGCAACCTTAACACTCACCTTAACTGACTGGCTCTTGCAACCTAAGATATTTTTGTGGCCTAAGTGAAGGCAATTAAAATAGAAATGTAGCTAGATCCTCACTATAGATAGATGTTGAGACATCCCAAAAGAGGTGTCCTAGCCTAAAACTCTCCCTCTCCATTGCTGTAAGACTCCTTCCTTCCTCTGACACAGGTCACGGAGGATCGGTTACATAACTCCTTCAACAGTAAGTGTAGAAAAAATATTTCCTAATTATTTCTGATTCAAAGGTTTTTATCCGTGTTGAAATAGTCTTGACAGTTACAGGGAGTTGGGTTGGGACTAGAATTTCACTGGCAATTTCTTAAGTAAATACCACTTTCCACTTGGCTGTACTTACTTGCAGCACAGTATGTTATGTAATTCCCCCCCCCCCCAAAATTTGGACTTATTGATGTTGTCTTTTTCACTGCAAACTGCAACCGGTGGCCTGAGGAGGCAGCCAGGACTCCGGTGCGACACACATGGAGATGTGCCAGCACCTTCTTTTCACCCGGCGGTGAGGAGCCTGCATGTGTGTGTTTGCGTGTTTGAAAAGCTACAATGATGTCTGACCTCGTACGACTCCTCGTCTCCCGCCACCATGCCGACGGTCTTGATGAAGGGGTGCCCAGGGTTGTCCACGCCCGTCTGGATGGCTTCATCCAACGTGTAACCATTGGGAGTGGCCTTATCACACAGCTTGGCATAGATGGCAGGTGTCAGGTTACTGGCCATGCAGTTGTTGTGTTTGCGCAGGTCAGGGTACTCCGCACTGTACAAATACAAAGGCAAGATAGCATGCTGCAGCATTGATCTTTGAGAGAGAGAAAAAATCTTTCGAGCCGTGTGTGGGCACAGGTGAACGATGGAGCGGTGCCCTTGCAGCAGGTTCAGAGAGAGTGACTCAGTCAAGGACACTTCCACATGGCACGTACACAGGTAACTGGAGATTAAAACCTGTGGCCTTCTGGTTATGGAACACCCTGCTGCAAAAAGGTGCCTACTAATTTAGACATAGATTATGTGGGACACACAGGGACACAAGGATGGTACTATCAGTCACTGGCACTGCGACAAATAATAAAATGCTATGTTATATACACTGAACCCAACTGACTATAATCGATGTTTAAATCTTCATGAGCTGTTAAAAGTGCCGTTAATTTAATGCTGAGGGAGAAGGATGCCTCCACATCTATGTTGTTTTAGTAAAATAATGCTGCAAAATTAACTAAGGACTAATTCACTTCTATCTTCAAATGCATTATTGAGGCTTGCAGGCTGGTATGGAAAAACAAAAAAGGAACCGCTGTCAAAGACTGGCTTTAATCCAAACAATATACTTAGAATGTCAAAAGACTAAAAGTGCAGAAGCAGCACAGACTAAGTGGATTATGGGTTTCTGCTTCCTGCTGTCTACCAAAAGATAAGGAAGGCTAAGACATTTACGTATAAAATGATACAGTAACTGTAACTGAGTATTGCTGGATGGACCCTGACAAAATTCTATTTTTCTTGGTCTATTTCCATCATTGCACAGAGAAACTTGGCCTCTTGTCTTATTTCTATCTTCCCTTGTCTATTACGCAGTGGCAGTAGTTCCCCAACACACAACAATAGGTTCAGAATATCATTAACGTTATCAGTGCTAGCAGACTGTCCGCTGTCACAGTTTTCTTATTTTATGCCTGTGTTAGATAACATCAAGAGAGTGATGACAGGAGATGAGGGAGAGGGCACCTCATTCAGAGCCAGGTGTGCCACTCAGATTCAGATAAGTGTCTTTGAATAATATGTGCATAATGTATCATTTTCATTGGTATCTGTTTTCTTTAGGGATGGGTATCGTTAAGATTTTAACGGTACTACTACTCTTACCGATCCGGTACTTTAACGGTATTCTTATCAATACTTTTTGAGGAAGAAAAAAAAACTTGAACACACAAACAGCCCCGCCCCCCTGCCAAACAGCAGTAGCCTACATAGAAATAAAAATAACATTCATAGACGGATATTTGACGGAGTTGGTGAAATACATGTGCAAGATAACGTTTATCTAGCCGAGAACCCCCCCCCCCCAAAAAAACCGCGACTGCTAAAGTCCCGATAGCAGAACCGTTAAGGCAACGCTTATTGGTACTGCGGTCTTGACTATTGTAGCCCCGGGGCTGTTCAATGCCGGGGCTCGGTACCCATCCTTAGTTTTCACTGCAGGATTTAATAAAAGTTTCCAGTTCGGGTTTCTAAAGGCACATCTGTCCTAAAGAATGATGGATGGGTGCATCAGCTGTATGGTCAATGGTGAACTGCCGTGCAGGGAGACTCAGTCAAGATGATGTTCCAGCAACTACAGAGTTTATTGCAGGAGGATTATTTCAATCAATACCACTGTCATTCATATCAGTTCACAGTAAACCTGCAGTGTCGGCCCTAATCAATGGTGGGAAGTTACTAATTACATTTATTCAAGTGCAGGACGCAATCCTGAGGCACTTGTCCTTTACTTGAGTCTTTCCATTTTCTGCTTATACTTGTATTCCCCCACATTATACATACTATATACATAACATGCATTTATTTGATAAATGCACTCACTAGTTACTTCACAGATTCATAGGTTAACATAAGAGTTTATTGATCCTTTATTGTTTATTGAATTATAATCGAATAAATTATTATACATTATTATGAAGTGGGCCATTCTGTATAATGAGTACTTTTACTTTTGGCACTTGAAGAATATTCTGATTGTAAATCTTTTGTACTTTTATGTAAGTAGAATCATGGATTTTTACTCGTCACAGATGTTTTCTACAGTGTTGTGTGGTCACTTATACATAAAGATCTGAGTACTTCTTGCCCCAATGGCACTGATCCTGTATATGCGTATAAATTGGGCTATTTCATATTAGTGCTTTTCTGATCTTAATAAGAAGGCTACGGGCTATTCTCCTCCCACATTGACCCTCCCACTACACCACCATAACCATTAAGTCAAATTCTTTGAAGCTTTGTCTTTTCCCTCACATCACACTAATTTTAATGATTAATAACATAAAGTTGGGTGTATCCCATTGGCAGGATTCAGACAGTGTTTCCCTCTGTTCGTTATCAATGAGGTTTGATAGGAAACAGACGTCCTAGGCTGTTTGGTGCCACTGACACACAATTGAGGCGACCTGACAGAAACAGTTGGTAAAGACACCTTTATAGTTAGTAACATTTGGCGAGTAATAGATTACTTTTGTATGTAAAGACTCTGAGTCTGGCGCTGTTCGTGCTCCTTTGATGTGATTATTATGTAACAACCTCAGGGCAGGGTTTTATATCTGAGCAGCAGATAACGTTACTAATCTGTAACCTATATATGCAGTGCTTTATAACGCATGCAGGCGTGTTGGGGGACACGTACGCACCCCTGCTCTCCTCAGCCTTTCACTGTCTCTATATCATACCCTCACATATACAGTGGATGCATGCAAATCATGGCGCAAAACCAACTGCTTTCTACCAGAAAATTAAATACCAAATATAACGTAGGCTACTATATCTGTGATTATTAATATATTAAACCTAAGTTTGTTTCACAGTTTTGCAAAAAGGTGCGTTATGTTAACCTGTATTTTAGGGCAAGGTTGGGTGTGTAAGGGTGTTTAAATCTATTTTGTGCTTTATAATTTGGTTCATCTCTATGTCATTCAATATTAATGCTCCTGCTGTGATATATGATTAAATCAAGTTATAATCATCACAGGTTGCACCTTAGTTAATGTCAAGGTTATTTAGGCGGCTAGGGTGGATAAATGTCCATTTTTACATTCGTATATTTAGCTTGTGAGGTTAGTTTGATGTTTCACAGTTACAATATTTAATTAAATTGCAGATAAACCCTAATTTGGCTCGATGACATGACATTAGCCAATCATAAATGAGAATTTGTAAATTAATGGGTGTAATGATGTGTAATGTGTTTATAAAGGCATGTAACTAATGACACACAGGGCGGCGGGGTAACGATACCTGGCGGGGTACTGCCTGCGGACTGGCACTCCGGCGCTGACATGTTCCCGGTGGAGCAGAAATCCAGCCGTTACCGAGCCTCCCACCAACGACAGGATCCCGATGTGTCGTTTGGAGGAGAGTACCCTGGAGAAGCTGCTCGCCATTTTGCTTTTTTTTTTTAATGTGTTAAACACGCCTTATTTCCACGACCGTGCCGTTGATGAAGTGACTCTGATGGAATGATACCAAGGAGACCGATTTAACCGGAGCGGTGTCAAGACAGAGGGAGAGAGGCAGGACGAGACCGGATATTCAGCTCTAGCTTCAAAATAAAAGCACACGCTTACACAGGGTTCCTGAAGAGTTCACTAAGTTTTATTTGTCCGGAAAGGTCTGAGGGCAAATTACATATTTTATTGATTTTGTAAGTGAAAAGAAGTAAATACAACCTCAGACATTAAAAATTCAAATGGAAATGCAATGGAAAAATGGAGAAAAAAATGAATGGAAATGTTTAGTGGAATCCATTCTTTCCTCTGTTTCCTGTGCCACTGGCTCCCACACCAGCCCAAAGCAGGATATTTTCCACCACCATGCTCAACAGTTGGAAAACAACACATTTCTACACTTTTATTCAAATTAAGTACGAATATAAAACTCATTTAATGCTAGCAAAGAATTTACCCCTAAATCCTATTTGTGAAAAGAACGTTGTGCAACATGATAACTTAAATGGAGATCACTTGTGTGAAATACGGGTGTGACAAATGATTATTGGTCAAATATACCTGTATCTTTAAGGTCCAACAGCTGGTTAACTGAATATTTCCCAGTATTCAGATAGGTCAAGGTCACAGAGGCCTATGGCACCAACATCCACACACAATGAACCTGGTGTTAGCAAACAAACTAACCAGCATAATGTAAAATAGTTAAACTTGCTCCACAATCAGCTGCATCATTAAAATGATGGTTACACGTAAATACATAAGTAATAATAAAATGTAACAGTAACAAGAACACTAACTGGTCTATCGCGGCACTAAACAGGGGTCATTCTGTCAACATAATAAGGAGGTACTTTTACTTTTGATGCTATATTTTGCTTATGATACTTACTTAAAAAAAACCACTGAATGCAGGGTTTTTATATGTAAATGACTGATCTTACATTGCGCTACTTATGTAAAGAATATCTGAGCGTCTTCCGTCACTGACCTTTATCTTTATATTGTATATGCCAACAATGGTCACAACACTGCCCTGAAACCTGTCCAGGCAGATGGCTAAAAGATCATTTTATTGATTTTCAACCTCAATCGCGGCTTTGTATTGGAACATATGTTTTTATGTACCTTATATCCACATACAGCTTCACAAAGCTATCTCTATCTTTCATAGGCCAAATGTATGTACTGTATGTATAACACCCAAATAGCTTGAAACTATCTGGAAAAAGGGAAATCTTTATATTTGTTACCTGTTTAGCATTCTGCATGTTGCAACATTTGATTTCATTCATATGCCAAAATAGTGGGGAAACTGACTAAACCATCCAAATATACCCTTTAGTATGTACAAAGCTGTCTTTCAGCAGCTCCCTTTTTTTTTATGAACAAATAATGACTTGATTCAGAGACAGGAGGAAACATAGAAAACAGGTCACTTGAAATATATCTTTAAGTGAAATCACACTGATATTCTGTATCTAGATAAACATAATTATTTCTAAAGTGTCAGTAGTTCAAATTACAAGTTATTCCTGCTTCCACGCTCTAAAAATCACCAGAGGGTAGCGCGCTGGGGGTTTTATTGTGAAATCTGCTTTGTACAGGAAGTTGCACGTCTTACTTTGGTCGGCTTGACAGTGGTGGAGTGGTGTGTGGTGTGAATACTGAAGGGCACGGGTGAACAGGTCTGCAGCACTGAAAGACTTCACATCGCATGGAGCAACGACACTGGGTTACTCCCCAGTCTCCAAACTACACAATGCAGCCACTCATCCTTTCTTTTCAAACAGAGACGAGGACAGGGCGGGATTTTTTTTTCTTAATGCATTTTTATTTCCGCACTAAGATTTATCACAAGGTTAATCCAGTCATTCATACTGTAAAAAAACTGCTGCTACTTCCTCGTGGCGATGCGTCACGGCTGACTTGACATTGCTTAAGGGAGAATTAGGTTCCTTAGTGCTATAACACATAGCAAATCACTAAAAGTAACAAAAAGCTGGTTCACTGTGACCTCCAGCCAACCTTCAGCAACAACAAAACCAATATATAGGCAACCTTTTTCATTCTATACAAATATCTGGCTCATATTCATTTCTAATATGCTCTGAATTTACATACGTATGTCTGAAGTTGGGCCAACATGCACATTGATCTCATGCATTTATGTTTAATGTAAGGTTTACATGTTTTTTTTATTCTTTATAATAGCAGTATTTTTAAGCGTCATGTAGTGGCTCAAAGAAACCTAAAAATACTGACTCTTAAAGTTTGGCACTATGGAAAATAAAGCAAACAGACCTCTGGTCAGTTTTCCACTTGTAGTCTGTGACTTGATCTGACTTAACGAGACTTTTTGTTGTATGGCTTTTATGAATGGACAAAACTATGTACACTTTATCAGTTGCACTTGGATACTAAACATTTACTGAGTCTTATTTTTTCCATTTAAATCTGACCTGTTCAGTGTCCCCTCCTGGCGCCTGTGATCAGACAGAGGCCATAGTGTTTTATATTCAGGGCCTGAGCTCCTTATACAGGATAATTCAGTAATCTGTGGATTATACAGAAAATAGTGGTCATACAGTGCTCGGATCAGTTCACATTGTGGTTCTGCAGAGAATGGAATGAATTCACAACACACAGGATGTATTTTAAACAAAGAGGCACAAACCCAGTGAGTTAAAGGAAAATAGAAAATAATGTTACTGCAAAAAACCTACTCGGTACATAAAACAGATGTAATAAACACAAGTAATAAAACTAAACTACACATTTATTCCAATTAAACTCATTTATTGATGGCAAAAAGCGATACCCCCCTTTACTGCTTGTGAATTATAAGATAACTTAAATGAGATCAGCTGATTGTAATCAAAGTGTGACAAGTGATTATGGGTCACCTGTATCTGCACAGCAAGGTTTCAGTGTTGTAAGGTCAATGTTAAAGAAATGGGAAAGAGTATGTAATAGGTGTGACTGTGGCTCATGCAGGCTTCTCTGTGCAAAAAGGGAATTAATGAGGGATGAACCTGGTGGCAGCAGCTTCAAGCTGTGGGGAAGGTCCTGGAAGTGCAGTCAACACAATCCATCATTCAGGTTACTGTCCAGTCAAGATGCAATATCACAATATCTACTGTGATTGAAAAAGCCTTCAAAAAAGCACAAGTGTTACTAATAACTTGGCTCCGTTGTATTCTAGTGTCATAGTAAGCCAGGACAGTGCATTACAGCGCCAGGACCCTGAAACCAAATAAGCTAAATGCAATTCAGCTATGATTAATTAATTTAACATTTTTTAAAAGGTAACATTTAAAAATGTCTTTCATGAATGAGGCCATTGTTGTCCATCATAGGTAGAATAACCCTCAGTAGCACTGTATACACCAAAATGAGAAGCTCTTACTCATTTCAGGAGTAAGCTGGAAAAGAGAACCTGCTCTTGGTAACACTGGCATACAAACACAGCACACGTGAGAGGTGTGTCACCTTATCTGACTTTACAGCAAACAACTGGTGCCTGATGCCAAGCTAATCTGTTGAATTATGAACAAGGATATACAAATAATTAACACGCCAAACGACAAGCAGTTCTGATGAAAAAAATATAATTAAATTCTTGATCAGGTCATAATCAGGATAATAAAATTTGGGTTATTATCAACACCTATTAAACTGTGATTTCCAATGTGTAACATTATGGTACTGAAAGCACATGAAGGGTTTTATAGTTTTAGAGCACTGACCTTCACACAGGTGGGTAATTACAACTTGGAAGCATCAGACTTCCTTTAACTTGCTAGCAGTGGATACATTGGATCTGCATAAGTCACACTCAAAAAGAAGAGAGTGTGCACAGCAGTCAGCTGTACTCTAAAGTATGAATTGTGACAAAGCAAGGACAGAATTAAAAAAAAACATTTTCAATAACTTGATTAAGAAAATGGATATTTATTTACATAAAACTTTGGCAACATATAACATATTTACAACATGAGAGCTTCCCTTTTACTTAAAAGAAATTTTATCACAAGAACAAACATACTAATAAATACACATTAATATTTCTTTCAACAAATTTAGGATCTGACTTGATTATAAAATGGTTGATTAAAATTTTTGAAAAACAATGATGACATATAATCACCATTTTCCAAGGCTTTAGCTACAGAAGACCCATGCAGGAAACATGGCATACTTGGAATGATAAAATCATAAATAGGAACATTAAGTCCAATTTTAACTGCTTGGCAGAACGGCACAGCTTTTCAACCTACTTCTAATCTTATAAAGTCCTGATTAAAAGAAAAGCCACCGCTTAGAACAGAAAATGTCAGGGTCAAAAGTGTTGGAGGAGGAGACTGAAAGGGACATTCATTCATCCACAAAGCCTTTCAAGTGGTTCTCCAAAGACATCTTTCAGATCTGCCATCAAAGGCACCCCTGACAAATATGGGTAAGAAGGGCTCACAGCTTTAGAATAAAACACAGAATGGACAATCTTTGCTTGCCCAATGGTTCAGGATCAGGGAAGCAGTCTCTTCCTGCTGAAGGTCTTCCCTGTGTTTGAGCGTCTCATCCGCTGGCTGAAGGGTGAGACGTCTGCTCCATCGACTTCTCTCCTCCCTGATGCAACCTCATCTACAGATTCAGAAAATAATGTGGATTGTTAGTTAAGGGTAATGACAAATATCAGAAGGGTTTTTAACCTGCTTGGTTAAAAAAATACTAAAGGGAAGTAGAGCTCTGACCTACTTGCCCATCTGGGCAAGGAGAAAATACACTACATTGTCAGAAGGTACAGACACAAAACCATGACAATCAAATTCATGTAATTAAAATCTTACTCCAAAAGCATGGGCATGAATCTGCTGCTTTAACAGCCTCCATCATCAGATTTTGGAATCTAGCAGCAGTCATGTTGAAAAAGGAAAATGCTGCCACAAGGTAGGAAGCACTTAATAGTCTTACATATTATTTTATGTCAGCGCAATAAGCTTTACCCTGGAACCTATGATTCTAAGCTATACCATGAAAACCAGTCCCATGCAAAAAGTATTTAAAAGTATGTGGACAGTATTTTGTCCACATACCTTTGGCCATGTAATGTATTCTGAATAATAAATCCTTCACTTGATTTCATCATCTACTGCCAGGTTGGCAAGATTTGGTCAGTTTCAGACATCCACCAGTTTCCCTGCTCTGGTATGAATTATTATTATTAACTTGTTACTTATGTTGTTTTATATAGTATTAGCCAGACACAATGTAATTTCTGCTGTGCACTTATCCTTGTGTATAGTTTATGACATAGCTAATCTTGAATCTTGTAAATATAAATGCAAAGACCTGATAAATATTTGACCTTACAAACTGGAAGTATATTCACATTCAGGACAACACGGTTTAACATTAAATAGGGTTATGAGCTTCTAAACAAATGGTGATAGAAAAAAATACAGCAGGTCTTTACTGAAGTATTTACAAATATTATTGACTCTTGCACCTTTCTATTAGATAGAATTAGATTGTCAGAAAACATTAACTTAGATTGAGTTGATTAGTGATATCCCGTGTAGTAAAACATATACATAAATCCATTAAGGAGGTTTCAATTCTGGATTTTATGATGCAAGGGTAGCTTTTGTTTACATCTGGATAATGGATTGTGCCCACCTGGCAAAAATAAAAACAGAACAAGCAGTGCACATCTTACCTTTAAAATTTGGAGTTCTCTTACTAGCAGAGCCCGTTTTGCCCTTGAACAACAATGGAGAGTGAGTGAGGGCCAAAATCCCGCTCGCTGTCACTGGCTTTGTCACCTTTGAGCTGGGAGGAGTCGCTACTGAAAAATGTAGAAAATAGCAGTGACAAGATAAAAGGTTTTATTCTGTAAATCCATGCATTGATTTCAGAAGAAAGTGTCAAAAACAGAAATCACTGAACCTTTGCAAAATGTTTGAAAATGCCAAGATACTATATACAAAATTAGTCCAATATTTGATTAATCAACTGTCACAAAGTTAAATTATAAAAAAATTTGACAATAAATTTCATTTCAGTCACTTATGAAGGAAAGCTAAGAAACATGTACTGGTCAGAGCTTTACATTTGTGTACATTCTCCTACTTTTGTATTTCACAAGAAATATTTGGTCAGAATAAAGAATAAATTTTAAGTCAACACTGTTTCTTAATTGCGACCCCAGTACTTTAATTTTGAAACAATGTTTTGTTACAGAATGTGTCACCCATAACTTACTTGACTTAACATCTCCATTTGCAGAAGGCCAGATGATTTCTTCATCAGCTGTCTGAGGTTCAGCGCAGTCAGCCTGCAGAGCCAGCTTCTCCATCCAGTACAAGTCTTCCAGAGGAGAGAGCGGAGATGCATCTGCAGGTGACTGTTTGGAGGTCAAGGACAATATTACAGCTTTGTTGTTTGAGGGCTCATCAATGTCGTCAATGTCCTGTAATCTGCTAACTCCAAGCTCAGCTTCCTCCAGCAACTCCTCGAGCAGTGGCTCCCCCTTCAGGCCACGATCTTTGCCTCCAACAACTCCAACCTGAACTCTCTTCCTGCGAGGCCAGCTGTTGAGGTTGTCTGGAGCCACCTTCCCTGCACTCTGAGGTGAAGGAGTCAGGGGAATGATCTCTGGATTTAGCTTTGGAGACATTGTTCCCCCAGGATGGCGAGTAGGAGTATAGGACTGGCAGATGTACGTTTGGACACTTCCACCTTTCCCAGGTGTGCTCTTGGCTGGGGTTACATGAGCACAAATAGATGGTGAGACACATCCAGGATCTCTATGTTTAGAGAACAAAGCCAAGGGGCTTTCCAGCTGAGATGGTTTCACACCAACTAAAGAACTCTGAGCACCTGATCGAGGACCTCCATCTGAGGCCAAATCGCCTGCATTCATGGAATCTGTGCGTTTGAATTTGAGCTTAGGAAGTCCAGATGTTTGCATTTCCATCTCTACTTGGTAAGTCAGAGAATTTGGAGTACTTGTGCCTTTTTGTCGACTTGGTCTTGTGGGGCCTCTAGGAGTTGAAAATCGAGGGGAATCATTTCCGTAGCCCAAACGAGCAGCAGCCTCCCTCTGTTGGCGGTCAGGGGTCTGCCTGAAGCCATAGCTACGCCCGGGTGTACCTTGGTGCGCCACACGTGGTTTAGGAGAGACTGTGTTCAACAGAAAGTCTTCATCAGACTTTGAAGGCTTTCGTGAAAAGCTAATGTTCATCTTGAGACCTCCACTAAACTGGGTCTTTACAACTTCTGCAGCTACAATGTCCATGCTATCATCATCTGTGGTGGCAGAGTTACAATGTGAAGAGTCACACTGCTGTGGATCTGTATGGGAACTAGAGTCAGTTTCAGAGGACTGGGAAGGTTCAGCCTGTACTTCTGTTGTACCTGACTGCATGTTCTTTTCCACAAGGTCACAGTAGTTCTCAGCAGACTTTGTGCTTTGTTTGGAGGGAACATTCTCACTAGCCTGTGATCTCAGGTTATGTCTGGTGGTTCTTGCACCTTGACCAGACCTTGCTCTTGTTAGGGACTTTGCTGGAGACTTTGCTGAAGTATTTGACCCTTCTGAAACAGTACTACCTCCTACTGGTGTAAAGGCTGGCCTACGTGGGGATGCAATATTTGAACTTTTGCTAGGAGTTCGCCCAGAGCGAGTAATCATTTTGTGAGTAGGACTAGGGGTCTTTGTTTGAGTTCTAGTGTTGGGTTTAGGGGAGAGGTGGTGGTCTAGAGGTGGTGTGGATTCTGGAGGAGGCATTTCCATTATACCAACAGTGTCTGTTTTTTCAGGTGTTTTCATCCTGTTGAGTTTTTCAGAGGACCTTTGATTTCTTTCCTGTGTCAAAATAACACTACTTGCATTTTCAGCAACTCTTACTAGGCTTAATTGACAAGTCTTTTCTGGGGTGTTGAAAATGTCTCTTTTAGTGTTTGTGTTTTTGACAGGACTGCTGAACTTGTTTGGCGTTTTCACCAGTCTTGGAGAACTGTGGGATGCAACACAAGGCGACTCTGGCACCTTGAAAGTGGCACTGTTCTCCACCACTCTAAATTTGCGTGGAGATGGAGACCATGTGACGCTCTTTTTGGGAGTCTTGGAAATTGGGCTACTGAGCAGATATAATCCAGAAGATGAACTGCATTCAACCAAGGCCTTGACTGGAGTCCTGAGAATACCCTTCAGCGGGCTCCTCACAGGGTTTTCCTTAGTAGGTGTCTCTACAACAAGAGTCCTTCTGGCTGGCGATCTGAAAGGACTGCCCCTCAGAGCCATGCCAAGCTCATGAGAACTACCACCTGCAGGGCTCTCTGCAACAGAGAAAACACGCATCCTGGATGAAGGTGGCGTTTTGGGGGTTCCTTGGGTTCGAGGGGTCCTCGGTGTCTTGGGAGTTGTGTTTCCAGGAATGGCCCTCCCACGTTTACTGGATGACTTTGTTGGTGTTTTATTTGGGCTCTAAGGAAAAAAACCAAAATATTTGAATTTGACTCACATTTGATATAAATGCACAATATTAGAATTTATCCTTGTCCCCTATGAACTTTTTTATCTTGAAAAATCACTGGACTCAGTAAAGGGGACAATTCAGCATATTAGGATGTTGAGAGGATGAATGGACATGGCTATTAAATGAATGGCTCCACAGATCTGTTGAACCAGCAATGCTACAAAACTTCTATGTGAAAATATTCAATATTCCTGGGACACATGAAGGTGACACATGAAATTATGTTGTGACAGTGATGTCTTTGTCAATTCCCATTCTACACTAATCTGTGAAGAAAATAAAAAAGCCTTTAGGTGCAGGTACTAATGCATGTGATATTTTTAGTGACCTAAATTATTAAATAGAGAACTTACCTCAAAGACACTGGAGTCTGTGGACAGCCGTGATCTGGTGGCTCTGGTTGCACCAGACTGGTCAGATGAATGACCAGGGGAATCAGCAGCCCCGAAAAGAAGACGCATGGGGGACCGAACTGTTTTTACGTTAACTCCACTAATTTTACCATCACTGGGAGTAAGCTGGGAGGCAGATAGAGCCCTGTCCAGGTTGCGGGAGCGAGGTTGAGAATTTGAGTAGAAGATGTTTGAGTGTCCTCTGGCAAACTTCTTAATCCTGGGGCTCCTTCTTAGGTCTGATACAAAACCAAAGCACAAAAAGACGTGACAAAATAACCAGCATGTATTTAACACACTTAGAGATTCTTTTAATGATGTCAAATTATTCCTTATGTTTTAAAAAGAAGTATTAATTTCCAATATAACAATAACCAATGTCAAAAATAAATAAATAAATACAATTACATTCTATTTCCAAATGAAACATATTTATTGAAGCGAGACTAGTTTTATAAATAAAGTGAGGTATTTTATTCAAAACCTAAAGCTTCATGTAGAGGCAAATTTATAAAATTGTAAATTGGATTTAATTTTTGTACCAATAGATTCCTATTATGTTTATTTCTCATCCTTTTCAACACCCACTATTGTTGTGTACTTTAACACAGGACAAATACAGATTATAGTAATTCCTACATTCACAAAAATATATTTAGAATTGAAAAAGGACTAAATATTGTAATATTATCAAATACCTTCTGCAGGTTTTACTGGTGACTCTTCCACAATACACTCCTCAGTTGGGACAGATCTCCTGAAAAAGAAATTGTAAAGAAGACAGTAAACATCTTTAGTTTACAGTAATTAGCAACTACATGTGATGTTTGGGTCAAAAAATTCTTGTCCAAAAGGAAAACTGTCGATAATTCAAACATACCTTCCCATTTTCTGCCGGTATAGGAGGCGGCTGGACACTTGCTTGTGGAGGGGCGTTTCACACACTTTCTTTGTTAGAAGTTTGTGTCTCTCTGAAAAGGAAGAATTTCCTGTTAGAAGATTTTCTAATTAGGGCCATTCAAATGGCTTTTTTTTTTGCTGTCAGTCCAGCAGGGAATATCTGAACAAGTTGCTGGATAAAATATTGAAAACAAAGATTATTTGGGAGATTTTATACGTCCTGTTGATTAATCAAAAGTTACAACAGAATTTCTTTAAATTAATCTGTCATACTGTATCAGTTTACCTTCAGATTCATGAGATCTCTTGCGTTTCAGTCCTTCCACAGCGGACACAGACTGGCTCCTCGGCAGCTTGGCTTTCTTTGAGGGTGAAACAATCTCCTGGTTGAACAGGTTTCTTCTCACCTTGGTCACCTCTGTGGACAATCAGAACATGATCTGTATTTAAGACTGTAATGTCAACATGGTGGTGCCTACTGCCTATTTCATAACTAATTAAAGATATCATTAATGTGATACTGCTCCCAAAATATAACTTTGGAGTATGAAACAATCTCCTCCCTGTCAGCTTGAAAGGACGACATAAGGAGTTTGTAGTTTGCTTGACTGGGGTCAGCTTGAATTCAGTCAGGTACAGTGCCTCGTCCTCTTCAAAAAGGTGGTATATTTACCACATTCTACCCTAACCAAGAATAATTACAAGATACTGCGTAAACTAGTGGACAGCATAGGAGTGAATTGTTCTGTAGAGGTTTCTGACTTTTCTGATTACATTTTTGATACAATTTGAAGTACAAGTTTTCCCCCGTCACTGCTCTTCATTAAGCAGAAAACTACAAACTTTTTACATTCAAACCTACAGAGGTTCAGTTTTATATTCAAAAGACTGAGATCAAGAAGATTGTTGGGTGGCATGTTTAGTGCTGATAGTTGAATGTGAAACAGAACATACCTTGTGTTTCTTGTTTCTGAGGTTGTGGTTCTGTGACAGGTTTCTCCAAAGCAACACACACCTTTGACTTGGACTAATGAAAATATAAAAAAGGCAGGTAAGATCACCTGGAGAGGAGAGCTGAAATAACTATGAAACATATGTCTTGATGGCGATGGTCTTCACACAGGACAACACAGTAAGCATTTGAGTAAGCAGTAACCCAGCAATTAGAGATACTATTTCATAATAATCCAACAGAGATATGAATGGTGATTAATTGTGTGGCCATCTTACAGCTCTTGTAGTCTTTTTGGGAATCTCTATTTGGCGAAGACTCTGAGATGATTCAGTCATACTGCGATGACGAGTCAGCATCCCACTCCTGAGAACAAAAAAATAAAAACTTGAATTCTGGACATGTATGTATGTAAAATATGTACGTCATACAGCTCAGACAACTGCTTCTAAAACTTCAATTACTGTAATTCCATTTCAGTGACAAAGTGCAAGAGCATCTTCATCATGTTTACTTAAACAACTCCTCTTTATTGTTTTATCTAAGATTTTTTCTTTAATTCCATGCCATTTCTGATTTGCCATGACCAAACAGTGTCTTTCTAGGAAAAAATGCAGTCCCCCCTCACCTCCTCTTGCTGGCTGAGCGATTTCGCAGGTCCTGCAGGCGATCTTTGCCATCCAAAACCAGACTGTGTGTGGAGAGTGGAGGGGAGGAGGCCGAAGGAGAAACGCTGTCCTTGGCAAATGACTCATCGCTGAAGAAGTCAGCAGGCAGAACAGCCACCAAAGCCTCAGGGAGCTGGGTGCCCAGACTGTTGTAGATGTCTGCAAGCACCCTGGGTACAGCGGTCAGGAACCTGCCATGATGTGGAAATGCTATTGTTAGAATCTTACAATTATAGATGAGAAATATTTGGCTCATTCAGAATCACTATTTCCCATTACAATTCAACATCGATGCACTGATGGACCAAGTTGGTATTTTTCATATTTAAAAAAGAAAAAAAGAGAGCAGTAAAAGTGATTTGGCCAAATAAGTAAAGAGTACAGGAAACTGTAAAATCAGGGATTTGTAACTAACTATATTATAACTCTGTCTATGGCCTGTCAGTTGGCTCCTACAATTCTTATCAACTATTGCTTCCACATTGTCTTTTACTTCAACATTGTTTGTCTTCAAAGTAATTGCCTTCTTCTGGGGGATACAAAAAAAATATAATTCCTGCGCCCCCACACACTTACCCTGGGAGAACCTCGTCTTGAAGGAACCTAGCCAAGCAAACTGGGTCTTTTGTTAGGGAGATTATCCTGAGCATTTCAGCCACCTGAGAAACAGGAAAGGTTTGAATTTACTCAATTTATATTTGCTCTATTGTGCAGCCAGTGGCATTAAGGACATAAAATGGTTTCAAGCTGTTAATAAAAGTAGATTTAATGTTGAAATAATTCAATACAATCTGAAATCTATTAGCAAGTAGTGATAGGGAATACATCATCTTTATCAGCATCTCTATCAGAAAAGCACCTATTTTTTCATCAGTGTGGCTTACAAAAGAATGGCAGTGCAAACGTACAAAAACTGCATGCTCTGTTGCCACAAATTACTTTCTTGACCTTTGCCATTACATAAAATCAAATTAAAATGTACCAGAAAGTAGTCAATAGTGAGCATCTTACCTCCTCTGCCATCTGATCAGCATCCAGTGAGTCAGACTGCTTTGAAGAAGAAAGTCTGCACAACTCCAGCCTCAACACCGCCTGAAGCTGGCACCTAGAGGAGTCAACCGGTGTTACTGATGCTGAAATAAAACTGACTCATACATAAAATGATTTAAGAATAAAATAACTTTTTGAACCTACATTTATCAAGAAAGAAGAGATTTTATCAGAAATTACCACAAACAGACACACACAAAGTACACATTTCTGAGACAGGGGAGACAGTATAACCACAGCCAGGGGTATAAGGAGCTGGTTAGTAAGGTGAGTTTTGCACATTTTACTGGGTTAGATAACACTCACTCTCTGACTTTGCTATCAACATCAGCACCCATGCCATAGAGCTGTCGGATTGATTTGCTGGTCTTAAGGAGATGCTGCTGGACAAACAGGGAGGACTTCATCTATAAAGAAGACAGAAAAGTTTAGGCATGCAAATTAATCACAGTCCAACTGCTGAACTGGGTTATCATGTATTTCATATGATGCATTGAATGCTTTCATTATCCTGATAACAAACGTTTCTGCATCTTATAAACACCTTCTTGTTTTTCCCTACAGTGGGCATGTAAATTTGACAGAATTTCAAACCTTTATTAACATTAACATTTATTGACAACTGAAATCACAATGTATGACTATCCACAATTGTGCAGCACTACCAATTAAAACACTCAATTAATCCACAATCAAACAATAAAAAAAGTCTGTTGCAAAGATCAAAGTGAGTCAGGTCAGACTGCAGAATGTGTCTCACCTCTGGATGTGATTCTGCCACAAAGAAAGTTTTCACAGCAAACAGGAGCTGCTGGACAGCAGTGAGGACACACAAGTCTCTCTCTGCCAGAGTCTTCTCGTAACTGGACTTCAGGTGGGACAGGAGCTCTGTCTCACTGATGAAACCTGGGCAAAGGGAGGAGATACATTAACATATTTGAGTTTAACACTTCAGGAAATACACATTTGGTTTCTTGCAGAGAAAGACCTGAGTTTCAACTTATGCTATAGCAGGGTGATATCTGAACAGAATGGTAAAGTTCTGACAGACACTCACTGATAGTGTTTGCTCCCCCAGATTTGTTCCTGTCACTTGACCGTCTCTTCCCCGGTCGGTCTGGCCCCCTGCCATCTGCCCCCAGCTGCTCGGCCTCAGCCTGGTTCTTCTGGGCTTTCACATTCAGCCGTGCCACATTCAGCATCTGCAGGGAGCGGCTCATGGTCTTCATCTTCTGTTTCACTGGTGTGCACTGGGCACCACCTGGAGATCAAAAACGGGAAATGTTACACAGAAAAATAATATTTGCTGAGATGTTGAGATCTTCACAGAATAATCCTAATCCCAATTTTTAACAATTAAAACAAAAAGTTAATGAATGTCTACAAGAATAATGTGAAGATTTTTACAGTCTACAGGATGTTCACAGGAAGCCAAAAGTATACATAAAATTTGATTTGTAGCTCTCATACGTTTTTTGCCCCTCTTGTTGTTTGTTCCCTGAGACGTCTGGTACAGTTCAGCCAGACCACTGATCAGCTCCTGCTGTAGGACAGCCGACGACTCCTCCTCTCTCTGCTCTGGCACTGCATGCAGCAATCTGTACAACAAAGTAAAACATCAGAACCATGTGTAACTTTTTTGTGGTGGGGTTGAGTTTGTTGTAAGTTGTTTTTAATTATTATTATTGTGTTTAAAGCTGTGTATAACTCTCGCTTCAAAAAGGTGCTATAATTATTAATATAAAAATTTTGAAATCAGAATCCACTTACCTCATTGACTCCATTAAATGAGAGCTCACTCCGGACTGGTCTGACTGAGGGAACCAAGTTTCCAACACACCTGTTGTCAGTGGGCAATGGCTGACTTCCTGCTGAGCCCACTCAGGAACCACATGATCCTTTAGCTTTTCTGAGGAGTAAACAAATACAAAGAAATTGTTGAGCAACACAAAAATGAAAATTAAAAACTGTTACACATGCTACACATTTAACACAGTTCACTTCCTTTAAAGGACCAGTGTGTAGGATTTATGGGGGATCTATTGGCAGAAATGGAATATAATATTTATAATTACGTTTTCATTAGTGTATAATCACCTGAAACTAAGAACCAATGTGTTTTCATTAGCTTCGATTGAGCCCTTCATATCTAAAGCCTATCTACACAGGGAATGCATCATCTTCCACTGAGCTTGCCATGTTTCTACAAAAGCCCAGAGCGGACAAACCACACACAGGCTCTAAAGTGAGCCTTACATGTTTTTGCATTACATCAAGGCCACCGTAGGTTCTCCTACACACTTGGAAAGGGAGGGTTGAGAGGAGGGGTATTGGTTGGGTGCAATCTGCAACCTTGCTGTGAAAATGAAGCCTCCTTGGCAGAGGTAACCATCTTGATAAGGATCCCTTAGATTGTTTTTTGAAGTGTTCTGATCAAGATGCCATACTAAGTGGGAAGGACTTGAAGAATCTACTTGACAATGTTCACTGTTGGAAAACAGTGACACAGTTTCAAGCTTATCCTAAAACTAGTTTTCCTAATATATACATACAAGCAATAAATCTGCAATAGCCAATATCTGATGATATATTGACCTGAGCGATTTATCGGCCTAAGTCTAATCCTTACCATTGAGACGGTCATTGTCTTCCTCCATGATGTCATACACTACTCCAAGAACACTGCTCACAACATCTGGCAGGTCAGCTGAAGTATCAGCTGTTGCAGGGGCAATAGTTTCAGTGGTCAGGAGCGGGTCATGTCCAGTGATTTCAGGCTGAAGAATGGTGAGCAGAGCTGTAGAGTGTGACCAGGGAGAGAGGACAGCCGAGCACACCAGGCCGCTGTCATTCACCTCAGCAAGCTGGGGAACAAAGTGAATAAGTGAGAAAATTGAATCAGTAAACTCACACAGCAAAGAAGGCCAATAGCCTTTGCCAACGCCAGCGCGATATTTGCGATTAAACAGAGCAGAGGAAATGGATAGACAGAACATGCCACTTAGTTCAGCTTCATAGCCTGCTTGCTTTTCATGGTTGTAAATAGAACTTTTTGGCCTAATTCCATTTCCCCCAATTGTAGCAACGGACAGAAGGGAAACAACAGAAAAGTGAGGGTCAACAAAAGAGAGAGAGATGCAAGCCAGAAACAACTGTTTCTATGTACCTTGCCCTGCTGATTTTGAGTGATTATTGTGAATGCTCCAATTATTAAATGTAAATAAATATTTTTTGTGATGACGATTTACATTACGATAACATAGCACATTAACATTAAATGTATTTGTTATTCTGTTGTGGCCGAAACTTTGTATTGTCAAAGTCAATTGCAGCACAGCACAACAAAATAAGTTAACAGTTATATTTTTATTCTTTGGATTTACCAAAGGGTGGTGGTTAAGTGGTTTACGTCGCGTTTCGACCAAGAAGTGCCTGGAACTTTAAGTTCCAGGTACCTTTCTTCAGGACCTAAAAGGTTCCTGTGGCCCATTGTTGTCTGCATTTTCACTGCAGCCTAAAGTCCCAGATTATGCAAAATTATTACTTGACATTACATTATTCACTGCACTTTGAGGACATAACATGAACAGAAATACAGGACAAATTGCGTCCCGTATATATTCATTACAGGACGCAGCATTTTATTTTCAATTAATGGCAGTCCCGTATGATACGTGATGGATGGAAACCCTAGCCACTCCGGTTGTTGTGGTTCTTTAATTTTTTGAAGTCCTGTTTCAGTTTCGCAGTGTGGAAAATGTTGAGCTTGCTCACTCCCTGCGAACTTTTAAACATCGTGGATGAAATAAAATGCAGCAAGTACTCCACCAGTCAGAAATGTTCACCACGGTAGACCACACCCCCAAAGTACTACCCCCCAACCAGGGACTTTTTTGGGGGTCGATCAATTACCCCAGAACTAAATTTAGACCCTGGTTCCTGTGGTGGAAACGCACATAGTTCCTCAAAAGGTTCCTGGTATCTGGGGAAAGTTCCTGCAGTGGAAACGCAGCTAAAGCCTTAACCTGTCTTGCGTAAAACAGGACTGCTGTTTTTGGATATCTCACCATGTGCAGAGCTTGAGCAGACAGTTCCATGAGGAGATGCTGGAAGGTAGCAGCTCCCTGGTCACTGCTGCTGGAGCACTGAAGCACCCATGACTCTGTGGAGGCCTGTGTCAGCGATGAGGCATCCCAGCCCTGCAGCACTCCTTTCAGACACACCTCCACAGACTCTGGGAGAAGCCTCTGTCTGCAAGACACTGGCTCAACCATGACTTCACAGCTCTGTGTCACATCACCTGTTTGGGTGAAGAATAGCAGAAACAACATGAATAATGGCATTTCATTTTCAGCTTTATATTACATGCTTAATTTCCTGTGGTGTTTTATCATCTCATATCACTTCCACCATTGCATTTGGTTCGTGTTCAGATTTTGCAGCATTTATAATCTTGATTTGTTTCAGACATTGTTATACAGCCCCGGGTTCCTGTTTCCTCTTCATCTGCATGTTCATTTGTTTTATGCCATGTGTTTCAACGAGGCAGATAAATATTCACAAATAAACTAAAATCTCAAGACAGTGAGGATGTACAGTATATTGACTAATAGTAATTGTATTTAAACCACAGACCACAGCTGCACTGTTTCACAGATGTTTGAGTTGTAATATGATGTTAAGAATTCAGGTCCATGTTACCAACCTTGCTCCCACCGCAGAATACCCCCTATGACAGGAAAAGCCAGGCGGTAGAGCCTTTCAGAGGACAGCAGGTATCCAATGCTGGACTTGAATGCAAACGCCTCTGGCCTGAAGCCTGAGTCTGGCTCCTGACTGCAGCAGAGGTTCAGCAGTGCAACTAAAGGGATCACTCTGCCACCCATATGAGCCAGGACCTCGGACAGCTTGTCAGATCCAAGGCAGTCCTCACACCTCATCATCTGCAAGACAAATGGTTGGAGTTGCTTATATCAAGTAATAGGATTTAGACAGCTACTTTGGCAGGAAGGTATCCGATAGAAATGCTTAGATGGTTACAGCCATTCTAAAATCCACACTGACTAGTCACATAGTAAAGAATCTGAGTTAAGTTTGGGTTAATGACTTGAATGTGAAGCTGTTTAATCACATGTTTGATGATCCTGTTTCTGCCACAGGAGAAGTACATTTACTTTTTAGACACTTATCTTGGATTTAGAAAATGGCCAATTTTCAGGGTTTTCATGTTCTTCTTTGACTACACTGGTTATAGAAAATAAAAACTGACTGTACATAGCTGCTTAATTGATATATCCATACTAATGATTGTGTTCTTACAGACCATAATCAACCACTTTTAGGTTAGATTGAATATTTTCTTTTTATAATGGTAACAATATTCCCAAAACATTGTCAGCTGGTTGTTGAAGTATAGAGTCGTAGTCATGAATACTTCATTATTGTCCAGCTGTCTGCTGTACTCACCTGGTCGTGGGATCTACTGTCAATCCAGTGCAGCACAACCTGTCGCTGCAGCAACATGTCGTGGAGACCCCTGGATATGATGTGGTCTGTCACATCTGAAGGCAGGTCATGGTTTTCCAGAGAAAGATAGTCCACAAGTTGTTTCCTGGACCGTGGACACTTCGAGGCAATAAACACCACATTCCTCCCGTTGCTTGAAATATCATCCTCCTGTGAAACATTAGGCTTTCCAGCTCGGCTCGACTTCCTCGGCCTCAGGGACAGTTTAGTGGGAGAGGTGATGTCTGGTCTGTCCCATTGGAAGTCCAGCAGGGTTTCTTTGAGTGAGTTTTGAACTGAAGCAGACTTGCTGGATTGCTGCTTCTGCTGATGAGGGCACAGTTTATCCTTAACGTCAAATTTGGCTTCAAACTCTTGTTCAAAGTCCTCAAAAGTTTTGTGCCGGAGCTCCTTGAAGTCCGATCCCCTCGATATGAGGCTATTACGGCCAGTTTTAGACTGAAAAAACTTATAACCCCAGCGCACTTTGTCAAATCCGTATTTGTAACCGAAATGCAGAAGAATGTGTAATATTCCTCGTTTCACTAAACGACTCCTGACATTCAGCTGATCGCTTGAATCACGATCTCCATAATCAACATCGATAACAAAAACCAAGTTGTGTAAAGCCATACCGTCAATTGCAGCTTCTCCAAAGACAGCGAGTGGCTCCAGAGCACCTTGACTCAACGATAAGCCATGAAAACAGGGCAGCCTCGGTCGAACGTATTCAACTCCACTGTCACTACATTAATAAATTTAGTCAAACGGGTTGTTCATTGTGTGTGGACACAGGGACGCCATTTACATGCCAACATCAGTAAGCTAACTTCAGCTAACCGTCGAAGCTACCAACGTTCGAGTTAACGTAATTGCAAGTTAGTTTCAGTTAGTCTGACACCGGGTATTTGAAATGCCTTGTTACATACACTAGAGAAGCAACACGCCCGAGCTTATCTGATTATTATTAAAAGTTCATGTAACGTTATTCGCATACCGAGACTTCACATACGCCATTTTCTCTACCCCATCCGTCCTTAATTGTTCGCGCTCCTTCAATGAAAGCCCACCCATTCGGTGTGATTGGTTACATCCTGTACACATAATAGTTTCATTGGTCCAAAATCATGCGTAATCAAGTCGACGATAATGTTGAGTTTTTATTGGACAAATGCGCCTTCAATCAAATCTGAATTTAACTGTACATGTCACATGACATAAGATTGGGCAGGAATCAACGCTTGACAAGTGCCTCTTACATTTAACTTTTAAAAACACTTTTATTCCAAACTGTTTTATCCCTTTCTACTTTACTATTTCTACAGGAAAAACTAAGGACAGTTAAATAAATTATATCCCCATATTTAGTTGTCTCTTATTTGTCTTATATGACAGAAATATATGTCAAAAAATGAATGATTGGAAAACCTAAAAATAGTAGTAGTAGACTGTTAAAATTGAATTACATAAAAAGTAAAGACCCATAAATATACTGAGTAAAAACAAACCATGTACAGAGCATGAAATTATACAAATGTCTAACAATTATGGCTTGCATTTAAAAACTGAATTTGAACATTTTCATCTTCAAAAAAAGACACTGCTGACCACAGTACATGTTACTACACCACCAGGGGCATCTAGGTAAACTAAGCTTATGATGAGACATAAGTGAAAGAATTGTATGAATGGCATTTGACATTGTAAAAATGTTTGACTGTTTTGATTTATCAACAAATGTAGTATTGTACTTTGTTTCAGCGGCCTGCTGAAACAAAGTACAATACTACGTATGTGTGTTTAAGGAGAGAAACAAAGCTAAAAATGAGCAAAGCACCCTTTTTTATGTTGGTCCCCTGATGACTATTTACTTGGTGTGCCAAGTAAAGCAGTGAGAATGAGAGCTTGGCATCCATAATCATTCTTCATCTCTCACTGCCTAAAATGGAAAAACCCTCCTTCAGAGCAACAGGTCTGGGTTTATTGGATTTTCAGTGTTTCAAAGAAGGGTGCACTGAGTCTGCAGACCACAGAAAATGCTTGTATGGTGTTACATTTGGATTTCCAGGTTGGTCTATATCAATTAACTGACAAAAACTTTGACTGCATAATTTGAGAATATATTAATACATCTGATATGTTTTTGTTGCTTATAAATTAAGTCACAACATTGTATAGTGCCTGATCATGTGTATACTGCACGTGTTTTCATAATAACTAGTACTCATGTTTTCATTATAGCCTTGGAAATAGCTACGACCAAAATCCTTGAAAGAGACATTATATCATCTACGTACACAGACCCAGCTTGTCTGTTTTTCAGATAGTTTAGCGGAGCACATGGACAGAGTGAGTGTAGCATCTTTCTCCTTCTACCCAGGACTGGAGGGCAAACCAGAAAAAGAGTGATTTCAGGAAGGGGAACACTGGGAGAGGAGGTATGTGGGTCACCTTCTGTTTTGCATCCGTAATCACCTCTTTTCTACAGCACCAGGGGGAGATGAAGAGCTTAGAAAAAGCTTTGAAATAGAGAGAGAGATCAAAGAAGCATGCTGAATGTTCTAGACTCTGCCTTCCGAGTCCCGCCAGACTCCCCATAAGTCATGAGACCAGGATGTAGGTCAGGGATGCTCTCAGGAGCTTGCAGCTCTTAAGACAACATACACAGTCAGACGACATACATACATATGCACGTGCACATTTATGGACATAATGCTTTCCCTAGCCTCTTACCCATAGCTAAATACCCTAACACTAACCCTGACTTGATTCTAACCTGAACCCTAAAAAATCTTAACCCTCCTACAGCCCGTCAAAGTTTGTCGACACGAGACAGAATGTCCTCAATTTGAACTAAATCCATCCACACAAATGTAGAAAGATATATGCATGCATACACAGACAAGTATCCGTAAATGCCCCCAAATACTGTTAGTTATGTTCAGGTCACTCAGTGACTAATCTTTTTCAGGGGTCAAAGTTCATGCATAACATAACTGAAAAAAGAGTTGACCATAGTGAGTATTGCATGGGGAATAACGGAAAATAAAGTAAAAAAAGTGACACGTCTCAACAACCATTGCATGGATTGGCATGAAAGGTAGTACTCCTCTTGCTCCCCAGACAATGAATCCTAATGGCACTAACATTTAGCAAATCCAATACTTAAGTTTATATCAGAACACCCATGAAACTATTATTTGATCATAACATTAGCATATTAATGGCCTCATTGCATACCGTAATGGACACTAACAAATTACCATTATACACCCATTGCTATAATTGCTACAAATAGATGAATCAAAATGCAATTAGGGGGAGTTTGCGGATGGGAGTTCTGAGACGGAAACAGTGCAAACGCACAATAGCACCAACAGGCTGCTTACCATAATGTTCTGTGGGTGGAATCACTGAGCAGATGCTTTCAACTTGGCAGAGAGGTCACTTGTTCCAAAGCAAATATTGTACCAGATATTATTCATGCTGCATGTATGAGAGCTAGAGTAGCCTTGCCAACATTTAAATTAAGTCTTTTTCACGTCATTGAAGTGGAACAGTCTTCATTCACTGCTATCTTGAAAACCTTTTCTGATCCTACTGACCATAAAAATGCCCCTGCAGACCAGTTTCCCGGATTTTGTTTGTATTACAAACAACTGCAGATAACTGGACCATTTTGGGGACATTTTCTACTTGTTTTTGGTTCATTTTTGTGCCAGGAATAATAAGAACAGGGTAAAACCATTACAAAATAAAATGAAACAATTATTAAGTAAAATACTCATAACAAGTTGCTCATGCAAGACCAGGATATTTTTTCACATGAAAGCAAGCGACTTATACAATTGTTTATTTGTTTAGGCTACACTGACATTTTGTACATGCATTAGCTGTCTCTATCTTGAAGCCCGCTTTATCAAAGTGCTCTGTGATTCATTACATAAGACAATTTCCACCCACTGTGTTGTGACCTCAAACAAAGTGTGGGATGGTAAATCCATCTTTGTGAGGAATCTAACTGTTTGTTGTTCACTCACAAAGGTCTTCTAGGTCCCTCTTTTATATGTTATTCTTCAAATAGACCCGTACTTGTCCTCACACACTGCGAGAGGACTAAATCAAATTTAGTAAAATCACATTTCTATTATATTTCCCTGTATTTTCTGTCTTGTATGTCCATATTAGAACATTTTATTTTGTCTTTTCTACTTACTGATTATGCAGAGTTCCTCTTTAAGTGCCTTTACTTAAAGTATACTGCAGCACTTTTCACTGGAAATGTGCAGTATTTAATGGAATCACCTGCAAAGTATTTTTTAACAGTTTCTTACTGTATTTTAGATTTACGGTGTATAACTAGAAATACATCTGTAGTTTTTTACTGTATTTTTGTAAATTTACAACACAATACTAGTCACAGTTTTGTCAGAAAGTTCCTGTATATTTACAGTATGTAATTGTATTTGAATCTACAGTATGTATCTTGTATTTAATGATAATCAAAGAATGTTATTTTACATACACATTTTACAGTCCTGGTGATAAAAACAAACAAAAAGGAAGTCATTAAAAGCAGAACTCTGAAACAAATAATGCATATTTGAAAAGAGGAGCAGGCAGGTATTTTACTTAAAGGGCGGAACATTTTACATTAATTACATTAAAATAAAGCATTAAATGTGCAAAATTCAGTTTGCAATGTGGAAATATTTCTTAATACTGGGAGGACCCACTTGTACATCCTACAGGGTTATGCAGTTTACTTTCTGCCAAGTTTTAAACTCATCACAAATAAAAGATAAGGAGGAATGTGTTTGAAATGCTCAGTAGGAAGCATTTATGTCTGTTTGCTGTTATTGCCATGTCTCATCCTGTCTGGCTTGTCAGACACCAGCTAACACGCTGTCATTACTGTAGTGCACTTAAAGCAGTCATGTCACCTTTCAAACATCTTGCCATCCCGCCCACAATGAGGGGCAAAAAAAGCATAGGCACTTTAACAAGATTCTGTATTTCCAGCATCAGCTCACCGTCAGTCAGTCTTCAGCTTTCAGGTGATGTTGACTGTTAGCCGGACAAACACAGCATCCGTACAGTTTGTTCCATCTGCTACAGGTTCTGTCTAACAGATGATTTTTGTCTGCTGCCAGGTTGTTCACAAACATGCGTCACAGGGTGGCGTGACCCCTCTTTTAACTCCTCTGCCCCGGATTACTTGCTGATTTTCAGATTTAACAAATTTCTTTTAGGGCTCAATTAGGTCTGGTGTCTAGCACAGATCTTGGAAGGGGTGAATATTTAACCATTGTTGAATTGGAGTGAAGTCAGAAAAGACCTAATGTGGCAAAACTTTGTTGCCCAGGTACCAGGCTTTAAACTTATGTTGCGCAAGGAGTGTATTGTTCGTCCTCACAGAATTCTCAGACTCTTCGCAAATGTAAGAATCAGTCATCATGTCCAAATTTGGGTTGTAATCAGTCTTTACACCACGCCTTTCCAGTTTTAAGAAAACTAAGCGTCTGTCATGCATTCCAATGAGACTGTGAAACTAATTAGGGAGGAAGTGTCCTCATATGAAAGATTTGGTGGAGAAGAAAATAGATTAATTTCAGTGATGCTCACACTCCCTAATCTCCTC